ATCTGAAGGCCCTGTTCAGGGAAGTTTTTAATGTGTGGCATTTTAATGTATTTTTAATCTTTGTTGGAAGCCACCCAGAGTGGCTGGGGAAAACCAGCCAGATGGGCGGGGGGTACAAATAATAAATTATTATTGTATTATTATTATTATTATTATTATTATTATTAATCAGGAAGAATGGACACCAAGGAAGCCAACTCTGGGAGATGAGGGCAGTTGGTCCTAGCCATGCTAGATTACACACACACACCCTCTCTCCAGCAGTCAAATGGAATGGGTGCTAAAAGGATGTAAGCTGGTCTGTTTACTGCCACATATTCTGTGAAATAGTTCTAAATTCTGGGATCTGGTTTCCAGCTTCTCGTCAAGACTTAACTCCAAGGGATTCCAGCTGAGATTTGGGGCAGCTGTATAGATTTAAATCAATGCATTTAATTAATTGCTTAATTAACTAACAGGATTTATACACTGCTTAATTGAACCTCTAAGCAGTTTGCAAAAATAGGTAAAACATACATTAAAACTATCAGTAAAAATCAAAGTTAAAAAACAAGTTTTGGAAAAATATAAATATAAATAAATTCAACAGATTAAAAACTTAACTTACAAACTAAAGGGACAGTTTTAAAAAATAAATCCATAATGGCTGGGTCTGAAAGGGTCTGAACAGCTGGGTAAGATTGCCTTTGAGTAAGACTGCGCTGTGTGTGTGTTTGACCAGCATGTCTATTTTTTCAGTGCCTGGACTTAACATGTCAACTGTCAGTGAAGGAACTTCTCTGACATCAACGCTGTGACAGTAGCAGCAGGTAACATCTATCACGATGCTGATTTTTCTGGATAGTAGGTGTGAAAGGGAATGTTGTCTTAATCCCAGTGCTGCACACTTGCTGTTGCTAGGGTAGTATTGGCCAAGAACTGCAACCTCCTATGTCCAACAGAGAGGATTATCATCTAACTGCATTGTTTTGACCAGCTGTTGGTCCTGAACAAGAAAAAGGTGAAACTCAAGGCAAAGTTTCTATAGATACCATTAGCTTTGTTTTGGGAGGCCATCCTTTAGTCTGGTGATATGTGAGGAAGCATGTGTTATCTGGGGATCCTGAAACCACCACCGTCTCCTGACCCTCCACCATCCCAGTAAATAGCAGTAGGGACAACCCATCCTCTTTCACTGCCTGAGACAAAATAGGAAGGTGTCTTCCTACCACCCCACCTCCAGAAGCCTCACAGAACTCTCACAAGATTTCACCAGAAGCCACTGCCACTTTTCAGCCGGCAACTTTTTCCACTCAGTCACATCACAGCAAATTCTGCCCTCAAACTCAAGCATTGTCCTTCTAACTATCTAAGAAATAGAGGAGGGGCCCCACTCATTTGCTCTCTTAATGGCCCATCACCTTTCCTTTGATCTCTTAATGGCCCATCGCCCAAGTGATCACCTGAACACAGAAAGCTAGCCTGGCCTGTTTAGCTTCTAACACTTGCTGGGGCCAGGGATTAGAATTGTCTGGCACACACAAACACATAACAATATACGCATAATGAGTGGGTGTGGGCATGTTTAGAGAGAGTATATACTATATACTGTGTGCGTGCGTGCGTGCGTGCGTGCACACGTATTTAGAGTATATATTATATATTCACTGTGTGTGTGTGTGTGTGTGTGTGTGCATGTACTGTGGAGTGTGTATATATTACATATACACAGTGTGTGTGTCTGTGTATTTAGAGTATGTATTATATATTCATTTTGTGTGTGTGTGTATAATTTTCCTGTATAAATAGAAATATAAGGTGTCCTCATGCTCTGCCAAGTTCTGTCATCTTTGCTATTGGAAATTATACCTAACACCGCACCACACCCACTTAAAACTCCTGCCAAAAATCTTGGGCTCCACACTATGACCAGGCATGGGATTCAGGTTTGCTCTAGTAACAGCACAAAGGAGCAAGTGGCGTGGCCTGATACATTTTGGGTACTCCCTGCTCCTCTGTCTTGCTTGCACAGTCCATCTGCATGTCAGGGACTGGACTCAAGAGGGCGAGAGGGAGGAGGAATGGCGGAAATCACACACACCCTTCTCCTGACGCTGCAGGAGAAGAGGAACACAGCGTTGATTTACAGCAGGGGTTTGAGGAGCTTGAGGGAAGTCATAGCTCAGAGATAGGTGAACAGAAGAGTTGGGAAGTGTTAGATGAAGCAGTTGAAGAACTGCGGCAGGGCAGCCAGCTGACACGTTGTCACTGGAAAGTATTTCTGATCCCCCTTCTCCCAGAACTCGACGTTCGTTAAAGGTGCAGGAACAACAGAATCAAAGACATTTGACCACCAGCGGCCACCGTAAAGGGAGATGTTGTTGCTAGGAAGGGGGGGGGAGGAGCCCAGCTTGGAGCAACCCCATAATTAGGGCAGACAGCGTTCCTTTGTCTCTCATTGTTATGATTGATTAAACTAATTAAAAAGGACTTTATCTTGTTTCTCTGCTTCTTGCTGCCACCGGGGAACAAACAGCATTGCGGTTCCCATCAGCCACTCTGGGAAATACTCTGAAAGGATGGGAGTTGTAGCGTAGCAACATCTGGAGGGTCAACGCTTCCCCATCCCTGTTTCATACCCATAAAAGTTGTAAAGGGAACTCCACGAGCCATTTACAAACCCAGACTTTTTTGTGCCCTGAAGTCCACATTCACTTTTGACCAAACCTCTGGGAGCCACAGGGCAGCAGCGGGTGTGGTCACCCCAGACTCCCGTGCACACTCTCACTAGCACACACAATAGGCACACATCCTCAGAGCACACACAGGATGAACACTGGCAGACACACAATGGCACACAGCCTCCCCTTCTCAGCTGATCCATGCAGGCCCAGTGCCGGATTTACGTATAAACTAAACAAGCTATAGCTTAGGGCAGCAAAAAAAGTTAAAGGGAGAAAAACTGGATGTACATTTCCAAAATATAAGATGAAAAACAAATAAAATAAAACCTACATACAGCAACAGTGTTTTGTGTTGTGTAGGCTCCTACGATATAAGAATTGGACCCCGCCTGCTAGCCTGCTCCCTAAAATATCACTGGTTTACTCATTTCTATATATAGGGTGCCTACATCCTGCATGGACTGGTTGCACGACAACATGTGCAAATGGCTTTAGATACCTAGTTAGGTCCATAAATTACCATATAGCATATATTCAACACAAAAAACAGTGACAATTTGTTGTTGACAAAGGACAGATGGACATATAAAGGGCCCCATTGCCTTCAGTAGCTTAGGGCCTCATCAAACCTAAATCTGGCCCTGTGCAGGCCAACTCATCAGTCTCATGAGTGGGGAGGCGGCTGTTTGCATCCTTACAGGGATGCTGAGCTCTGCACACACCACAGCTGGGTCTACTTTTTCATTTTTTTAATGCCACTCCCACCAAAATAGAGAGGGTATCGTTGGGCTAGGGGAAAAACCTTGGGTTAAGCTTCTGTGCAAGGGCCACATCTGCTCTAGATCAAGAATGACAGTTGTCCAAAACATACCAGAAAACTCCTGGTGTAAGGTTGCCAGATTTTTTTCAATGAATCCAGGGACACTTTTCAACTTCCTACGGGGACTGATTTGTAAATCCGGGAACGGTCCCTGGGAAATAGGGACACCTGGTAACCTTATACTGGTGTGTCATAATATGCAAATAAATTAAATCTTCCCCTTCATGGATCACTGCCTTGCCATGGCGAAGGGGCTTGAATAACTCAGAGAAGCTATGAGCTATGCCATGCAGGACCACCCAAGAGGGACAGGTCATAGTGGAGAGTTTTGACCAAACATGATCCACCTGGAGCAGGAACTGGCAAGCCACTCCAGTATCCCTGCCAAGAAAACTCCATGGACAAAGGCAACAGGCATATAAAAGTTATGATGCTGGAAGATGAGCCCCTCAGGTCGGAAGGCGTCCAACATGCTACTGAGGAAGAGCGGAGGACAAGTACAAGTAGATTCAGAGCTGATGAAGCGGCTGGGCCAAAGCCAAAAGGACGCTCAGTTGCGGATATGCCTGGAAGCGAAAGGAAAGTCCAAAGCTGTAAAGAAAAATATTGCATAGGAACCTGGAATGTAAGAACCATGAACCTTAGTACTACTTGGTACTTTTGAAGACAGGAGTGCCTGGCGTGCTCTGGTCCATGGGGTCACGAAGAGTCGGACACGACTATACGACTAAACAACAACAAATTAAACGTTTTAAAACCTCTGAGGATCTGAAAGCACTTAGCTCTAGAGGAAGCTGCCCACTGCATCTCTGCATGATTTACTGTTCAGGCCTTCCAAGCAGCCTCACCCGAGCATGGAGCCTTTTGCCCCCTCTGCGTTGCAGATGCGACGGAGAGACAAACGACACATGACATTGAATGTGTCACTTGGAGCTGTATGAATCATCATTAAACTGTAAATAGCAGATGCCAAGGGGCTGTGACTGATCGAGACTGGGACCACAGCGCACTGGGAAGGGAGATTAACCCTTTCCTCCTTTATCAAAGCCCCAACCACTCTACCACCACAAAAGCCTCTATTTGGTATAGGACGGCAGCTTCCACTGGGGCCAACACCAGCTTTCTTCCTCCCACTAATTATCAGCTTCCTTTGGGAGAGATGGATTTTCACCGGGGTCATGATGCACAGGAAAACTATTCAATCTGTGTCATTTCCCTGCTGCCATAATACCACCCCTCTGGCTCAGATCACTCCATGGCTGCAATTTGCTTTTTAGAATAAAGACAGTCATGTGCCAATGTATTTTTCTTCTATATTCTCTTTTTCCACCTCCGTACAGAGGTCTGCTCTGTGTTTTGGCTGTACTGTGGAGACACCTTGTGGAGAAAGAATAATATTTTTCCTTAGCACACCTACAACATGAAAGCAATTTGGATGGTTGCTTTGTTTTGTTTTAATGCTTTGTAAAATCTGCCTTAGAAGGGATGATTCCCCCCCCCCCTTCTATTTGTTATAATAGCATCTATCTCTCTCTCTCTCTCTATCTCTCTCTCTCTCTCTCTCTCTCTCTCACACACACACACACACACACACAGAGAGAGAGAGAGAGAGAGAGAGAGAGAGAGAGAGAGATTCAAATGACTTTTTTATTGAATTTATATACTGCCCTATACCCAGGACTCTCAGGGCAGTTCACAGAATAAAATCAAGATATAAAACCACAAAATACATAATAAAAATGAAAACAACAATCCAATCGCCCCGCCCCCCCCAAAAAAACCCACATTTTAAAAGGGCATAGGATGTAAATCAGATCAACCAAAGTCCTGGTTAAAAAGGAATGTTTTTGCCTGGTGTATAATGAAGGCACCAGGCGAACTTCCCCGGGGAGAGCATTCCATAGATGGGGAGCCACTGCAGAGAAGGCCCTGTTCTTGTGTCGCCACCCTCCGCACCTCTCAAGGAGGAGGCACACAAAGAAGGGCCTCAGAAGATGATCTCAGGATCTGGGTAGGTTCATCTGGAAAGAGGCGGTCCTGGAGGTATTGTGGTCCTGAACCGTTTAAGGCTTTATAGGTCAAAACCAGCACTTTGAATTGGGCCCGGAAACTAATTGGTAGCCAGTGCTGTTGGGCAAGGATCAGTGTAATATGTTTGAACCGTCTTGCCCCAGTGAGCAACCTGGCCGCTGAATTCTGCACCAGCTGAAGTTTCTGAACCGCTTTCAGAGGCAGCCCTACATATTTGCTTGAATGTTCAGGAACAATGCTCAAAAGCTGAACTTCTTCCCCACCAACTCTTATTGCATCCTCAAAGGAAGAAGAAGAAAAAGGAAGAAACAGCAGCAACAGCTTAACTCTGGTGAAGGGGACAAATGTAGCGCAATGCCACACATTGATCTTGCATTTTTCGACCATCAGTATATGGGAAAAGAAATCGCATTCAAAAATTATGAAAAGTCAAAGCAAATTTCAGTATTTTCCCTAATATGACCATCTTTGCAGAGGTATTTTCCCCAACGCAATAGATTCTCATATATTAATCTCACTGGCATGTGTCTTTTTTGTAAAGTTTTAAATTTTATTTCATTTTATAATGTATATAAAACAGGGAACAGACAAAAATTAGAAGACGAAAACAAAAAATTATAAAATAGGAATGTAGAATGAGTAGTTGCCCATGAGTTAAAACAACAAAGTCCAAGTATGGAATAACAACATTATCAGATCATAAAGTCTAGTTCCAGGCTTGTGACGAGGGCTGTCTGAAAATGATGGTTCTGCTGTATATGTCATAATGGAATGTCAAAACATTTAAAAAGTGTCAGGAGGGTCTAGTCCTTGCTAAAATCTCAAATTCAGAGTAATTTTCTCCATTACAGTGGTACATCGGGTTAAGTATTTAATTCGTTCTGGAGGTCCGTTCTTAACCTGAAACTGTTCTTAACCTGAAGCACCACTTTAGCTATTGGGCCTGCCATTGTGCAATTTCTGTTTTCATCCTGAAGCAAAGTTCTTAACCCAAGGTACTATTTCTGGGTTAGCGGAGTCTGTAACCTGAAGCATCTGTAACCTGAAGCGTATGTAACCTGAGGTACCACTGTATAGCTATATTCCACAGTAAGTGTAAGATCTAGGACTGTTTTCCATTGAGCTGTAATTACTATTTGTGCTGCCAGGGTCATATATAAGGTCAATTCTTTTGACAATATCAGATGCATCTTACTGCACATTTTACCCTAATATTTGCATTTTTGTACACATGACTTGGCTGGAGAACTGTACTGCAAAATTCAGATAAGTGCACATTTCAAAACAGTTGTCTTTCAGTTCACATAGTGTTTCATAACGTAGGTAGATTTGCTTTAAAATGCAAACTGAATGTAATTTTTCACCCATCCCTACAACTGGCTGGCTGGCTGGTCCTGTCCCCAAACAGCAGCTCTTACTTGAGAGTAAGGAAGAGAGCTTTATTGAGTCAAATAATAGTAAAGGCCCAGCAACAAGCACTGGGTACACAAGCCAGGATTCCAAGGTAAGCAGGAAAGGTAAGCAAAGCAGAACTGAACAGAGGCAATGAAGATGTCCCAACAAGTTATCATACTCCTCTCTCTATGCTTTCAGAGGTGGAGTGAAGTGAGCTAACTGACAGAATTCTCACACCTTAAGAGACAGATGCACATTCAAGTGTGTGTTCCACCTGAGTGGGTGCATCTAATTCCACCTACATAGTTGGCACTGCTGCTCCTCTGACTCCAGTTCTGCCACCTCCTCCTCCCCCTGCACAGCCCCTCCCACTGGCTGGTCAAAGTCCTCCCCTCTCCCCAATGAGGTTCTGCACTCCACAGCAGGGGCAATGGAGACAACTTCCCCCTCTCGCGCATCTGGTGTCACAAGGATGCCTGCATCCCTGGGTACCAAGCTTCCAGCCCCCCCCCCCCGCTTCTTCTCCTTCAGTGTCATCCTCTTCCATCTGGGGCCACCAAAGCAGGCCAGATCCTGGCAGAACCAAGAGGTCCATGATAGAAAAGCATGTGTTCTACTACTGAGCTACAGCCATTTCCCTAAGACTTATTTACATTCAGAATTTCTGGATGCGATCTGAATTCAAATCCTGCTTGGCAAAAAGAATGAATGAATGTATGGAGCCCAAAATCACAACACTTCAAAATTTGCTTTGATTGCTCCTTAATCTCCAAGGGTTACCCATGTTTCCAAAAGGGGTGTTGGTTAACTTTCATTTATCTGAGCTACATTAACTTTCATTTATCTGAGACACATGAATGTCAAAAATCAGTTCTGACCCATGAATGTACGTCAACATATCTTTGCCACACACCTAGTCATTACATTCCTAATACCTGCAAAGACCCAGAATCAAGGCACTATGTTACATCAGAGCACGTTCAACCTCATCTGGCAGCATTAATAAACAGAGAAGCTTAATCATGTCCTAAAAGAGCAACACAGTCGAAAGCCCAGTTCACCAAAGGTAGTGCTAATGAACCTGTTATCCAAGTTATTTGCAATGGAAAGCCTCTTCTCATCCCACACCAGATACCCAATTAGCAGGGGTTTCTTGTACCCCACCTGGAAAGTGGTATTTTGAAAAGGGTATTGAAATAAACTCAGCACTAGAGAGAAAAGTCTAATTACTTGGCGAGAATGGAAGCATGTCTAGCATGAAAAGTGCAGGCTGCAAATGTCAGGGGAGTTCAGAATCAGAACGGCTGTCTCTGGGCTAGGACCGAAGGGGGCAACACTCAGAATGCAATGCCCAGAAGCGGAGCAGAGAACAACAGGTAAATTGCCACCTTGTGATAATTAATGGCAACACAAGACCTTTTTTAAACAAACAAACAAAAAAGCTCGTGACCCGCTCTTCCCTCATTTCCCCTTGCTATGAGCTCTGGGTTCTCAACGGCATTAACTCTGGACACCACAAAATGTCCGTCTTTCTTTGTTGACTGTTCTTATGGTCTGCCTTCCATAACCAACATGGACCACTTCTTCACTTACCTTCTTTCTTTTTTCGTATAATTTTTATTAAGTTTTTCTATTTTACATTTTAGAATATTCATTTAAACAACCTTAAAATATCAATGACTTCCCTTCTTCTCTTTCCATGGTTCAGTTTGCATGCCATAATTCCCTGCATATTTTACACGAACTAAACCATTCAGTATTCCATTGTCACATCCATCAAAACTTATTTACACCGTTGAACTTATCTGAATGCTGCCAACGTTTTCAAAGTATACACAATTTCCCCCCATATATTGAATAAACATTTCCCAGTCTTCTTTAAACGTATGTTCTTCTTGTTCTCTTATTCTATGTGTTAGGCCCGCAAGCTGCGCATATTCCATCAGTTTAAGTTGCCATTCTTCTTTAGTTGAGACCTCACTCATTTTCTATTTGGGGGCTAACAAAACACGGGCTGCAGTAGTGGCATACATAAACAAGCCTTTTTTGACATCTGGGAATTTCCATCTGAATTATCCCCAACAAAAAGGATTCCGTGTTGTTTTTTGGAAAAGTAATTTTAAACATTTTTTCAATTCATTATAAATTATTTCCCAATACTCTTTTGCCAAGTCCACCACATATGATAGAACATACCCTCAGCCTCATTGCATCTCCAGCTTCACTTATCTTCTTAATCTTCAAGGATGGCCCAAAACATTTTGCTGCCTAAGGCAGAGCAGCAAATGGCTCCCCCCCCCTCGACTCCACACACATAAATCAAGGTGCATATATTACCCAAGACTAGCCAGGCAACTAGCCTACAAGGGTTGTCCTACATCAGGGGTCAGAAAACTTTTTCAGCAGGGGGCCAGTCCACTGTCCCTCAGACCTTGTGGGGGGCCAGACTATATTTTTGGGGAAAAGATGAACGAATTCCTATGCCCCACAAATAACCCAGAGATGCATATTAAATAAAAGGACACATTCTACTCATGTAAAAACACGCTGATTCCTGGACTGTCCACAGGCCAGATTGAGAAGACGATTGGGCTGGATCCGGCCCCTGGGCCTTAGTTTGCCTACCCCTATCCTACACTTACCCTTCCTTGGTGGTAACATAACCATGTGTGCCCCTTGCTGGCATCAGCCACCTGAGGTGATCACCTTACTTTGCCCAATGTTATGGCTGGACCCGCACATACCACAGCCAACATGAAGCTGAAGGAACTCCATTTGTTCATATTCCCTGTTATTTTCTAAGTGGGCTAGGAAAAGCTTCCATTATTGGTTTGGAGTCATTCCTTGCTTTAGAGGGAAAGGCACTGGCGGTGGCATCCTCCCTGTGGCAGCCATGTCAGGATGGGGCCAGGCAATGAAGTTGAGAGAGCTCCAGGCTGGTGGCTGTAACCCTGCAGGTGGTGAACGTTGTCTTTCCCTGTCTTCTTTTCTGTTCCATTATTTCACTGTCCTTCTTGTTGCTTATGTTTTGCTGGAAGAGAAACTTCTCTCTGAAGGAATGTGCACTTACCTCTCTCACTTTCTCAGTATGTGTGTGTGGTGGGAAGAGGAAGAGGAAGAGGAAGAGGAAGAGGAAGAGGAAGAAGAAGAGGAGACAGATCACGGGCAACTGGTAACTAGAGTGGCCTAAAGCACTTCCAAGACTGAACTGACCACTCTTTGAAATTAGTTGATTAATCAAATATAAGTTTCATGTTGATAATTATGGACAGCATCTTTTCCAGAGCATACAAAAGACACTGTCATTTGAAAGTACCTTTGACTGAAAGAATCTTCAAGTTACAGTAACAGGAACCAAGATTCCTATGGTAACTTCAAGCCTAACACATTTATTGTAGGTAAACTCTGTAGACGAGAGCCCATTTCATCCGTTGGATATTGCATAAATCTTTGTTGTCAAGGGGTATATGCAGTTTGGTATAGAGCGTGGGGGGAGTTTATGGACAGTGGGGCCCAAAAGTCACAAAATGCAAATGATAGCCGTAAGCCTATCACATCTCTGTATAAATTCCAAATGAATACAAACCAAGACACTCATTCCCAACCAGTTGCAGCTAAGATCATTTCCCTTGCTTTGCTATTTTAGCACCTGAAGAAGGGCAATTACCTTCTGTGGTGGAAACGATGCTCCAATCTAGACTGAGTCCAAATGCAGTCACTTTGAATTTGCTAATGAATTCTCCCTTTTCACCTTCATACTGGAACCTTAGATGTTAGTAGCAGAATCCTGAGAGACAGAAATGTCTCCCCAGTAGTCTCTGAATGTTGCAGATTGGTGTTGTGGTGTGTGTTCTTTTATCTCTCTTTCCCTCTTCTTGTTGTTTTGGAAGAGAAAGGTGTTTGGAACATCACTCCTTCAGGCTCACACAGGATGTGGCCCTGCAACAATGAGACACACACACACACACACACACACACACACACCGCCAGTAAGGAAGAAGCGTGCTGTTGACTTGATCTACCTCAGCATCGTGGTGAAAACCTTGCTGAAGGCACTGCTAAGGAGTCCTGCAATGGTCACATCTTCTCTATGGACCCACTTAAAAATAGAAAAGGAAAGAAAGATCCGGTAATGATTCATAACTGGCCCATCCAACCAAAATCATGAACACCAATGACCTACCTGTCATCTTTTAGCATTCCACTAACAAGCTTAAAAACCCTGGTAAGGAATAGCATTAAGCCACAAAATCAGCTCACAAAGAGAAAGGACTCGGGATTTAAAGAGAATCTTGCGTCTTTCAGAAGGTAAGCAATATTCTCTTCAGCAGCACCATCCGTTTGTATAAGACTCAATCTATAGCACTTTAAATGAGGCATTAACTAATGACAGAGGGGTAGGAAGTCTCTATTACATTCAAAGTAGCGGGGAGAAGGCAGATATCGGGTTTTCTAAGCTAAGTCATGAAGGAATGTGATTGCTTTCAGTTTATCCAAAGTGAGACATCAAACAGCTATTCTTTTAAAGGAAATAGATTGGGAAAAGCAAGGCATTTCTGAAATGTCATTGTATAGTTGGCACTTTGGATGGGAATAGCTTGCAAAAGCACGCATCAATAAGTTCCACTAAAATGAAAAAGGCACACATGCAAATAAACTCACTAAGCACTGAAATGGATGCTGTGGTCTTAAGCGTGCTTAGCTGCAAGTAAGGCTGGAGGAACAAGCGACAGCTTTTAAGAGCACAGAAGGTGGAACGACAGAGCCACAATTTCCCATAGTGTACACGTACATTTTCTCATTATGCTTACTTGCTGGATTTGTTAGACTCCTTTCCAAAGAGATTGAGGCAATATGCAGCACCTCATATTGTAAAACATGTTTTTGAAAACTTTACCCCCTTTTTTATTATAAAAAAGCCTGTTTTCTCCAATCAGGTTTCTGAAGAACTACAAAAACTTGTGAATAAAGACAATAAGGTGAGTCTCTGCACAGCATGGACAATGATGCCTCTCTCTCTCTCTCTCTCTCTCTCTCTCTCTCTCATACCACTTTCATTATCTAGAGAGGAAGGACTCCTCTGTCTCCATGCGTTTGGGATTGCTATGTCAGCCTCATTTGACTGAACGGCATGAAATCAACTTCACATCAGCTTCTTTAGCTTAGCTGGTGTGTGCCAATTGCAAGTTCAAATGTTCAAAATCAGAAGGCTCTGGCCAAATAAGTTCTATTCAGAACAGACCCATTGAAATTTATGGACTTAAGTTAGTCACATATGCTAAATAAATAAATATGAAAAAAAAATAATTCCTATTGATCTACTACTCTGAGTATGGCTAACATTAAATGCAGCATAGAATCATGATTTGGATGTTTACAAACTCATTTTAAGAGTCGGGGGAGTCATCCTTTCCTTTGAACCCTTAAAAATGCATCATTGTGTCATCTCCTAAACTGGTAGGTAAATGTAACTTTTAACAACAATGATCCGATTTCTGGTTCATTTATTTGCTTGGTTTGGTGCAGAAGGTCTGATGAAGAACACACAGTGGCTTTACCTTTGTGGGCTGGTTGTTGCAGCTTTTCTCCCCGTTAGCTGGCAAATGGTCCTGAAAGATTCGACTGATGAGTCCAGGTAAGAAGCATTTAAGAATGATCGACAGAATGGAGTTGAATCACAGGGACGCAGATACTTGATGAATCCTTGTGGAAATCTTCAGAATATATTTTCAGCACTGTCAAGCTGACTCCTAGAAATTTGAACCCTTTCCCCAATCCTGTAAGGGAGGAAATAGGACGGTCAAGATAATATGTGGAGATTAACTGGCAACCTCTGTCCACACCCCAGTTAAAGCAGAATTTAGAAATGTATGCCAGCTGAACTATATATTACTACATACTACTGCGTTTTTCCATGTATAAGACTAGGTTTTTCCCCTAAAAAATAATGTCAAAAATTAGGGGGCATTTTATGCACGATAGTGTCTCCATTTTCTTAAATCTGAGTCCCCAAAAATAGGGGGCGTCTTAGAGACAGAAAAATACGGTGTATATAAACTGTGTGTTTACTTAAAACACAAGAAGATGGTACAAGTTGGTGCCCTTTGTAAGTTGCATGGGAGCCTTATTTGTGGAAATAAGTTCAGGGTATGCATATGGAGGTCAAGCTCATGCCCCAGTCTGAACCCACGCAGCTTATGCACATTCAGTTTAAATTGTGAGCAGACTGTTCTGCAGACACAAATGTAACATGCCTAGATTGTGGATGCACAATCCTTACAAACAGCAGAATCGTGCAAACTGGCCTACACAGGTACTGTTTGTTTGTAGGTATATCATGTGCGTTCACAAGACCTACTGGTCATGAATAAGTTGGGGTGGGTCCAGCAGGCATAACTATTACTACCCTGAAGATATGTGTTCTCTTGTCACGTGACGTCTGCTGTGCAGGGCTTGTGGTAGCCAGTGTTTTAAAAAACATGATGGGTGTTACTCAGAGTGGACCTCTTGGAATTAAAGGACCTAACTTAGTCTTGTGCATTAATTTCCGTAGGTTCTACTCTGTGTAAAATTTAATTTTTTGATAAGGTGTGATGTGCTATGAAGATACCCTTACTATGGTTAAAAGCAGGCATAGGCAAACTCGGCCCTCCAGATGTTTTGGAACTGCAATTCCCATCATCCCTGACCACTGGCCCTGTTAGCTAGGGATGATGGGAGTTGTAGTCCTAAAACATCTGGAGGGCCGAGTTTGCCTATGCCTGGTTAAAAGGATGTATAATTCTGTCCATTCTTGATTTCGGATACAGGTGGCAGTCTTATGAAACAGAAAGTGCCCATAGCTTTACATCTAATGTCAAAAGACATTCTGAAGGCACCTTTACCAGCGATTTTACTCAATATTTGGACAAAATGAAGGCCAAGGATTTTGTACACTGGCTCATCAATGCCAAACAGTACAGGTATGTGGTAGACTGCAGATCAGTTTTCCAATCAGAGTAAAGACAACAGGGCCAGCAGAAAGACAAAGAAGAATCAAAACCAAGGTGATTCCTGTATAACTATAAAAATACTTTCTTACGCAAGAGTAGGCAGACACAAGATAGTTCTTTGCTTTCTGCAGTAGGTCAGCATAGGTTTCAGAGTCCCAGTTGTTTGACAACAGCAAAACAGTGATTATAGTTTATTGTTCAAAGGTTTTATTCTGCTTTATTATGTTTTGTGCTTTTAAATTATGCCCTGCTTTGGGATTACAGAGGAGTGAAAAGTAGATAAGAAATGTTTTGTTTTTTTTTAAAAAAAGAACAACTTATAATTCAATAAGCAAAAGCTTGCAACCATGATTAGAAGGGAGGATGATTTTTCAACCTCGGTATGGTAACACTCCAGAATCAGATAAATGAGGGCGCTCTTAATCCTAAACCCATTTATTTAACCCTACTCTTCATTGATTGGGCCTCAATTTAGCAAAATTGAATTAAATAATCTACTGGTTGAAATGTAAAAGGTTCGTTTGTTGTTATTGTTGCTATTAATATCATCATCAATACTACTATAGCTTGATTGATAATTATTCCCAATTCAGGAACAATCAGCAATGGGGTTATTTATCTAGCTGGTCTCGTTACGGTAAAATAGCTACAGGAAAGTCAGGCTTTAGATCAGTGGTAGGGAACTTTTGTTGCTGGACTACAACTCCCACCATCCCATGCTTGCTGGGACTGATGGGAGTTGTAGTTCAGCAACATCTGGATGGTCAAAGGTTATTTCCACCTACTTTTAGATGTTTGGTGATTTGGGAATGGCTTGGCTCTGTTAGGCTCCAGTCCTATGCAACAGGGGTGGAGAACACACAGTCCTTCAGATGTTATAGGCTTTCAACTCCACGCTTAGTAGCAGCCAGTATGGCCAATGGTCAAGGATGATGGGAGTTGTAGTCCAGTTACATCTGGAGGGCCAAAGTTTCCCTGTGTCTTACCTAGGAACAGTTCCTATTGAATTCAGAGTTCTTTCTAAGTAGACATGCACAGGGTTCCAGTGTTACTGTTGTTTTCATAACTGTTGCCGTATTCCTGTTCACAGCTATAAAAAGAGGTTCATCAAGGAAAGTTACCCATCTGGCTTTCTCTCATTCAGGTAAGTCTTACTGCATTTGAAAAGAGAACTGTTACCGTATGACTCACATCCTCAAGACAGATAAGCTTCAAGGGTTCTGACTTTCCCTATTTCTGGAAAGAGAAGAAGAAGCCAGTGCCATGCACTAGAAGTGGTCACATTTGACTGATTCAAATCCTTGTGTAATAGTAAATACTTCCCTGTCTGCATGTCTGGAAAAATCATACACTATGAAATACAGCCATACCTTGGTTGATGAACGCCTTAGCAGTCAATCGTTTTGGGTCCCGAACGCTGCAAACCCACAAGTGAGTGTTCCGGTTTGCAAACGTTCTTTTGGAAACTGGATGTCCGGCAGGGCTGCCACAGCTTCCGATTGGCTGCAGGAAGCTTCTGCAGCCAACTGGAAGCCTCGCCTTGGAAGTCGAACGAACTACCGGAACAGATTCCATTCAGCTTCCAAGGTACGACTCTACAAGTGATTTTTACCAGTCTCACAGATGCCACTTCAATCACAGTAAGCCCACAACTCACACACATTTAATTCGTGCACATTCAGCTTTAAATGCATGGTTCCAGGAAAAATGACAATCCCACCCACCCTTGAACCCAGGGTGTTTTGGCTTTAGTCGTGATCCCCAGAACATAACCCCTGTTTAAGTTGCAGTCTTACTGTACTGGATTGTATGAGTTCATTGAATAATCTTAGGACAGTCACTGTCTTTCCACCCAACCTACCTCACAGGGCTGTTCTGTACTTGAGCTTCTTACAGAAAATAGGAAATATCGTATTTTTCGCTCTATAAGACGTACCAGACCAAAAGACGCACCTAGTTTTTGGAAGAGGAAAACAAGGAAAAAAATATTCTGAATCCCAGAAGCCAGAACAGCAAGCGGGATCGCTGCGCTGCAATCCCGCTGGCTGTCCTGGCTTATGGGATAGCCGCGTGCAGCTTCTCCTGGGCAGGGGGGGCCCCCTGCCTAGGAGAGGCTGCACATGGCTAAGGCTTCCCCAAGAGCCGCGCTCCCTTTAAAAGCCCCAAAGAGCCGCACACACGCTCCATGTGGCTCTTTAAAGGGAGTGCTGAGCAGAGCCTCCCGCCTACATTCGCTCCATAAGACTCACACACATTTCCCCTTACTTTTGAGGAGAGGAAAAGTGCGTCTTATAGAGTGAAAAATACAGTAGTTCAAAACTATTTTTCTGAAAGCGGGAGCTGTGCAGCCCCCACCCGTAATTGGCCCAGGCAGCTGCTAGGGCACCCCTAAATTCCTTCTGACCTGAACTCAGTTCATCTCCTTATTCCATGATCTATCACTTTTACAGATATGCGTAAAAGGAAAACTCAAAATACAAGGATCCCAAGTTCCCCTGCTTTGATGTCCAGCTTCAGCCAACACTGGAGTCTTTTGCTCGACATGGTCTTACCATCATTCTTCAACTCTTCATTATTTCCAAGTTGGTGAGCTACAGGCACTTATGAAACTTGCTGCTAAAGCTGTCTGCACTAAATAATGTCACATTAAAAGTGGTTTCTTCCAGCCTCTCTCTTTTGATTTCCCCTGTGTTCCTTGGAGGTGTTTGATGTTAAAGGCGGGATTTATGGGTCAAAACACACCAATGTAAAGGTTCTGTTTTTAATAAGATGTAGATTCTAAACAGTCTGGCTTCCAATAGTTCCAACAGTCTACAACTCCAGGTAAAAGGAATGCAGCAGCAGCATAATTGCTGATGAAAGATTTAAATGATTGCTAGGTACTCATCGCCTAGGACATCCAAGCCATGGTCCATCAAAATGGGAAGCTGTGCAGGTGTGCTGGTCCCGGGGGGTTACAGTGTGGTGTGGTCTGAGTCCAGTCCGAGGTCGAGGGTGTGGTATGGGGCTGTCCGTCAAGGCTGAAGCGGGGTCCAAGGCAAGGAGTCGGGTGAGGTCAGGAACTCTGGCAGAAGAGCAGGACAGGGTGCCGGCAGGAACAGGTTACCAACAATGTTGCTCCCGCAACCTGGGACTGGGGCTAGCTGGCTTTTATCTGTCCCAAGGCATAGGGTGGCCCCGGTCCACAGGTGACTCGCCTCTCCTGGCCTGGAGGCGAGCACTCCTCCTGCGAGAACTTAGTTCCCTCCACCTCTCTGCCCTGAGCTTCTGCAATCCAGAGGCAACCTCACCTTCCCCTGACGGGGCTGAGAGTGGAGCACCTGCAGGCAATGGGTCCGCTATCACCTCCGGAGCCAGAGCAGATTCAGCTGGTGTCTGCTCCTGAGGCACAGGTGAGAGCCCTTCAGGTTCAAGCCCCTGCCCTGGCTCAGCCAGCCCTGGAGGTGGAGACTCCTGTGCAGGCTGGGATTCCTCAGGTTCAGCCTCTGAATCTGATTCCCAGGCCATCACAGCAGGCACAGAACCTCAGCTCTGCTTCCCTGTTGTACTTTGCATGCTGATAGCAGCATCTGGGCTTGAGGAGGCATGTGGTCCTCACCTGTCCTGAGACTAATCCAGCTGAGGAATCACACACCTCCTTCCAGATCCAGCCAGCCCCACCTGGCCAGTTAGTGAGCTGGGCTGTGTGCCCTTGCCTGTCTCAGCTTCCTAGAGAGTTCCTCCCACTCCTCCCTAGGCCTTGGAGCCTGCTTTGTTTGTGGAGATGGGGACACCTCCAGCTCTGGTAATGGGTCCTGCTTCTCTGATGCCTGTGCACTGATCTCCTCGCCATCCTCTGACACCCTGTGAGTACTTTCTACGCCCCCAACCTCTTCCTCCTCCATCTGCAGCTTGTTCTAATGTGTACCAGTGGAGATGGCAGTACTGAATCGGTAGCTCATGTCCTTCTGGCTTGCACTCTTTATAAAGATTTGAAGAGTGAGGTTATCACCCCTCCATTCCGGGTCACCCAACCATTATTACAGTGTCCTTTCTCTTGGCAGATCAAGATGAGCAGGTGACAGCAAAGGTTGCAAGCTCCATTATTTGACTTTTGATTCAAACCCCCAAAATGTATTTTATATAATTGACTTTTTACCTTTAACCTCTGTATACTGCATTTTGTTTGTTTTATTGCTATGGCTGGTGGCTGATGCAAATAAAGATTAATTCATTCATGTGTACCAGTTGTTGCTACACCCATCGCCAGGATCCGTTTCCTCCTCCGCATTGTCCTGCCAGCTCATGACATGAATTCTCATATTGTCCCCATCTTCCTCCCTGCTGAATTGTACAAGGAATAACATTGAGACAAGGGAGGTGGGAACCGGCAGGCTGTGAGTGCCACACTTGGACTGGCTATAGATAAGATGGCAAAGAAGTGGGGGGTGGCAGAGAGCAGACTGCATTTGGTGGGGCACAGCCCCACTCACCTATGCAGAGTATCTTCCAACGTTGCATGCTTTTTCATGTATAAAGACTTCCCCAGAGGACATAAGACCTCTTTCTTGTGCTGGGTTTCCACCCTGGGACATTTGAAAGAATATCAGAGACAAGAGTGCCTTCCAGCATATGCAGAATGCATATATCTCACCAATGAGCAACCACAGAAGGTAAGGGCTTTCACATCTGAGGGCTTGAATCAAGGGTACAGCTGAATCCAGAACTCTCTTAGTTATAAGCTATGCACACTTACCGTATTTTTCGCTCTATAAGATGCACCCGACCATAAGACGCACCTAGTTTTTAGGGGAGGAAAACAAGAAATAAGAAGCCTCCTGAGCAAAGAGGGAGCGCTCCTCCCTCTTTGCTCAGGAGGCTTTGCAGGGCTATCCCTGAAGCCAGGAGAGCAAGCGGGATTGGTGCGCACTGATCTTGCTTGCTCTCCTGGCTTCAGCGAAACCAAGCCTCCTGGCTTTCCCCCAACCTCCTGCAAGAGCCATGCGCTCTTTAAAGGGAGCGCGGCTCTTGGGGGCTTTCCTGGGACCTCTCACAAAAGCCAGGGATAGCTGCGCGAAGCCTCCGCAGGGCAGCGGGATGAAGGCTTCCCTGCGGAGGCTTCGTGCGGCGCTCCCTCTCGTTGTTCTGGCTTCTGGAATAGCCCACGAAGCCTGCATTCGCCCCATAAGACGCACACACATCCCCCCTTACTTTTTAGGAGGGGAATAGTGCGTCTTATAGAGCGAAAAATACGGTACATTGAAATACATGGGACTTGCTTCTAAGCAATGTGACATTGGACTGGGCAGACATTTTGTCCCCAGCTAGCGTGACCATACTGTGTTATGGTCCGAAACATCTGGAATGTATCAAGTTAGGGATGATTGCTGTGAATTATACATTTATATGAAGCCTGGTGCACAACTACTTCGTTTGCAAAGTTCAATGGAAGTTGGTCTTGAGCTGCAGTGGGGGTCCCCATATATTTTTAAAAGAGCAGTACCTCCTCTCAGCATTGAGGTGCTCAGTAGGTTCATAAGGGGGGAGGGGAAGGTTACTCAGCCTCAGAGCATACCAAAAGGAAAAGAGAAGGAAACAGTTGCAAGGAGCGATTTCAGCCAGAAGCAAAGAGGGATGCTGACAAAAATATGTGAAGACAGTCCAGCCTGGCCTCTAGCATCTGCTTATTATCTATGTCTCGAGATGTTTTCTGTTTCACACAGAATCTGGCCTCTGGTAGTTCTTGTGATATGCTTACTGCACTCCCAACTAAATTTGAAAGGATTGTGATGACATCACTCCTGGCAAAGTTCTCGATTTCCTGTTAAGACATCCTTGCTACGAATCCTATTGCATCACTTTTCTCAATATTCATGTGGGATACATAATGCAACATTGCATCCTTGGGCTTTGCACTAATTAACCTGGAAGAGGCTTCCACTACTGGTGACTCACTAAGTGACAACCCATCTGTCATGCGCAGTGGCCTGCTGGGGTTCAATAAACTCCCTGTTTTTACTGGTGGACTAAGACTGCACAAACAGGAAGGGATGGTTGCATCTGGCAGGGTGCCACACATGGCTGCTGGGAATACATCTGGCTTGGTAGGTCACAAGTTGGACAGGCGTGATCTGAAAGTCCTCCTCCTGCTCAGGGACCAGGGATCTGTAAATTCTGTAAATACTTCCCTTTGTGATATGATGGAGTAAGTGTGAAAGACTATACAGTGGCACCTCGGGTTACAGACGCTTCAGGTTACAGATGCTTCAGGTTACAGACTCCGCTAACCCAGAAATAGTACCTCGGGTTAAGAACTTTGCTTCAAGATGAGAACAGAAATCGCGCAGCAGCAGCGGGAGGCCCCATTAGCTAAATTAAGAATTAAGTTCTTAACCCAAGGTACCACTGTATTTGATTGACAAGGGCATGCCTGGATCTAAGGTTCTACCAGAGACACCTTTTCAGTGAAATACAGTGGTACCTCGGGTTAAGAACTTAATTCGTTCTGGAGGTCCGTTCTTAACCTGAAACTGTTCTTAACCTGAAGCACCACTTTAGCTAATGGGGCCTCCCACTGCTGCCGTGCAGCCAGAGCACAATTTCTGTTCTCATCCTGAAGCAAAGTTCTTAACCTGAAGCACTATTTCTGGGTTAGCAGAGTCTGTAACCCGAAGCGTATGTAACCCAAGGTACCACTGTATCTATGATGTCTTGATGATGCATCCTGAGGTGTATTCTGGGAAACTTTAAAATACTGAAATACTTTATTAAAATAAAGACATGGAGCATATACTGTGTGTTAATATATCCATTTCCAGATGTGTTTTGAAAAGGCCTTTAAAAATCCAACATCCTTTTCCAACAGAAACCATTGTCTTCTGAAAATACACTGTAGAAAGAGTGCTTAGACAAATAAGGGCAGCTTTTATTTTACATTTCTCCTTGTTATTTTGGGTGAGTATGTAGATGACAGGCACAATCCTGATTGTCAGAATTTCATCATCAGTGACATTTTAGAACCACAAGGCAGAAGCCTGTTACTATAGAACCAAACAAAAACTATACTATAATGCCATATATACTCGAGTATAAGCCGACCTGAATATAAACCGAGGCACCTAATTTTAGCACAAAAAACTGGGAAAGCGTATTGACTCGAGTATAAGCGGGTTCGCCACACCACAAACCGGGTGGTGGCAGCAGCGGCGGAGGAAGAACATTGGAGGAAGAAAGGGCTGCTTTCAGGCTGCTCGTTCTTCCTCCGCCATCGCCGACAGTGGCAAAGGCGGAGGAAGAGGAAGGAGCAGCCCAAAAGGACCCTCACTCGAGTATAAGCCGAGGGGGGCTTTTTCAGCATAAAAAATGTGCTGAAAAAGTTGGCTTATACTTGAGTATATATGGTAAATAATGATGATGATGATTGATTGATTGATTTATATTCTGGCCATCTGACTGTACATTTCCATAATACTTGTTTCTTAGGTGAATTTAGCAAAAACCCTTTTTATCGTGCACAAAACAAGTAGCCAGAGCCAATCTTCCAATTTTCATATTTTATTTACAACATGGAGTGTTTTTTTGAAATTACATCTCTTACAACAAAATAAATATTTTTTTCTTTTATTTCTAAAAAGAAAATAATCTCTCTATTTCTACATGTGGCGATTATAGGAGGAAGGAAATACGCTAGAAAAAATGTGCCAGCACCTTTTCTTTATTTGATTCCCCTCCTTCTCCAGTAAGGATTATGAAGCACTTCTTGTGTGTTGTGGTTTTCAAAGAAGACAGACCCTGCCTTAAGAACTGACACAGATTCTGTTATCTAAAGCCTTTCAGACAACAAGCTTGTTGGGAGATACTGTGGAACCTGGAGTCAAGCTTATGCCCCACCCCGCAACATTCGTCATCTAATCCCTGTCAGCTATGAGCCATTTCCCTCCTCCCCATCAATACTGGGATGAAGTCAAAATTCCTGCTTTGCTCAGGATAAAGGCTTAGGTTGGCCCAACTGGGTTGTGGTTTCTCTTATGAATGGCGCTAGGAAGGAACAGCAGTGTGCTCAAAGATTCTTTCCTACCAAATAATCCTAGCCAGCTGTCTACCCTCCACATCCACACACCGAAAGAAAGAAAGAAAGAAAGAAAGAAAGAAAGAAAGAAAGAAAGAAAGAAAGAAAGCTCTTTCTTTCTCTGCCTCAGGTTGCAAAAGTTCATGTTCTAAGACTCATGTAAATCTTGACAAATTCCCCAACCCTTGAGCTAGGAAGCTGTAGGAGTAGTTCAATGTAGCACTAAGCAGATAACTCCATCCACTTGCCCAATGGAACAACCAGCCTTGTCCTCCCGCATGAGCTGTTCTGGCAATTCTCTGAACCCCATTATCCTAGTAGAAGTCCTTGCATGGGCCTCCACTGGCAGGGCCACTTAACTGAATGGGTGGCATTCAAGAAAGTTTTACTCACTCATTGAAATGAATGGACCTAGCTTAGTAACGTTCATGAATTTCAGTGACTCTACTCTGAGTAAAACTTAGTTGCATACCACCCTATACATTTCAATTTTTGCAAGCAGAATCACCAGGCTATGCCCAGCCATGCTTTGTGTTTTTCTCCTTGCCTTCCTAAATTCCCATAGACAACCGCTCTTGGTTAAAAGTCTTCACTTCTTGGAGCTGGGACCTGCTTCAAGTCCAGGTCCCCCCCCCACACACACACACACTTTTCTTTAGTCCAGAATAATCCCCAACCATTCTGAACTATGATTCCCGATAGCTCCACAGATCCATCATGCAGCAACACCTTTCTACATTAGACCAAATGAGATTGTGTCTGTCACTTTCTGCTCAGTGCCCATCCAGCACTCTATGATTTGGCCTACAGATAGTGTAGGGTTACCTAAAAGTTCGTGCTGCTTTCCTTTGTTTAGCCACAGATGCCCCTAGAGTCGAGAGAAGCTACATATCTTGGCTTCCTATCAAGATTGCCAAGCAAATATTGCAGGGCCCTTTTGCAGAGACAAGCTGGAGATGCTTAGGGTAGAATTGAAAGGAAAGCTGCTGATTATTCATGGCATGAAAATGCAAATTGTCACTTGGCATACAAGGAGAACCATGAATAGAATGAATGCAAATATTAACGCAGATACTCTGGTTTTTCTTGGCTTAACTTTCATGGCAGGTCAAGTGGTGGAGATTTTGAAATTCAAGTCAGAAAGGAAATTCAAAACTGCGTTTCAATAAAGTGGTGCTTGGTAGGTATAGCTCCATCCATTATTTGACCTGCAATCCAGTTAAGTTCAAGCCGCTGACACCTATACCTAACAGTTATTGGGAGTTCCTCTGACTTCAATGAAATGGCCAAGCAAATAGGAATGTAACAGTGGCCCAAAACAATATTTCATCGGTGACAAAGGAGAAACCTGATTCTGCTACACACTATTTTCTGCCTCTGCTTTACCCTGACTAGCTAAATCCCATCACACTTATGTTCCTAATTCACCAAACTTTGCCTTGGCTCAATCCCTTACCTGGCAGCTATTATCTTGCTACCACTTGCTTTAGCTCTACTCATTAATGCTACCTGGGCAGGGGACAGAATTTCTGAAATCCTAGCGAGCAAATCCTAATGCTAAATGTTCTCACCAATGAAGTGTCTTAAAACAATCTCAATTTTGCGTCGGGGGGGGGGGAATCACCCCAAGGTTCAGAGTGACTTGCAAACGATTTGCATCCTGTCTCCCAAACCTGCCTCCAGCTTAGGATTGGTAGGTTTACCCTGACCAATTCAGTATGCCCATTCCTGCAGGGCATTTAATGCTCTCTGTTCCCAAGGACAACAGGTGTAACCTAACAGACCTCTTGCCCACTTTCCCCCATGAAATATATGTCTCTATTCAAGTTGTATAATCTCGTAAACCACTCTCAGCATAAGGAATTAAGCCCAGATATGAAATGTGCGCCTTTGATTTCCTGCCAGTCTTAAAGGCTGCTTACTTAAAGCATGGAATCCCTACAATTACAGCCAATTGAAAAGGGCAATACCACCACTTTGACTACCCCTCCACAGCTCCTTGTGTGCTTGTGAATGAGATGGCTTTGCTCACACCCTTGGAACACAAGACTGCAATGCAGAGCCAGATCAGCTGGCAAGGATGGCAGTCAATAGTGGGGAGTGGGATTTAAGTATGCATGTAAGTGCTTGCTCCTCCCTTGCTTGCTTCTGTGTGCCATAAAAGGGCCAGCAATGTGGGACAAGAATCTGAGCCAGGGTACCGTCACCCAAAGGAAGCAGACTGCGGGAGATAGTACCTCCTGGCTCTCACCTTATCACCAAGAACTCATACTCTGAAAGGGGGATAAGGAGAGAGGACTTTTGCTCATTGCCGATCATGTTGTCTATCAATAAAAGTTGTGCTCTTCTTTTCAGTCCAGTTCTTGAGTCTCATGTCTTCATTCTGGGTCTTGATAAAAATAATTTTAATATTTGTACCCCACCCATCCAGCTGGGTTTCCCCAGCCACTCTTGAGGCAAACATTTACAAGGGAAATAAACCACTCACAACTCTATCCACCATGCTGGTTTTCTTCACATAGCCAAGAGATGAAGGAAAATTGATAAGGAGAGAATTGAAGAAATGAACAATGTAGTTTGGCTTAAGTTTCATGGAAGGGTAACAGATCTAAATTGCACTTAGATCTAGGTGGAATGAAACTGCTAAAGGTTTTCAGAATAAACTGCCACCGCTTCCTCCAAAAAAATATTGGGAGCAAGAATCGCTGCTAAGAGTCTCCATCACAGAACTTCTGTTCCAGGGTTTTCTACTGTGAAGGAATAGCTTTAAATGAGTTTTAAGCATGTGGTATTGTTGTTCCCAGCTTAGTACCCTCTTTCCCAATGTGTCCTCAATAAACACATGTCCAGCTTCTGAAAAATATCAATTTACTTGGTACAGAAAAACCTACAGGAAGAACTTGAGAAAAGACAACAGTGTTCTGCCTAGGTTGGAGAATCCTGACCTACTCACCTGGCCTATCATCCCTGCCTTGTCCCTCAAAGGTTTTGACAAAGTATCGATTGGCCATTGCAGAGCACTGCTTTATGAGGAAATCAACACACACAAAATCTGGCTCTTGGGTACAAAAAGGCAGCAGAAGTCAGGACAGATATTATTGATTTGTTCTGAAAGGTCAGCAGGCCATGCCCATCTCTTTCTTGTCTATTTAAATTTTTTAACTTCTCTGAATTTTGAGGGGCCCAGGATTGTCAAAATGCTATGCAACCAATTCTTTTGAGGTGCCAGCAGCTTTGGAAGCATAAACTACTTATGCTACCATCAGCCCCCCTGCCACATAGTCAAAGCACCAGATTGGATGGGCGAGGAAGCAGAGTGAGTCCCTGCTCTGTAATACAGTTATGTCTCCCTCCCAGTTGCAGTAGTGGATAATGCACGGAGCCCCAATGGAGCAAACTGGTTGGTTGGCTTCCTTGAAACCTGCCCTTGGGGCACCTGAAATCATGCCATCAATTCAAATGACCAAGTATCACTTGGGGCAATAGCATGAGCCCTAGTCATCATTTCTTGGCCAATTAACACTTGGGGAGGTTCACTTCTTGACCTGAAAAGGCACACAAGAACCATGCTTGAGAACCCAAATGTTCTCAAACGATAATAGAAAACAGAATAATCAAGAACCAAATTTCTGTCTAGTAGATCAATTAGCTCTGATGTTATTAATTTCAAAGGGGTAGAAGAATATCATGAACTAAGTTTCCATGCACTGAGGCACTGAGACTCCTGGCCCAATCACCTCAAAGGCAACTTTTGATGTCTGTTGTTTTGTTCTCAATCTATGAACTCAACATTTCTGATCACATTTCTGGGCTCAACTGCTGCTCTCCCCATATCAGTCCACTTTTGCCCTCATAATACATTGGGCTGCAGGGATTTGTCAAGAGAGTGCCGATTGTGACATCAATAGCTGTTGACACAACTGCCCTTCTCTAGCCTGCTAGCTCATTTACATTGCTATGGTCAATGGCTTGGTTGCATTTATCTAGACCATGAAGATCACACACACAGACAAATCAACACAGATATGTTTGGCCCATGTCTATATTGTCACTGAAACATGTAAATGTTCTGATGAATTAGGGTTTCATCATAAAGTAGCTAAAAAAACAAAGGAATTAAAATAATGTGACTTAATTTTTTCTATAATGAGCATTTCAGAAGGCCATTCCCCGCCCCACATTTTCTTGTAAGTTATCTCTTATCAGTTGCTTCTGTGATTCTGTGTAGAAACTCAGGCAAACCCTAATTGAACTATTTCTGCAAAGAATAAGTAAATACAAAGAATAAAAAAGAAAATCCAAACATAGTGGTGGTGTTGTACATTCAAAGTTTAAACGGTTAAAAAAACCAGACACTGAAGAGGGAGACTTTAAGTATGCAGAGACAGCAGTCTCTCTATAGCTAAGAAACTGCAACACGGCAAATGTACACACACACACACACACACAGGCTTTAACACTAAATTTTCATTGTTTCATGTGCGTCTTGATTTGCTGGTCTGAAGATAATTAGGATGCCCACTGAAGCACACTAAAGGATATTCAAAACACTTCTGAATGGCTTTTTAATATGAACCCAGTTACTTGTGTGAAGGAAGTACTGGGGCAGTTTGTTTGCTTGCACCCTTTTCTATTGCAAAAGCATTTTTCTTCCTTGCCTGCATGTCTTGGCACTTCCCTGAGTCATCTTCGTGTGCTGCTGCTCCTCGTCCAAAGCAGAGGGGCATGAATGGCAAAGCTGTGAACCAAAACATGCTATTAGAGATAGATTAATTCTGAACATTCTGAAGGTAGGAATCAATGTGGTTTCTTCTCCAATCTCCATCTTCTTCTATCAAAGATGATTTAGGGTAACACAAGAGGCACAGGGGCACTGGGTGCACAACCAAGGAGGGTGACTTCTCAAAGCCCAGTAAGCACTTGCCTGGCTTGAAGGAGGAGGCATGAGGGCTCTTACAGGGTTCTAGAGTCTTCCTGTCTTCTTCCCAAAGCCAGGCAAGTGTTTACCAGGCTTTGGGAAGGAGGAGGGGCGGCTCTAGGACCTTGCCAGAGCCTTATGCCTCCTTCCCAAAGCCTTGTTTACCTGGCTTAAGCCAGAGGGCCAGAGGGTAGCTAACAGGACCAGTGGTCAGGGATGATGAGAACTGTAATCCCAAAACAGCTGGAGATACAAGTTTGGAAACCTTGGACTAGATGATCCTCATGGTCCCTTCCAGCTCTATGAATCTATGACTCTAAGTCTGAGAGCATGAGAAACAGTGTCAGTTTGCCTATCAGTGACTGCCAAATGCTTGGATCCTTTGCACACATAAATACAGTGCAAAATAGATTAGATGTGCTACCAGACAGGGAGCTCCTAGCACTACCTAATGATTGCTCCACTGTTGTAATCAAAGTGTAGCATTGCAATAGACTTTCCACAGTCCAGACGGCATAATGTTTTGTGTCTGCATGCACACTCTGCTATGTTCTGTCCACCTTAGTGAATGTGGAATGTGGGTGTGGGTGAAATTGTTTAATGCTCTGCTCTCGCCAGTACCTTAAATTAACCACTCTAGCTGGCTGGCTTGAAGATTGCATGGGTAAGTACAGGTCCAGGGTCACTGTACAGCGAAATCTCCGTACCTCTACTCTTGATTTAGAGCATTTATTGATTCACGATGTTCTTCCACAAGATTGTTTTAGCCATTTCGTCAGTGATGTTGATTTCTAAAGGATCAGGCCTGCAATAATCATTTTAGTTAGAGATTAACTCCTAGGACAGTGAAATTAAAAGCACTGCAAAATAATGCAAAGTCATATAAGAGTTTTGTAGTACCTGAAAGACTAACAAGTATGGCCATCTTTAGATCAGTTGCAGAGTGTCCTGGTAGACTCTCTGCTACTGATCATAAAAGTGGCGATTCTTGAAGAAATCAGTTTCAAAGGGAAGCTCCAATGTGAAACTGCTGAATTGCAATTCACCAAGAAGTTCAGCTCTGTTTATTTGTAACTGAATAGAGACAATGGTCTCCTTGCCCACTACAGATGTTAATTAACACAGCATTGCCAAGTTGAATTTCTCTCCCTGCTAGTGTAAAAGGCCACTGGAACACAAAATAAGAGATATTCAAAAATAAAAATAAAAGAGGAAACATGCAATTTCTGGATATCTGGAATTCACCAAAATTATAGCAAGCATTGATCACTCATTTAGTGCCATTGAATGCCCTTTTTGTGTTGATTTTACGACCTCCCCAAAGGCTAATATTTTCTTTTTGACTTCACAATTTTGTGTTTTTACCCGTTTTGTGTTTTTACCTGTTGGTATTTTTTTGGGGAAGTTTTGGTGGTGGAGTTCCAGCTCCTGGTACAGTAAGAAAATTTGGCATTTGAACTACAGTTTCTTCTGAAGATTCTTTCATCTTTTCAGACTCCTGTTTGACACATAAAACTGGCGTAAGGCTGATTTGAGAAACAACACATTGAAAAGTAACATTTTATAACAACGCATGGTGAACAGGAATGTGAACAAAGCCTTAGTCTCTATGCATTCCTCTGAACATGTGAACAAAGCATACAAATATATAAAGTGTGTGTGTGTACACAGGGACCCCACTTTTTGCAAGGTTCCTTATTGTGCAAAGAAAGCCTGTGTGCAGTTATACAGATGCAGAGGTGGAGGAAGGGGGGTGCGGTGGGTGTGGGCCACAATTCAAGGACAATTACAGTACAGTACACAGCCGGATCATCTCCCATTTAAATTCCTTGCACCGTAACTGGAACTGTGAGGCATTGACTGTCATGGTCCTGGCCAAGCTGAGAGTCAGGAGGATGGATCTGGGACGGCTGAAAAAGTGACTCAGAACAAAGTTCCTGAAGATTGGAAAAACATTGCCCAGCAGAGGGCAGAACAGTTGGATATTAATTTAGATTGAACATTTGACCACTTTGAAGAATTATTGTACAGTCGTACCTTGGTTGTCAAACGGAATCCGTTCCGGAAGTCTGTTTACTTCTGAAAATGTTCAACAACCAAGGCGCGGCTTCCTATTGGCTGCAGGAGCTTCCTGCACTCAATTGGAAGCCGCAGAAGCCGAGTCAGATATTTGGCTTCCAAAGAACGTTTGCAAACTGGAACACTCACTTCCGGGTTTGTGGCGTTCAGGAGCCAAAACGGTTCTCGCAAGGCATTGGGGAACCAAGGTATGACTGTATATACAACTGAGGGATGGCTAGCTGGAAGTCATTTTACCTTTTATCTATTTCTTTCTTATTTCCTTTCTCTTTTCTCTTTATTCCTTTATTTAATATTCTCTCTTACAGTATTTTGATAAGAATTGCATGCAGATGGAGATGATGGGCAGTTGGTGAAATGCTGGGAGGCACTCACCGCAGGGCCTGCAGCCCACCCAAGCCACGTATCACACCTGGGAGAGACATGGTGGCTTGGGTACACGCAGGCTCTGCACTGCCCAAACGGTCCACCCGCTGCCTCCGCCCCAGCTGTAGGGCGGCTGAGTGGGAGGAGGCAGGCAGATTCCAGAGGCCCCATGGTGCGCCCCACCCCTATGGGTGGCTCGTCCCGCCCTCGGCTCGCCTATATGGGTGGCTTGCCCCACCTTTATGGGCGGCTCACCCCGCCCTTGGGCGTGCTGCCCCAGGTGCCCAAGCGGCTTCCTCCGCTGCTGTATGAATTTAGGGTGGAAAATGGTAAGGGATTGGCAACTGATCAATAAGAAAAAATTGGGAGGAACTAGATGGTGATAGCACAGGAAAGATCAAAAAGGGCTTGAGTGATGAGATGGGTGTCTCAAGAGCAACATGTCTGTGCCTGCCCTTGATAATAAGAAAGTACAAGAGGATCTTATAGCTGGTTCCTAACTTTGCTACAGCACAATCAGATTCTGAAGGGTGGACACATACATGCAATACATAAACCTGCTTACCTCTGCTTGCTCTGCTTGCTCTGCTTGCTCTGCCACAATCTGTGCATCGTCCAGTCTTTTCTTCTTGCTCTCTGGCATAAGGTCATCAAGCCAACTGAGTTCCCGCTTTGAAAAGCAGACATCCATGAGCTTCCGTACAAAGACCAACGCCAAAACCTTGTTGTAGTAAGGAGAAGAGAAATGGGAAGGTGGGAAAAGATAAAGAGCACTCACACTCTTAATGAGAGGATTCACCAGCTGGAACAATACACAGATGAAGACAAAGGGGATAAAGGGTACCAGACAGAGGGAGAAAGACACAATTTTCTTTACTCTCCTCTTCCATGATCAAATGTTATGCAAAGATTGCCATTCTTGCTGCGGAGTTTTGTTTGTGGCAAGGAGGCAAACAGGAGAGCAAGAGAACTTCATTCATGTGTAATCCCAAAATCCCTCCAAGCTAATGCCAAAGTTTTGCGTCCTTTTTGTGCCATTTTGTTTGGGAGAATACCTCTGGCTCTCAGTCTATTAATTACGCAGTTTTGAGTGGGGTGGAGGTACAAAACATGGGCTTTTCAGGACAAAATGGCACAAAATGAGCACAAAACTTTGGCATCAGTTTGGAGGTGATTAGACAATGCCGGATTTGGGGGTGTTAACTTGGAACCCTGGTTTGCTGTGTCAATTATTCAGCTGGGGAGGGGAGGCACAAAACACAGGGTCTGTGGCTCAAAAGGAACACAACAGCTTAGTATCAGCTTGGAGGGGATCCAAAATTTGGGGGGTTACATGTTAATGAAAATCCAGCATGTTTGTAACCCAGCTCAGGCAATCAAACAATAGCAATAATCAGCTATTATGAAGGGGAAGCCAGCGCTGCCTCTATCATGCAGCAGAGCAAAGCAACTTGCTTTAGACAACACCATGGGGACAGATGAAGGATAGATGAAGGCAGGAATTGGTGTTGCAGCAAAACTTTCAAAAGTGTTGGCCCTAGTAGGGAGGGAACCATTTGGGCTCTGCTTCAGGGATCAAAATATACTGGGCCAGCACTGGGGACAGCAAGGAACTGATTGAATCTCCCCCCCAAAAAAAAATAAAAAAAAAAAAAAAATTAGGCTGATTGGAACTACTGCCAACTATCTGAACTGGACTGCAGTCAGATGTTAGATCAGAGTCCATATTTATATTTCTGGTGGTACTACTGACACCTTAGGGACGCGGGTGGCATTGTGGGTTTAACCACAGAGCCTAGGACTTGCCGATCAGAAGGTCGGCAGTTTGAATCCCCACGATGGGATGAGTTCCCATTCCTCGGTCCCTGCTCCTGCCAACCTAGCGGCTTAGTCATGCTGGCCACATGACCCGGAAGCTGTACGCCGGCTCCCTCAGCCAATAAAGCGAGATGAACACCGCAACCCCAGAGTCAGTCATGACAGGACCTAATGGTCAGGGGTCCCTTTACCTTTTTACTGACACCTTCCATCCCTTCCAATTTGGTTAAATTGTGGCTGGCTAACCTGCCTTCGCTCACTGGAAGGACAGATTGTGAAGCTGAGGCTCCAGTACTTTGGCCACCTCATGAGAAGAGAAGACTTCCTGGAAAAGACCCTGATGTTGGGAAAGATGGAGGGCACAAGGAGAAGGGGACGACAGAGGACGAGATGGTTGGATAGTGTTCTCAAAGCTACCAGCATGAGTCTGACCAAACTGCGGGAGGCAGTGGAAGACAGGAGTGCCTGGCGTGCTCTGGTCCATGGGGTCACGAAGAGTCGGACACGACAAAACGACTAAACAACAACAAACCTGCCTTCTGGTTTGACTTCTGTTATCCACTTTGCACACTGGCTTATAAATACTGTGTAACCAAATATGCTGAGGATACAAAAGCCATTTGGGGAACAGAATTCCCATTAATAAAAGGGGCTTTTTAACAGCAGTAAGACACAAAACGCAGGCCAATTTTTACAGATGCAATCTCGGTCCACGTGATAACATTATGGCCTATTCAGCCTTAAGTTATAGGTTTTTACCATCATGGGAAAGACAATAGCAGCACGAGATGCCTTAATAGCCCAGAGAAGAATGAGGCAGGTCATTTGGATGGCAGTGAAGAGGTGCACTTTTCGCAATGGAACGTGTCGGAGATAGATGAAGTCCGGCTGGTGTTTGGTTGGCATTCCAATGAGCTTCAGGCGATCAAAGAACTAGGGAGAGCATACAACAGAATAAATCAAGCATTTGAAACAAGGCATAAATTACTATAGAGTGCCTACTTCATGAACTACCTTACACAAACCCGCATAAAATAGCTAAGGGCATTTTCCACACAAGACACAGATGCAAAACGCCTTTAACGTGTGGGTGTACCTTGAAAGCAATATTAATCTTCACTAGAATGTGCTTTCCATTTTATTAGGAAATGATTCCCTGTCTTCCAGTTCTTATCTCATATTAATAAATAAAAGGGATTTCTGTCACATTGAAAGGCAAGAAAGCCACGCTTTGCCAAAGGCAGGGAGCAGCAGCCCATTCATTGGCAGAAGGCATGGTAGGCTGCTGCCTCTCCCCTGACCTCCATTGCGTTGCTGCTGCTTACCCGGAAGTACAGGGTAAAGGGCGAGACATTTATGAGGTCAGCACAGTGAATACGCACCTGTGGAGCCCATCCAGCACTCCTTTCAGTGCGTTTGCACCATGCCAACCTCACTACCGCCTCTCGCCTGCCCCTCTACCTCCTGACAAGCAGCAGCAACACTGCTGACTGGAGATGTTACTGTGCAAGTTAGAAGTGTGGGTGCAGCTTCTGTTTCAGCCATTTTGTTTGGTTGCTAATAACGCTGTAAATGTATAGTTTTGCTGTATCTTTCTTGGTATACGTTTAAGATAACATTTGCTTTCTTGCTAATTATGTTTCTTTAAATGTGTATTTTATGCTTACTTTCATTTGTAATGTTTTATTTTGATATTTTGTTTGTTCACCACTTTGAGATTTTAAAAAAAATTATACACTCAAGACACCTTTTCCCCAAAAAACCATGTTTTGTCTCTTTCACACACACTGGAACTTGCGGTGTCAACACTGTGTTTGAAGCAGCCTTTATTTTTATGCACAGTGTTGGAAAGGCACAAATGTGGGAGGCTGAGAAACCAACACAGCCAGTGAAAGGCAAAACAAACTAATTCTAGATTTTTCCCCAGCCTCCTCTCTGCTGAGTCCTGCAAAGGCATCACTATGACGATGAAACTGACCAGCCATGCTACCCCCTGGAATGATTGTAAGTAAGAAGGCAAGCAGGTTGGGACTGGCTGAGGTTGCAGAGGGGAGTGCCCCATTCGCCCCAGTCAAGCAGACTCCACTATCCTAATCTTTGGCAGAACAGACTGTGCAGTGTTACATCAGAGGTTTGAGATTACTGACAACAAAAATGAAATTCAAGCCATTTCTACAACCTTGTGTTAGATCCGAAGGGCAAAAACCCACTACAATAAGACTTGTTATACATCTGGAAAAAAATGCAAAACAAGGAGAAGAGGAGCAATTAAGACATACACAATTAATATTATTATATGTGTTACAAAATATCTCTGTACTGTTTTGAATGCTGTGCTTTCAATGCACTGGATGCTGTGTATTGTTTTATTGTTGTGCTCTTATTAATGCTGTGAGCTGCTACAGTTGGGGAGGCCTAATAATAAATAATAATATTTTTTTGTACCCCACCCACCTGTCTTGGTTGCCCCAGCCACTCTGGGCAGCTTCCAACTGAATATAGATAAACAACAAAACATCACACATTAAAAGAGTCCTGATACAGGACTGCCTTTAGATGTCTTCAGAAGGTTGCATAATTATTTATCTTTGACATCTGACAGAAGGGCATTCCATAGGGCAGTCGCCAAGAAGGCCTTCTGCCTGGTTTCCTGTAACTTGGCTTCTTGCAATGAGAGAACAGTCAGAAGGCTCTTGGAGCTAGACCTCAGTGTCCGACCTGAAGAATGGGAGTGAAGATGCTCCTTCAAGAAAGGATCCCTTCTACATCTGTGGCAATCTGTGTCTGCTGCACAGAGAGGAACACTGCAACCTTCAGGGGCCTTTGCCAACTTCAAGGCTTCAACACAGGTGCATAACAACCAACTCCCACCCAGGTAAAGAACACGAGACATAAGGGACTTCTGGGTTAGCGCCTCCGGCAATGGCGGATTTCCTCTGACCGAGAGGAATCCGCTTCGTGGAAATCAGGGTCTGGACCGCCACGGTGAGGCGGAGACCCATTAAAAACCACAGGCGGGAGAAGCCTGTGGACGTGGGATTCGGCTGGCACCTTTTGCGCCTCCCCTACTCGCGGGGAAACCCAGTTTCGGGGATCCGGAGCGATGTGGGGTGAGCAGCGTGGTGTTTCGAATCGACTGCTCTTTTCACGGAGTGAAGCCGCATTGCTGTTGCTGGAGAGCGCTGACTTTTTCCTGTGGCCAATTGGACTTTAAACAACTACCCGTGAGTAGAACGGAAAATTGGATTACTAAACATCTTTAATTTGGCACCGAAGCGGGAAGGTTCCAAACAGGAAGTCCGCCTTCCGCTTTTGTAAATAGATTGAAGCAAAGACATTGCAAGCTAAAGTCTGGAAAGTCTTTTGTTAAGGATTAAATCTCCATCGGCTAAAATTACTAAACCCCCCTTGGAAGCAGGAGAAGAGGGGGAAAGTTTAGACTGTTTAAGCCTGCAGGAGAGAGAGTGAAGAAAGATAAATTACCACCGTTTTGAACCTGGGAACGGGCTGCCAGGGAGCGACGTATTGGGAAAGTTCATTGACTGAGAATAAAACGTGTGTTGACAGATAGTTAAACAAGAGAAACATATTGATTCCAATGTTTCCTTTTGCACTTGAAAGGAGCAAAATATCTGAAAATCGAAATTAACTTTGTTAACTTTGTTGCTGGACCTGCTTTTAAAAAGACGGATACAAATAGAAATTGTTTCCCTAGAGGAGCTCTTGAAACTGTTGCAGGAGTGGATCTGGGGAATTCTCCAGCTGTAGAGATTAAAGACCGTGAGAATTAGACATTGACCTTGGACAAGAATGTGGGCAGAAGAAGCCTTAGTGATTGCTTTTTGCAAAACAAGTGCCTTATTGGAACAGCTTCATGAGAAGATGGATGCGATGACTACTAGCATTGACAATTTTGGACAAAAAAGGATTGATTTGGGACAAAAAGTGAATACTTATAAAGAAACTACCCAGGAATCTGCTTTGACATGGCAAGCTGTGGAGAAGACAAAGGAGGAGGATGTTGTTGAACCTCAAGTAATACAAGTGGAGAGAGCCTCGGCCTTGTATGAGCATAAGCTGTTGCTTTTGAAGACCGAATCTGGAGAAAGCCAGATTTGGAGAGATGGAGTCCCGCTTGGATTGGAGAAGGAAAGTTGGAAAGATCCCCTTATGCAGGGATGTTCCGGCCTTTGGGATCTCGTTTTGGGCCAGGGGGAGATTGGAGTGGCGAGGGCCTTTAACTTTGGAGGGACTTTGAAACATGCTTTGAATTATTTCTTGGATTTTGGCCCTGTCTATGGAGAATGGGCTGACCTGTTGAGAAGGGATAAAGACATTGTTAGGTTGGAGTCTTCCTGAGATCTACTCCTCAGTGACAAAGGAAGGAAATTAAGAACAAGATCAGCAGAAAACAAAGTAAAGTGTAGGTATAAATATGAAGAAGATCTGCAGAAGGGACATGGAAAAGAGTTAAGAGCCTCGGACAGGAGATCACCAGGTTGATGGACTAGATGGAATGGATAGAAAAGACTGACAAAACCCAAGACCAGGGTGAAGAGACGGTGGATGAAGATTGGAAGAAAGTTTTAAAAAATTATTTAGAGAAATATTGTAAAATTTATGAGTGTTAAAAAAATGTTGGAATGAAACTATATGGCTTTAGTAGAAATGTTATAAGGAGTTATGTATAAATAAGTTTTAAGTTTTAGGGTTTTTTATGGTAAGATAAGGTTAAAACAAATTAAGACAATTAAATGACAGAAAATAGTGAAAGATGGAAAGGATTTGCTGAAATAATGAATAACTAGAATACAAAAAAGGGAGGTGTGAGGAGGTCGATGAAACAAGTTAATGAAAAACAAAGATATGGAAATATTGGATCTATTTTTGACTTTTTTGCTTTTGTTTTTGGTTTTGATGTATTGTGTGTTTTGTTCTTTTTTTTCTTTTTTTTCCTTTTTTATATGTATTGACTTGTATTGTTTAATCTCTTTTTCTCTTTTTTTTACACTTTTTTCTGTAATTTTAAACTTTCAATAAATATCATTTTTAAAAAAAGAAGAACACGAGACATAACTATGCCTATGCTGTCTAGAGTGTTTGACTAGGTCCCCATGAAGCTTATCTTGGGCCAGATACCATCTCTCAGTCTAACCTACAATAATTCCAACTCCCTCCCTGATATAGAATATACGTCACCAGGATGTTGTGAATATAAAATGGGAGGAGAGTCACATATACTGGCCCAAGTTCCTTGGAAGCAAGGCAGGGGTACCACATAGTGTGAAGGAGTGAAGGGAAAGGAAGGGAAAGGATGAGTGGAAGTGGAAGATGGAATAGTGAAAGTGATATTCGGGGGAGGGGGGTAAAAAAAGAGGAAAAGAAAAATAGGGGAAAGAAGAAGGTTCTTCCTTTAAGAGATGGTGGAACATTTCCAGACTGCTTTTTCTAATGTGTATTGTGTTGAGACAAAGTAGAGACATCACCTTGCCAATAAAGGTCCGTATAGTAAAAGCTATGGTTTTCACAGTAGTGATGTATGGAAGTGAAAGCTGGACCATAAAGAAGGCTGATCGCCGAAGAATTGATGCTTTTGAATTATGGTGCTGGAGGAGACTCTTGAGACTCCCATGGACTGCAAGAAGATCAAACCTCTTCATTCTTAAGGAAATCAGCCCTGAGTGCTCACTGGAAGGACAGATTGTGAAGCTGAGGCTCCAATACTTTGGCCACCTCATGAGAAGAGAAGACTCCCTGGAAAAGACCCTGATGTTGGGAAAGATGGAGGGCACAAGGAGAAGGGGACGACAGAGGATGAGATGGTTGGATAGTGTTCTCGAAGCTGAGGCTCCAATACTTTGGCCACCTCATGAGAAGAGAAGACTCCCTGGAAAAGACCCTGATGTTGGGAAAGATGGAGGGCACAAGGAGACGGGGACGACAGAGGATGAGATGGTTGGATAGTGTTCTCGAAGCTACCAGCATGAGTTTGACCAAACTGCGGGAGGCAGTGGAAGACAGAAGTGCCTGGCGTGCTCTGGTCCATGGGGTCATGAAGAGTCGGACAGGACTAAATGACTAAACAACAACAACATTGTGTTGATCTGCCTCTTTTTGGCAATTCCTTTTAGTCAGTAAAATTGCATACCTGAATTCCGTCCAGCGAAGAAACACCCATGTACAGGAACACTCCATAGAGGACAGGCATAGGTATAAACTGGAAAAGGAGTACACACATCATTCCACTATTCATTTATTCATTCACTTCAAGCACTTATACACCATACCTTCTGCCAAAACAACACTCCAAACAGCATCCAAGAACAGTAAAAACAGCATTTAAAAGCATAGTACAAAATTCATAAAGCATAAAGGCTTGGTTGTAAAAAGTCAATAGAGACAACTATAACTAATAAGCAGCAAACTGTGCATTACAAACAGATGAGTTATATATTTATTTGTGGGGCACACTTAATAGGATGCATCTAGCTCTTGAAGCACAGTTCCTAGCTGTCATTGTATTGGCAAATAATATAAAATGACCCACCAAGAAAGCCTAAATCTGCCTTCTCAGCCTCTCCTCCCTGCCTCTGTGATATCTCCTGGCAACTCTTCCAACCCTTATCTTGTCAATGAAATGCAGACTGAGCAAAGACTTAGGCCGCAATCCTAACACTTATTAGGGTCTAACTGTGCAATTGTCTACATGTCAATTTAGTAGCCCATGGGAGCTGAGAGAAAGGATCTTTTTGCTATTTGGGGTATAAGAGAATTATCTGGCTCCAACTTTATGCAGAAAAAACTGTGCTCTAGGTACCTATAGTCTGAGGAGCAGAAGGAAATAAAGCCCCCATTTAATGAGGCCATCTCTCCAAAACACATTCTGCAAATACCATAAGTGCACTTTTGGAACAGAAATCCAGAGTTAATTGCTATTGCCAAAGCTGGTTTCTCATATTAAAACCAACACCATCTAATTTCAGCGCTTTCCCAAAAATGGGGCTATTGTCATATTGAAAGTTCCTTTTACCTGCAACGCACTAGTGATGAAAACCGAGAGGCCCATTAGTACAAAAATCATCAATCCGGTAGCTCTTTGCTCACGTATGCCCAGGAATTTAGGTTGCTCTCCAGGAGCTGCCACGCTGGACTCCAGTTTGAGGCTGTTGACATGACTGATGGAAAGAACGGTAGCAGCAACAAACCAAGGCAACCCCATCACTGAACACACACCAATCATGACGCCCACCGTTAGAAGGTCCAAGTGGTAGCCGCCCCCTTTCTGTGGAGATATAAGTCATTAGCAGATGGCAGCTAGAAGCTTATATATTCAGAGAGCTATCAAATACTAACAAGTTCTAGAGAAAGGTTTGTCACATGCCTGAAATGCAACAGAAGTCACAGGACACCTGATGGCAAAGGTCAGGCCCCAGTTCTTCATACCATGGAAGATGATAGTAGGTAAGAAGCAGATTATCCAACCTCTGTCAGATGCAAGATTCTTTCACTTTTGGCAGTACTTTGAACTAGTTAAAACTACACACACACACACACACACACACACACACACACAATCTGTTAGAGAACATACTTTCTCCCATATTTATTTTCCTAAACCCTGAGATCTTCTGGGAGGTCAATAGAAAACTGTTGGGTTTTGCAAGTTATTTTAAAAGCAGAAAGATCTCTGCTTATTTACTAAGCCGACCTATTTCAAGAAAGGCAATAAAGCTGATAAGTAAGTTTGCTAGTAAGTTTGTGGACAAACAAAAGAAGAACATTACCACCTTGATTAATTTAGAACAGGGAAAGAGATTATTAAAAACAAAACAAAAAAAAGAAATTGTAACTTTGCCTTTTGAATTTTATAAAGCCGTTTATTCATCAGATAACTTAGATCTAATGAGGGCATTTGTTTGTGATATACCCAAAATTAGCAGTGCAGATGAGGTTATGTTAAACAGCCTACCTATGGAAGAAAACGTGAGACAGGTTATCTGTTTATTGGAACAACCCAATAAACTGCTGGTTTCCTAGCAATTTTATAACAGATTTTTGTAAGACTAATACGTATCACAGAATTCTTAAATAATTATCAGACATGTTCCCATTTTTCAAATACTTGAAAAGATGAAAATTCACTCTTATTTTTAAAATAAAATAAGTGGTCATATTGGCCACTTGCAGAATTTTTCCACTATCAGAGTTTAGAAGTAGTTGGGCTTCAGTTCACAATATGAGAAAAGGAATAAATGTAATTGCTGAAAGTGAATATCCACAGAAACAAGCATGATTATGTGTTCCTGGGTGTCAGGAAGGCATTTGATTGAGTGGAAGAACAGTTTTTATTCATTACATTGCAAAAATGTAGTAGCATGAAATGTTCACTTCTCCAAACCTGAAGATTAGGATGACAAAGAATATATAAAATACCTGCAAGCAAGAGGTACATCCAGTTGTACACTGCAATCCTAAACATGCCTACTCAGAAGCAAGGCCCATTGACATTAATGAGATTTACTCCCAGCTAAGGATGGGAGTAGTAATGTTTTAGTCCCATTAAAATCACTGAGGCTTACATTAGTCTAATGTGCTACTAATTGCAATGGGACCAAAGCGCTGATTAAAACCAGTGGGTGGCATTCAACTAAGTTTTACTCGGAGCAGACCCACGGAAATGAAAGAACACAACTAAGTGTCTTTCATCTGAGCCTTTTAATGCCATCACAATGCTGCTGTCCTAGTAGGCAGCATGATTATACTTCTCATATCATAGTAACAGAAATAAAAGTATTGCAGACTTCAACAAGCAAAGTATACCATTACCTTAAGCTTATGTTCCTTCCTGTTCACAATAACTGCAGTGATCTGCTGGTCCATAAATACCAATATGGTGCAGAGCAGAGCTGGGATGATAGCTGCTACTACTGTCCACCCGGGATTGTCACCAACTGGACTAATGAGCCACCCACGGTCGTCTCTTGTTGGCTGCAGAATAATACACAGGGTTTGTGCACTGCCCAGTCTCAGCTGCTATTCTTCTTGATGTCCTGAAAATTCTAGAATGTCACAGCATGGTGCACAACAGCCTTGCCTACGGCTCCCCGTCCTAAATTTAAAAATGCCCTCCATATGCTTGGGGTGTCAGACATTTTGATATGACCCTAAGGATTCACAGTTTTGAGACACTCATCAAATCAGGTACACATATCCTGGCAATAGGCCTATGCCCTATGAAATACAGTGGTACCTCGGAACTCGAACGGCTCCATTGCCAAACGTTTTGGTTCCCGATAGCCGAAAACCCGGACGTGCTCCAGTTTTCGAACGTCCCTCGGAACTCACACATCCGATGCAGCTTCCACTGAGAGCAAGAACCAATCAGAAGCTGCGGCTTGGAACTTGAACGTTTCGGAGGTCGAATGGTCTTCCGGAACGGATTATGTTCAAGTTCCAAGGTACCACTGTAACTACTTCTCTTGTCAATATAGTGACCAACTTGATCCATGCAATACAGCACTCCTCCTCAATCCATCGCCTTCCACATGCTGTTGAGTTCCAGCTCCCATCAGCCCCTTCCAGCATGGCCAATAGCCAGAGATTATGGAAGTTCCATCTTAATTGGGCAATGTGCATTTTATACTGGGGTCAATATAAAAACGACCCCTGACAGTTAAGTCCAATCACAAATGACTCTGGGGTTGCAGCGCTCATCTCGCTTTACTGGCTGAAGGAGTCGACGTTTGTCCTCAGACAGTTTTTCCGTGTCATGTGGCCAGCATGACTAAGCCGCTTCTGGCAAAACCAGAGCAGCACACGGAAATGCCATTTACCTTCCCGCCAGAGTGGTACCTATTTATCTACTTGCACTTTGACGTGCCTTCAAACTGCTTGGTTGGCAGGAGCTGGGACCGAGCAACGGGAGCTCACCCCGTCACGGGGATTCGAACCGCTGACCTTCCGATCGGCAAGCCCTAGGCTCAGTGGTTTAGACCACAGCGCCACCCATGTCCCGTAGTCAATATAGAAGAGATCAATTGTCAACCTTGGATGTACTAAATATGATAACAGGCACAATGTTATTGGTAAATACTGTATAATATAAAATAAATAAAATAGGGAAGTTGCCATCAAAAACACCTGGAGGGCACCTGGCTGGAGAAGGCTACAATACAACAAGAGGCCTGGGGAACCAGAGAGAGGTATGGGAAGAGAAAGAAAGGATAGAAGACATACTCTGGTGCTGTATTTTATAAGCCATGCAGCAACCCCTGCAGTCAGTAATCCTGATTGGTTACTTTTGACTAGTAACAATACTCATAGGCAGTGGTTTTCAAACTTTGATCCTAGCAACAATGGGAAACCCTCAGAAAATTAGTGGAGGTTCTCAATGAGAAGGTGGTTAATGGCAGGCAAATGACCCAAAAGACAGCCAATTCACCATTACTGATCTTTCCCTATAACACACACCCGGAGAGGATTCTTGAACTGTGTACAGTTATACCTCATGTTGGGAACGCTGCGGGTTACGTCTTTTCAGGTTGCGTCCCTCGGCAACCTGGAAGTACCAGAAAGGGTTACTTCCGGGTTTTGCCACTCGTGCATGCGCAGACACACAAAATGATGTCACACGCATGCGCAGAAGCGGTGAGTCACGACCCACGCATGCGCAGACGCGCAGACACAGGTTGCGTTCTGTTCAGGTTGCGAACGGGGCTCTGGAACGGATCCCGTTCACAACCAGAGGTACCACTATACTCCAGAAAAAGCTCAGGATTCATCCGCAACATGTAGGGATCCCACAGCTGGCCATGCTGGGGTTCCTTAGCACTGTGATGGGGAGGACATTTGAATAACACCACTTTAGGGAATGTGGAGTGGAGCCACATGCCAAGTTCAGCAGAGGGCATTAGGTTTCGCAAAGCAAAACGTTAATTGCAGAGAAGAATAAACATGGTCCCCTGAATCCACCCTTAGGGTGTTTTTCTTAAGGTGGCAAGACACAAATATTTTACCATGCACAAGCATCTTTCAAGCATTTTCAGTTATGATGGGACTGTCCGCAACCTTTGCCTGTTTCCACAGTGTCTCTTCTGCCTTGACTGGACAACAGAACCTTCAACTTCTATTTCAATCAATGCTTCCTCCAATTCCACAATTCTTCAGTGCTTTCATCTTTCTGCTTCCAGGCCTAGGACCCTCGTACCTATGGGACCGCCTCTCCCGGTATGCCCCACGGAGGACCTTAGGGTCCATATATAGTAACACCCTAGAGGTCCCGGGCCCTAAGGAAGTTAGATTAGCCTCAACCAGAGCCAGGGCTTTTTCAACACTGGCTCCGGCCTGGTGGAACGCTCTGTCTCATGAGACCAGGACCCTGCAGGATCTGATTTCTTTCTGCAGGGCCTGTAAGACAGAGTTGTTCTGCCTGGCCTTTGGCTTGAAATCAATTTGATTCCCTCCCCCTCTTTCTTTTTTCCTTTCTCCTCCTGTGATGAGGCCGCATTTTAATGTTTTAATGTTGTATTTTAATCTTGTTTTTTAGTTGTATTTCAATCAACTTGTTTTTATATCGGTTGTTAGCCGCCCTAAGCCCTGTCTTGGCTGGGGAGGGCGGGGTATAAATAAATTTTATTTATTATTATTATTATTATTATTATTATTATTATTATATCTTTCTGCTTCCCACTCTGCTTTTAAACACCCACCTGCTTATTTCAAGCCATGAATTCCTCTCGCCTCCTGTACTCTACACCTTGCCTCATTGTCCTGTAATCTACCTATGCCCAATTGGGGCAGATGTCCAGGGCCCCTCTCAGCAAAAGGTATAGGAATACTGCAGGGATGACTTACTACATTTTGAAGTAAGTGTAGTGATACACATTACTATCCTGGTGATGTCTAAGACATTTAAGCCCAGAGTCTAAAATTACCTAGCTGCATCTCTCTGCCCCATCCACTGAAAATAGTAAACACAACTCCCAAACCTCAGTTCCCCCTATGCACATTTAGCTATGAAATATTAATTCTCCTCCAGAACACAGACAGAACCTGGTATGGTGCTGTCCTCTTCTGCCCCAATCACATAGACATCCCTTATTTTCCACACCAAAAAGTTAGTTGCACTTAAGAAGCCACATCAAATCTATCATCAAAAGAAAGGTGCCTACCTTGAAGACCCTGGGAACATGTAGCTTTGGTGATGGGATTCCAACTAAGTAGTCAATTAGAACCATGATAGCAATGGTAATGAAAATAGCAAAATCACCTACTGTTGAACGAACCTGTTGCAAAGAAAAAGCAAGAGAGGGCTCAGCAAGAGGATATATGTTGGTTATCAGAGCACTTAGCAGGTTAATTAGTATGCAGATGGCTGAGACAGGGGCTGAAAAGGACTGCAGGCCAGAAAGCCGTGAGTTAAGCCACCTCACCGCAATGCAGGACTGTTTGCACACTATCCTATTTGCAAATTAATGCAAGAACACAATGCAGTATGAGAGCCACTGTGGTGTAGTGGTTAGAGTGTCAGACTGAGACCTTGGAGGAAGGGTTCAAATTCCCACTCAGCCATGAAGCTCCCTGGATGATCACTTTCTCTCGGCTTAACCCATCTCACAGGAGGCAGAGAATTGTGCACGCCACCTCGGAAGACGGGTGGGGTGTAAATGCATAAATAAAAAAAATGCATAATTAAATAAGTTAGCAGAAGGCAAGAATAGGTGGGTGCTCAAAAATGCCCTAAAAACAGGAGGGCCAAGCCACATACTGCAAGGGCAGATGGGGAGGTTACAATACTAACCTAGGTGGGGCAACATTCACAGAAAACGCTTTGTCTATCTGAATCCAGATTACAACTCAAAATGCAGGTAAAAGCTGAGCACACAACCCAAGCAAGTAAAATGTCTCGTTTAGTTCATTAGTTCCTTCATGCAGCCCAAAGTCTCTGCACGCAGTAGCAAATGGCATAGTGAGGTGAGGTGCCTCTGTTTACCTGGTCTCCTGTCAGTCACATTTCTGTTGTTGACCAGGAAGTAGGAGGGGAGGGGAGGCGGTGGCAAGGTCATCATGGTGCAAACACACCAGCAAGAGCACTGGATTGGGTCTGCCTGCTTGTCTGCAGAATGCCAACCTCACTGCCACTTTGCCACATGTCCCCTTTTTCCAGGACACACCCTCTTTCTCATGGGTATGTAAAATGAGAGTCGCCATAGCGATCCATAGCAAAAAGTAGAAGTTGGCAAATGTGTCCTCTTTTTTGCTCTCCGTAATATGGCAACCCTAACTTTCCCCTCCATAATACCTGACCCTCACCTGCTGCTGCTTATTGTATCTGCTATAACTCTGTACTCTGCCATTGTGAAAGAGAGAGAAGCAATGTCTTTCCTTTGCCACTGCTCCAGATGCTGGCCACAAACAGGGCCACCTTTTGGCCCTCCCCGTGGTAAATGCCAGGTGCCTTAATTTACCCCACAGGGTAGAGTTGAAGATAAGCAGAAAGTCCTCCCCTCCAAAAAATAATAATAATCCAGCCTGTTCATGTGACCAGGGTAATGTGGTAATTGTGCAGAACAGAGAAAAATATTTCAGCCAGTCATTGTTACACAGGGTAGACAGCATACACCTGTCAGGGTTTGAATTTGCTGTGCTCACTGCTGCTATCTACTTACTCTTTTTGGGAAATAGCTACTGGTCTTAAATTTCTTCAGCGTACTCGACAGGATAAAGGTGGTAAAAAACAAAATGCAGCACCAGAAATGAACATCCGGGGTGAAAGGGCCATCAACGCCGCATGAAGGTCCTGTGAATTCTCCAAGCATCTCCCGGCATTTCTGAACAAACAAGTGTAATCAAAGCATTGAAAAGAAAGCCCAGGCAGCAGGCATGGTAACATCAGTGATTATTAGATGCAATGAACATTTGAATAAATTAAAGGTAAAGGTAAAGGGACCCCTGACCATTAGGTCCAGTCGTGGCCGACTCTGGTGTTGCAGCGCTCATCTCGCTTTATTGGCCGAGGGAGCCGACGTACAGCTTCCGGGTCCTGTGGCCAGCATGACTAAGCCGCTTCTGGCAAACCAGAGCAGCACACGGAAACTCTGTTTACCTTCCCGCCGGAGTGGTATCTATTTATCTACTTGTACTTTGACGTGCTTTCGAACTGCTAGGTGGGCAGGAGCTGGGACCGAACAACGGGAGCTCACCCCGTCACGGGGACTCAAACCGCCAACCTTCTGATCAGCAAGCCCTAGGCTCTGTGGTTTAACCCACAGCGCCACCCGTGTCCCCTTGAATAAATTAGGGCTGCTCAATTTGAATACTAAACTTGCAGCAGGGGGGAGATGTGGCTCTCCGGATTGCTGGGCTCCCAACTCCACTCATCCTCAACCAGCATGGCCAAGGGCCAAGGATTGTGGGAGTTGTAGTCCAACAATCAAGGTGGGCATCGGTTGGCAATCCCTACCAAGTAAGAATGGGCAAAATGAAGTTGAAATAAAGTCTCCATTTGGGCTAAATGTGATACTCTACTATTCAGCAGAACAGCCTGTGGGTGCATGGATGCTGTTATGCAAATTCAACATTGCTTGGGTGGGAGAATCCCAAGCCCACAATCCTTAAATGTGGAGGCATGAACATGCAGAACGTGTTCGGCATTTAATACCATGATAAAGTTGGGCCATGTTCAAGTATGTCATGGTTCAGATAGTTACTTTAAAAAAGTTAGGGCAAGGCAGGGGTGAGGACATTAAATATAATAAGGAACACTGGTGTGGACACGTCCTAAGCATTAGAGCTGGATGCCAGAGAACCAGTAGAGTAGGCCACAACAGCTCTTCCAAAAGACAAGCCTTTCCCAAATATTAAAACTGTTGTAAAGGTAAAGGTAAAGGGACCCCTGACCGTTAGGCCCAGACGTGGCCGACTCTGGGGTTGCAGCGCTCATCTCGTTTTATTAGCCAAGGGAGCCAGCATACAGCTTCCGGGTCATGTGGCCAGCATGACTAAGCCACTTCTGGCGAACCAGAGCAGCGCACGGAAACACCGTTTACCTTCCCACTGGAGCGGTACCTATTTATCTACTTGCACTTTGACGTGCTTTCGAACTGCTAGGTTGGCAGGAGCTGGGACTGAGCAACGGGAACTCACCCCGTTGCGGGGATTCGAACCGCCGACCTTCTGATCGGCAAGTCCTAGGCTCTGTGGTTTAACCCACAGCGCTACCTGCGTCCCTTAAAACTGTTGTATGAACAGGCAAATAGTCCGCATAGGTCCAATCAAGCACACTATTAGCTCATAGAACTTTAAATGGTCTATTACTATTCCACTGTACAAAAGGGGGCAACTTGGTTCAGCCCACTTTAGAAGTTTATAAGACCAGAGCGTTGCCAAAGTTGTTATATGAAGCACCACTGTGGGCCATGGCCAATTTAGACTCACTGCAGAGAGCTCAAAATAATTATTCGCACAGACTCCTGTTAGTCCCCATTTCTACAAAAATAGCACTACTCTGTGCAGAACTGAGTGTAATGCCCATTAAAGCCAAAGCCATTAGACTAGCTCTGCTTTTGGGATTAAAAACTATTTTTTAAGCAGATATCAGAATCTTTCATGAAAACTTTTGAAGACAAGGCTCCCAACTTGTGGAAACGTGAAATTCAGCTTGCTGCCACAAGCTTGGGACTCTCTGCCCCCTTTCTTGTGACGCAGTGTTTTGAGAGAGCTAAATAATTAATACTCGAAAGGCTGGGAGACACTGAGATGCAATCTCAAGTGGTTGAGATCAACATCTGTCAATCGAATAAATTCTATGCTTCTTTTATCCCATTGCACCCATCCCTGCCAAGATATCTGGCAGATTTACCAAATGTTAAAATGAGGTCAGCCTTCACACAGGCAAGACTAAATGTCGTTCCATTAGCAGACTGGAATGGCCGACATAAAGGAGTTCCAAAGAAGGATAGAATTTGTGGCTGCAACTCTGTATCAATAGAAAGCATAACTCATTTTCTGCTTGAGTGCCGTTTCTATGATGATCTCAGAAACAATTACATCCACCCATTGACATAGCTGTCAACCTTCAGATTTGAAAATAAGGGTTCAGCATCCTCACCTGTCCCGGAGACAGTCTACAGGATATCTAAGAATCCGGGATAGCAGCGGGAAGCTGCAGGAAACAGCGCTGAAATAAGGGAATTTCCCGCAAAAAAAGGGAAGGTTGACAGCTATGCCCATTGCCAAAATCGCAGAAGGGAAGGTCGTCTCTTTCAAAGACCTGTTTTTTGCTGTCAGGTGTTGAGAGATATACAGTGGTACCTCAGGTTAAGTACTTAATTCGTTCCGGAGATCCGTTCTTAAACTGAAACTGTTCTTAACCTGAAGCACCACTTTAGCTAATGGAGCCTCCCACTGCCACTGCGCCGCCGGAGCACGATTTCTGTTCTTATCCTGAAGCAAAGTTCTTAACCCGAGGTAATATTTCTGGGTTAGCGGAGTCTGTAACCTGAAGCGTATGTAACCTGAAGCATATGTAACCCGAGGTACCACTGTATATCCTTTAGAACATTTAAATTTCTTGTTAAGGCTTTACAGATTTGTGTAACAAAACTTGAGGGGGGGGACGGGAAGTGATTTATCCATTAGGGGTCAGGGAGTAGAAATGTAAATCATTATTAGTAGCAGTATCCCTGTTGTTATTATTCTTATTTTATGTGTGTAAAGGCTGCTTGCTAAACAGAATAAACCAAACTGACTAACATAGGCTGGAAATTGTTGAAACAAATAAATAAAACAGTGGCTTAAACAAGGTTCAGACAGGCTCTGTCAGCAGTTCATCAAACTTAATTGGCTTGTCAGTAATATGTGAACAAAAAGCCAAAACCATTTTTTTCTCAAACAGTTCTTCTCCAGCAATGAAGGGAACATGCTTTTTATTTTTAAAATGCTATGTTTCCATATTTTCTTTTTGCAAATACAGTGGTACCTCAGTTTAAGTCCTGTTTACGAACGATTCAGTTTACGAACTCTGCAAAACCGGAAGTAGTGTCCCAGTTTGCAAACTTTACCTCGGTCTAAGAATGGAATCCAAACGGTGGAAGGGCACTGGCAGTGGGAGGCCTCATTAGGGAAAGTGCACCGTGGTTTAACAATGGTTTCGGTTTAAGAACAGACTTCCGGAACATATTAAGTTCGTAAACCAAGGTACCAGTGTACATATTTTACTACAACAGTTCTGCTGCAACCCACTGAAAGCTAATGTAGTGCAGGCATCCCTTCCAGATGTTTTGGCCTACAACTCCCATGATCCCTAGCTAACAGGACCAGTGGTCAGGGATGATGGGAACTGTAGTCCAAAACATCTGGAGGGCCGAAGGTTGGGGATGCCTGACGTAGTGAATTAGTGGGAGTGTCAGACAAGGATCAGAGAAGCCTAATTTCAAATCAGAACACAGCCATGAAGTTCCTTGGAAAAGTTCCTTGGAGGAAAGGCAGGATCATAGTAATTGTAGACAAGAACTTTAAGGGTACACATGTAAAAAAAAAAGTGCTAATATTATTGGTTTAATAAATGCTGATCTAATCAATTGGTAATGCTGTGCTACAGACATCAACCCATCTCCAATGGGGGCGGGTTTGCAAAGACCATAGACTTACAGAGACTGTGAGATTAGCCCATGTGACGGCTGAAGGAATGATGTTGTTTTCTTTCCAGTACTTCAGGGTCTCATTGCTGGGATTCACTGGGGCTGAACACCTGCAGCTGACAGGCAAAGGAAACGGTTAATAAAGCACCCTGAGAATGTCTCAAAAGACAGCCTTGTTTACATTCCAAAGCAAAATGGCATATCCATTTGTGATGGAGTGGGGGAAAACACAAAAACCGTATTGTTCCATTTGTGGGAAGCACCTCCATTCAGAAAACATTTACTTGGGAATCATTCCCACAATTGAGACTTAGTTCTGCCCAAATCCTTCGTGAGAGGAGAAACTCAACAGAACTGCCTTTAACTACATGGCCTGAACTGGTGGCCCTGCCTTCCCTCTTCGACTTTACTTCCATGCCTGGATGGATCATGTGACCACTTTACAAACCGGTAGTTCCTCATTACTACAGTCATATCTTGGGTTACAGACGCTTCAGGTTGCGTTTTTTCAGGTTACGGACCGCCGAAACCCAGAAGTACCGGAATGGGTTACTTCCGGATTTCGGCGGTCGTGCATGCACAGAAGCACTAAATCGCACTTTGCACATGTGCATAAGCACCAAATCGCAACCCGTGTGTCCACTGTATGAAGCTTCCGTTAGCTCCAGACCATTGCTGGAGCAATATTCTAGTCTGCCTGGTAATGGCTGCTGCCTATATGCAGCCAGAATCTGGAGCTGTCCATGGTCCTAATTCCCTGTCTGAACTGTAGTTTCACTTTCTTGATCCTCCCTGCAGACTCCACCTGCAACAGAAGTGCTAGCAGGTATAACAATCAGTAAATAAATGAGACACACAAGAACCCCCTTGAGAAATAGCTTGAGGAATGCACCCTATGCCACAGTATGGGTAGCACAATTCAAAGTCTTGGTGCTGACCTTTAAAGCCTTAAACAGCCTTGGCCCAGTATACCTGAAGGAGTGTCTCCACCCCCATCGTTCAGCCCGGACACTGAGGTCCAGCTCCGAGGGCCTTCTGGCGGTTCCCTCACTGTGAGAAGTGAGTTTACAGGGAACCAGACAGAGGGCCTTCTCACTAGTGGTACCCGCCCTGTGGAACGCCTCCCATCAGATGTCAAGGAAATAAATAACTATACAACTGTTAGAAGACATCTGAAGGCAGTCCTGTATCGGAAAGCTTTTAATGTTTGATGTTTTATTATGTTTTTATATTTGTTGGAAGCAGCACAGAGTGGCTGGGGCAACCCAGCTAGATGGGCGGGTATGAAAATAACAACAACAACAAGCAGCTGCAGCACGCTGCACCTGGAACAGATGTGCTGGCAGATATAACAACCATTAAATAAACAGCACACACAACAACACCCTTGAGAAATAGGTCAAGGAATGCACCCTATGCTACAGTATGGGCCATGGCTAATAAGTGCCCAAAATGCTTATAAATTAACCTTTATAAATTGAAAATGCCAATATCCATACCAGAGAGAGAAAGTGTGGGTCTGTGTATATGTGTAACTGTACAGCATAAAAATCCTTTGAATGACCTCTGTTATCTTCTTCACTAAATGAGCTCCAGACTTCCGGGTTAGCGCCTCCGGCAATGGCGGATTTCCTCTGGCTGGGAGGAATCCGCTTCGTGGAAATTAGGGTCTGGACCGCCACGGCGAGGCGGAGACCCACTAAAAACCACAGGCGGGAGAAGCTTGTGGACGTGGGATTCGGCTGGCACCTTTTGCGCCTCCCCTACTCGCAGGGAAACCCAGTTTCGGGGATCCGGAGCGATGTGGGGTAAGCGGCGTGGTGTTTCGAATCGACTGCTCTTTTCACGGAGTGAAGCCGCATTGCTGTTGCCGGAGAGCGCTGACATTTTCCTGTGGACAATTGGACTCTAAACAACTACCCGTGAGTAGAACGGAAAATTGGACTATGAAACATCTTAATTTGGCACCGAAGCGGGAAGGTCTAAACAGGAAGTCCGCCTTCCGCTTTTGTAAATAGATTGAAGCAAAGACATTGCAAGCTAAAGTCTGGAAAGTCGTTTGTAAAGGACTAAATTTCCATCAGTTAAAACTACCAAACCCCCCTTGGAAGCAGGAGAAGAGGGGGGAAATCTTAGATTGTTTAAACCTGCAGAAGAGAGAGTAAAGAAAGATAAATTTCCACCGTCTTGAACCTGGGAACGGGGTGTCAGAGACAGACGCTTTGGAGAAGTTCATTGACTGTGAATAAAACGTTTTTTGACAGATAGTTAAAAAAGAGAAACATATTGATTCCAATGTTTCCTTTTGCATTTAAAAGGAACAAAATATCTGAAAAACGAAAGTAATTTTGTTGCGGGATCTGCTTTTAAAAAGACAAACAGAAATTGTTTCCTCTAGAGGGAGCTTGTGAAACTGTTGCTGGAGTCGATCTGGGGAATTCTACAGCTGTAGAGATTAAAGATCGTGGGAACCAGACATTGACCTTGAACAAGAATGTGCCCAGAAGAAGCCTTAGTGCTTGTTTTTTGCAAGACAAGCGCTTTACTGGAACAGCTACATGAGAAGATGGATTTGATGACTGTTGCAGTTAGCAATTTTGGACAAACAGTGAATACCTATATAGAAACCACTCAGGAACCAACCCAGGAATTTGCTTTGACAGGGCAAGTTGTGCAGAAGACAAAGGAGGAGGTTGCTGCTGAACCTCAAGTAATAGAAATGGAGAGAGGCCTTGCAGGAACATAAGTTGTTGTTTCTGACGACTGAACCTGGAGAAAGTCAGATTTGGAGAGATGGAGTACTGTTTGGTTTGGAGATGGGAAGTTGGATAGATCCCCCTATGCAGGGATGCTTTGACTTTTGGGATCTGGTTTTGGGCCAGGGGGAGTTTGGAGTTGTGGGGGCCCTTAACCTGGGAGGGACTTTGAAACATGCCTTCAAATATTTTTTGGATTTCAGTGCTGACTATGGAGAATGGGCTGACCTGTCGAGAAGGGATAAAGATATTGTCAAGTTGGAGTCTCCCCGAGATCTACCCCTCAGTGAGAAAGGAAGGAAATCAAGAATAAGATCAGCAGAAGACAAAGTAAAGTGCAGGTATAAACATGAAGAAGACCTGCAGAGGGGACATAGAAAAGACTTAAGAGCCTCGGATAGAAGGTCACCAGGTTGATGGACTAGATGGAAGGGATAGAAAGGACTGACAAAACCCGAGACCAGGAAGATGAGACGATGGATGAAGATTGGAAGAAAGTTTAAAAATTCATTTAGAGAATTATTGTAAAATTAATGAGTGTTAGAAAAAATGCTGGAATGAAACTATTTGGCTTTAGTAGAAATGCTATAAGGAATTATGTATAAATAAGTTTTAAGTTTTAAGCTTTAGGGCTTTTTATGGTAAGATAAGGTTAAAATAAATTAAGGTAATTTAATGACAGAATATAGTGAAAGATGGAAAGGATTTGCTGAGATAATTAATAACTAGAATACAAAAAAGGGAGGTGTGGGGAGGTCGATGAAACAAGTTAACGAAAGATAAAGATTTGGGAATATTGGATTTGATTTTAAATTTTTTGTTTGCTTTTGTTTTTGGTTTTGATGTATTGTGTGTTTTGTTTTTTTCTTTTTTGTTTTTACTGACTTGTATTGTTTAATTCCTTTTCTTTTTTGTTTTGTTTTTACTTTTACTTTTTTTATCTCTGTAACTTTAAATTCTCAATAAATATCATTTTTAAAAAAAACCTAAATGAGCTCCATCCAACTAAAATTATTTCCTCCACTGCCTCCAATATATGAATGGGCTGATATACCTAGATGTATTTTTATTATGGCGTGTCATTTCAGTGAATCTATCATGCACTAGTATTTGCTTAACCATTGCTGGAATGAGGGGGGAATTCCTTTGCTTCCCAGTTCTGTGCAGCAGACATTCTCAGAGCACACAGTGAATTCAAACAAACCGAAAGAAAAATCAATAGGCTACATTTAAACAAGGAGAGCAACAGTAACTCACTAATACAAGCTCAGTTGATCAAGATCCGTGTGCATATGAAATGGGTAGGTTTTCCCCAACTTAATCAGTTTCTCTAGAGACTCATAGATGAAAATGATACAGATCAAAGAGGCAAACGCTTCTTCTGTAAAGCGAGTTATGTGGCACACAAGGCAGCTGGCATCAGTTGCTACAAGGAGGACGCACATAAATGTAGTCCACAGGCCAATGCAAGTTCGTAGAGAGAGATAATTTAGGTGATAGTCTCTGCAAAAAAAAGAAGAAGACCAATTTAGACTCTCTCCATTGCAGAACGTATTTAATTCAAACCCATAATCAGAACAGAAAAAAGCTGCGATGCAATATAGAGTTAAGTAAATGATCCTAAAATGCTATTGACTCTGTTTTGCTTTGTGGCCAAACTCTACCATCCTTAAATGGTAAAGGTAAAGGATCCCTGGACGGTTAAGTCCAGTTGAATTCGACTATTCATTACACACAGTAATAAATATTATCTCCAGCCACAATGAACCCTTTTAATCGCAGATGACATCGCTTTATCTTCTGCCACTTTTTTAAAGTTTAGAGGCCCAACGCCATGTGGATAGGGCTCTCCGCATGTGTCTTTTCCACTGGATGTGGACCACATTGTGTGATGAAGGACTGGAAACAAATTAATTTAATTAAATAATTGAACTTCCAAAATTCAGCATCTTGGTTGATGGCATTCAACCATTTCTGTGAGAGTAAAGAGGAGGGGGCATTGTCCCTCTCCAGTTATTTTCATTATTTTTAGTATTTTATTAAATTCATTCACAGATATCAGGGCAATTCACAACATAAAACTTAGGGAACAACATAGCAAATCATGAGTAGCAAAATCATGGCGGTTGCCATTTTCCATTCCCCCCTCGGCTTGCTATGCATCACAATTAGCCCCAGATCACACCAAAGTAGGGAAGTGGGGTAAGGGGAGAAACATTAGGTCCATTCACCAGACCGACAGACTGACTCTCTGTCTCTGTCTGTCTCTGTCTCTCTTCCACGTCCTTTTTTCAAACTATAAAAATTGTTTGCCCCTTAAGAGAGCACATAGCCTTACTTGCAGAATTTGAATAAAATCTTCTCGAAGACCAGTACCGGCCCAGTACTTCCCAAGATGGTGAGAGGCTGACCAGCAAAGAGGGAATACACCACCCCAGTCATTGAGGCTCCAAGCAAGGATTCTATTGCACTCTGCAGGTGTGAACAGGTAAAAACAGAAGGGTGGCCATGTTGAGTCAGACTATTGGTCCATTCAGCTCACCTAACTAACTCCAGATTCTACAGCGGAGGCGAAGTTAGAACTTTCAGAGATTCAGATACCTATATAACAGCCTCCGTGTTTTGGCGTCTTCGGCATTCTCTTTGCAATGATTGCTTGATTGTCTCACCACCACCACATATTTCTTTTAACACAGTTTGTGGTGAGTGGGGGAGTTACAGCAGTATAAAAAAAAATCACCCTTTCCCTAGAAATAGGCTAACTGTGTGGAGATAGATAGCTCAGGAAGCAATTTCAAATAGCACCAGTTTTCAGGTTCAATAGCCCTCAGCCTCTGCTTTCTCACACTCACACTCCTTATTATTATGGATCAACTTACTGTCACCCTTTAATTTATATTCAGACTCATGAATGTCCTTTAAGTATTGCATTCTGTCTATAAGTCTAGTAAATCAATTAAAAAGGAAGTCCGACCACTGAGCATTTTCTGACTGAATACAAAGCATGGTTGAAAAGTGTTCAGAGGCCATCTGTCAAGGTGAGGAATCCTAAGTACATACCCTCACCCTCTGTTCTAAAAGAGATTATGGAGAATGTGTCTTCTATAACAAATGAACACCTGAAGGCCACATTCTCCTGGGGGTATAAAATTCCATAACTTCAGAGATGTGTCACTGGCCACACAAACTGAGTGATGAAGTCTGTCACAGTGAGATAAAAACATTGGCTCTATTAATGCTGAACAGCACACAAACCTGAAATGTAGAAGAGCAGCAGTTAAGTTAAATGCTTGCTGCTTTTTTGCAATGCTACCTAGGAATTATTCATAACACATGAAAGGAGAGGGGGGAACTTTCTTACTATTTCTCCCTCTGTTGCTTCTCCAAGCAACCCCCCAAAGGTGATCACAGGAGACATGCAGGCACAGTACAGGAAGAGGAAGGAAGCTAAGCACTGCAAACTCATAGCATCTTTATAGTCGCTCCAGTACCAAGGAACCTTCCGTTTCACATCCAAGATCAAGCCACCAAACAGCCTGCAAAGAAAATACAGGGAGATCAACAAGAAAAAGGTGGGCAGATACATCATTTGATTTCCACAAGGGAGTTAACAAAAGAGGGACAGAGGCATAGTTGAAAGTGGTATGATTGTAGTGTCAGTCGTGCCCATCCAATTATCATGTCAGGTTCTGCAAAAATCTTATTTCACCCCAAATGAGTGTGGGGTGAAAGGTGTGGGTGTGTGGGTGTGTTTTCACACGCACACACATGCAGATAGTGGAGGATGATATCTTCATCACACCACCTTGATCCTCTATAAAATTGTTGTCTATAGGCAACCAGATGACCAATTCACAAAACGACAGCCTGAATTGTGGCTAATTTGGGCATTACTTATAAATGGGCATCTGCACTTGCTAGAATCATTCGGACTTCTGAATCTACACTATAAAAAAGTAATGAGGTTTACTGCTGGGCCACTTAATACTTCTAACTAGCCTTCTGACTAGGGCCCTCCATGCTATGAAAGCCACCTGGACCAATGTTTCAAAAACAGAAGTTGTACTTGTGTATCACCAACTTGTGTGCCAGTGAAGGTCATACGTTAAATTACCTGTTGTGTGAAGAATTGTGGTTTATTTTGTCTGCCTTGAATCTACTGCCAATTTTGTTGGATGACCATAAACACTCTGCAAGCTCTAGTGCTATGGAAGAGGGAAGGTGGCCTTTAGCAGAAACCATTTGAGGCACCTAGAACATACCTTCCCGTTCGCTGGAGTTCTGGCCCACCATGATCATCTTCTGCGTCCTCTTGGCTAATGCTTCCATTAGGGGCTCCTGGTGTTCCCTGTAACTTTCTCTTTTCCTGATAAAGTGGGAACATTATGAACAACCCCATTAATTTCTATCCAAGGAATCAAGGAAGAGTTCATTAACTGAGTGAAAGTAACTGGAGCCAATCCAAACATGAAAACAGCATTTGTGCTTCAATGGAACTAAGAAAGTGAAAATAAGGAAAGAAAGAAGCAATAGACAGTGGATTGAGTCAATCAGTGTTCTGCCTATGAAGGCATGCTATATTTATGGCAGGCTGTCCTCTGTCCTGACACTGAAGCAATCACCCAACGGGTTCATTATCTTTGTGCATAATTTCTGTAGGGTGGAATTTGAAAGAAGGAAATGAGATGGGGTTCTAGGCAAAAGGGCAGCAAGGGAGAATGACTGAAATCATTTAAAGCTATATATGGGTGATGGAGTCGCAAATTTGCAACAAAAGACTACAAATGTGAGCCAAGTCGGCCACATTCTTCCACCATAATAGGTGAACACTCCAACTCAACTCAGTGTATTCTGCTCTGAAAAGTGCATTAGCAGTCTAGACCAGGCTTCCTCAACCTCGGCCCTCCAGATGTTTTTGGCCTACAACTCCCATGATCCCTAGCTGGCAGGAGCAGTGGTCAGGGATGCTGGGAATTGTAGTCTCAAAACATCTGGAGGGCCAATGTTGAGGAAGCCTGGTCTAGACAGTCAAGGAAGAAGAAGAAGAAGAAGAAGAAGAAGAAGAAGAAGAAGAAGAAGAAGAAGAAGAAGGGCCTCTAACAGGCTACATGACTGGTGAGCTGCATTCAGCTTGGCAGGTCACAGATAGTACAACTCCTTCCAGACAAAAGGGTTAGACAAAGCCAGATGTTCTCAATTATTTCAGTTCATGGTGGACAGAAAAAAAGCCCCACCCATATTATTTCCCTTTTGTTTCAGCCTGCAGCAAGTCATTTGTTTCCATCGGACAAACTCTCAAAAAATGATGTTTACAACAAAGGTACCAAAAGCCAAATCCTGTACGTCATGTGCAATAGCATATGAGAGACAACAGGGGCCTTTCCCCTATAGTTCAATGTTCCAAAAAGGCTGAACAGACTCTGCTTCAGGGCCCTAGTGTGGACAAACAGGTGGAAAGGCTTAAAATGTAACATGGTTTTGATTACACTATTAACGCTGTCCACCTAATCAAAGGACCAACCTATGGAGTACAAAGGCATCGCTTCCAAAAACACAGCCATCGTGTTCTAGTGTACCGGAGAAGAAAGTCATTATTTACCTGGGAAGGGAGATTTTTTGGTGGCTCAATTCTAATTGATGGATCCCATTCTCCAGGTGGTAGCACTGTCGCCTGATCTAGAAATTCATCAATCCCAGCTAAAAGGTCGTTACGGTTCCTAGCTTTATAAGCAACATCATGGAAAATCTGTAGACAGGAGATCAAGACAAAGCCATCAGTCTGTTACATTACATACAACAACAACAAAGCCATATGAAATTTGCATGATGTTTTGCCAGATAAATAATTTGCAATCTCAGCTATTGGTTTGTTTGTCCTGAAAAATAGGTAACAAGATATTTGTCATTGCATTATATTTTTCATTACATATTTTTCATTGCATTATCTTATAAGCGGGAGCAATATGCTGGCTGTTGGGGTATAAAGTCTTCTACCAGGCCATGAAAGGCTTCTCCCTCAAAAAAAGAGTATGGTTGAATATAGAATGGGTTGGATGACCATTGAAGTATATATGCTTTCAATAATCTGTTGCAAACAATGCTCATATAGTTTATTCTAATGTATAATGTTAATGTATCTGCTTCTTTGTTGTTTTAAAAATTGAATTTCACAAAATGGGTAGCAGCCTGAGCAAAATGTCTCATATTTCTAGCAACAGTTTTGCATTCCTATTCTCTTATCATTGTGACATTCTTTCTGAAGCTCGAATTATGGCAGAAAGGCAAAGCAATGCAAACAAAAGGGGTGAAAATATATTTTGTATTTTACTGTACCTCATCAGTCATTAGGGTAGCCATTGACCTTCCAATCTCATGATACTGTTGTCCTTTCCCTAATGGACCCAGCAAGATAAACATGAACCTAGGGAGAAATGGGGCAGACATTTTTTAAGGCTTTGAGAAGTTAACATTCCTTTAAGGCAGGCATCCCCAAACTCGGCCCTCCAGCCATTTTGGGACTACAATTCCCATCATCCCTGACCACTGGTCCTGATAGCTAGGGATGATGGGAGTTGTAGTCCCAAAACAGCTGGAGGGCCGAGTTTGGAGATGCCTGCTTTTAGCCAAGTATTGACATGTAACATTTCACAAGTATGGGAAGAGAAACTGGGCTCAGATGAAGCCTGTCTTCCACGACCTCCCCACCACCTACATCCATGATGCTGTGATGCAGTTTAATGTAGAGTTACCAGACATCCCCAGATTTGCAAATCTGTCCCCGGACAAATTCTGTCCTCAGAATATCCCCCGATTTGCAAATCTGTCCCCGGGAAACGTGGCAGTGGCAGCCTCGGCAGCCCAGAGCCAGCCTGGTAGCGCGGTTGGCTCTGGCTGGCTTCAGGAGCTGCTCTCTGCCGCCACCACCTGCCGAAGGGGAACCAGGGATGTCCGGCAGTGCAGATCTCCTGCTCCCTTCCCCCTTTGTTTTGACAGATCGGAGGAGGTTCAGGAGGCATGGGCAGGCGACGCAACACTGCCCAGTTTTTTTAAAAAGCTGTGCATTTCTGTTTCACAGGGTGCAAAACAAGGGCTTTGCACCTTTATACAATATGCATATGTGTTTGGTTGGGCCCAGGGTCTTTTGCCTCACCATCCCCACTACTGACTCCCTGTTGCTACCATAGATTCCAGAGTATTAGGCGACTGGGCATATTAGACGACCCCCAACTTTTCCTGTAAAAATATAAAGTTTGGGATATACTCGCCATATAAGACCACCCCCGCCTGCAGCCAACTAGCAGCAGCCCGAGGCGAGGTGAGCGGGCCCCGATCGGCCATCCAGCAAAGCGGCAGGCTGTGCTTACTGGCTGGTGGTTCTGGCAGTTATGGGGATGCCCAGCTCCTTGGAGCTCTGGCCGAAGCCACGCACCACCTCGCCGCGGGAAGAGGAGGCTGCCGCAGTTGCTGCTGCTTCGGGATAGCTGCCTGCTATCCGGCTGTCCCCATGGTGGCAGGATGGGCGAGCGAGTGAGAGGGCAAGGGCTTGCAATGGGGTGGGTGGGAAGAGTCGCCGCCGGTTCTTCTCTCTAGCCCGCAGCCACTGCCTGGCTGCCTCCCGTGCAGCCGTTGCCACCTGCCACAACCATACCCGGCGTATAAGGAGACCTCGACTTTGGAGAAGATTTTCTGGGGTTCAAAAGTAGCCTTATACGCCGGAATCTACAGTACTCAGCTTTAAAACAAAAAGTGTCCCCGGATTCATTGGAAAAAATCTGGTAACCGTAGTTTAATGAACACAGTGAGGAGAGGACTGGGATCCCAGATATACACACTGTCAGAGTCAAGTTCCCTCTCCAACCCATTGGGGCACCAAACTGAATTGTCAGGCTCACTTTCCTCCCAGCCCCAGCCAACTGGGGCTAGTTCATGCTTGCAGGCTTCCTTTGGCTCTCATTCATTTTGGGGAAGTCGGGGTGGGAGGTAACATCAACCTCTCTTCCAATTCAGGCATTGCACCTTCTTCCTGTCCTGTGACAACAATAGTTTCAATGGCGGCAGCATGAAACATATCAAGTGTGAACAGAAGGGAAGGAACATTCTGGATTTCCCTACTCACTAGCCTAGAGGTTCCTCAATTATTAATCTGGGTCGGTTCCCCAGAGGAAGACCATCTCCACACTTTATGCAGCAAATGTTATATCCTGGAGTAAATATAGAGCATTATCAATATACATCTTCAAGTACAAGCACCCAAGACTTCTGGTTTCCAAATATATCATAATGGTACAAAACATAAATGCTTGCTTTATATAGGTTTTCTGCTGTGTAGAAATGCTTGCTTTCTACTCTCTTTTGGGGGTTTTTGAGGTTTTGTTCAATCAGCAAGTTTCAATTATCCTAATTTGAAGAAAAGCAGGGGGGAAATGACTGGCAATTTTGCCTCAAAGTGTGGAAAGGCAGATATCATTTAAGAAACTTGGTCAGTCCCTCAATCAGTAATTTGGAGCCTTTCTCCCATAATAAAGGGGTTATTAATATCAATGCCTGCCCTCAAATCACAGTCTGCCTCCTCCCCCCAAGACAAATAATAATAATTAAGCACAATATTCCAAATTCTGCGAAAATAAAAATGCAAATGACAGCTGGGCAAATTACAGGCATGCATACAAGTTCTCATTATCACAAATAGTTGTTGTTGTTGTTAAGCCTACAACACCAACAAATGTGAAAGAGTGTGCAATCCTGTGCATATTTACTCAGGTCTAAGTCCCACAAAGGTCCGTATAGTAAAAGCTATGGTTTTCCCAGCAGTGATGTATGGAAGTGAGAGCTGGACCATAAAGAAGGCTGATCGCCAAAGAATTGATGCTTTTGAATTATGGTGCTGGAGGAGACTCTTGAGAGCCCCAAGGACTGCAAGAAGATCAAACCTATCCATTCTGAAGGAAATCAGCCCTGAGTGCTCACTGGAAGGACAGATCGTGAAGCTGAGGCTCTAGTACTTTGGCCACCTCATGAGAAGAGAAGACTCCCTGGAAAAGACCCTGATGTTGGGAAAGATGGAGGACACAAGGAGAAGGGGACGACAGAGGATGAGATGGTTAGACAGTGTTCTCGAAGCTACCAGCATGAGTTTGACCCAACTGCGGGAGGCAGTGGAAGACAGGAGTGCCTGGCATGCGCTGGTCCATGGGGTCACGAAGAATCGGACACGACTAAACGACTAAACAACAACAACAACCAACAAAACAACAGTAACAACAACTCTTACCTGGTAGGAAGAGGAATTTCAGTCATGCCTGGGAGAAGAACGGCTGGTGATAAGCGCACAAAGGCAATAACCGGTCGAGAAAGAAAATCCAGCTCTCCCACGAGAACATTTGAGGCTTCTGCTCCAGTGGGAATCTTCTTCATAAAATGAAGCTCTGCCTAATTCCAAAGAACAGGGCATAATTTCTAGGGCTGAGATACAATTTGACCAGCATTTTCGCCCACCCAGACAAGGCACTCCTCCTTTTCACGCAAAACAAACCCCTGTGTTGCAATAAGAACCAAACACAACATTCAGGCTAATAGTTAGTAGAGAATATATAACAGAATAATGATATCATTCAAATTATAGGAATAACAGAAGACGTCTCAAAAGTTTCAAAAGTAAAGTCTATCAATACGTCTTCTGTTGAAACTTTTGAAAGACTATTGTGAGACTGTCCTTAGACATCTGTTTTGAACACACGGCTTGACAGTCCTCGCTACCACTCTGTTATATTGTATATATGAACTTTGATTGGCTTATTCCACCTTTTCATACATAATTTTGGGGATACTCCATCTTCACTGACTTTGACTTTTTTCTTTTTTGCAGGGTAACAAGGGATCAGATAAGCCATCAAGACTTATCTGATCAAGAATACATCAAATGTATTCATTAAAAAACAAACAAACAATTGCACCTTCATAATAAATATTCCTGTTACAGGAAACCAGAGATCTGCCTGCCTTTACCTAACTGACCATTCCACACTGGTCAATTGATCAAGAACAGCAAATTGAGAGGGCAGAGATATTTCTTGCAAGGAAAACCTGAGTCCACTTGTCATAGTAAAACAGGGGCAGAAAGGACAATTGCAGGGAAGAACTGGCAAGCAGTGAGGAATCATCAACCCTTCTCTCACCTACTGTCTCTCCCGTGAAAATGCCCACGCCATAAGTGTACGGCTGCGCATTCACCATACATTTAAAACACTATGGACCAGGACTATGTGTCAATAATCTAGCAAGAGACAGTCTATAATGGCCATCTGCTTCCAGGCAGCAATTTGCTTTTACAGCTCTACTCTACATACCTCTACAGCAGGCATGGCCAAACGTGGCCCTCCAGATGTTTTGGGACTACAACTCCTATCATCCCTAGCTAACAGGACCAGTGGTCAGGGATGATGGGAACTGTAGTCTCAAAACATCTGGAGGGCCAAGTTTGGCAATGCCTGCACTACAGCAATATACGGTATTGCTTTATTATATATAATACAAAATAAAAGTTCTACTATGATAAATAAAAAATATAAAAATCTGCTGTGTACTCTTTGAAACTGTTTTGCATATCCCTAGGGGTTCACGTTATCACACTGCTCTCTTTTAAAAAAAAAAAAAAAAAGATTCTTCTGCAATCCAAACAACACAATTTTATTGTTTTAATTTTGAACTGAATCTTATTGGGGGATTCATGTATCTTATTAGCAACATAAGTAAACCGAGAGTCAAGCAACAGTGTTTAAGTTGAATAGACGAGCAAAGAAGATTGCACCTTAGTTAAGTCTGTTGGGGTGATATCATGGATTATTCCATTCTTAGCGTCCAAGCCTGGAGGAGGTGGAGCACTTGGTGAACTCACTCCTAGGAAGAAATGAAGAGAAATAATTCTAGATGAAATTGTATGTTAATGCTTAGTTTCAGAATATCACCGTCTATAGATACATTTTCACCAAGTGCACATTTATATGCATGAAATCTCTCTCTCTCTCTCTCTCTCTCTCTCACACACACACACACACACACATACTTTTCTCAGCAAAAATTACATGAAGCATTTGTTTTCACCCACATATCCAATTTTATGTGGATGGTGCTTCTTCATTAAGAGTATTGCTACTCTGGAAAAAATGAAGGGTATCTTTTTATATGCTACAGTTGCAGCAAGAGTTCTTATTGCTGCAAAATGGAAGAGTGATGAAATCCCCTCTATTCATGAATGGACTCCAAAATTGACAGAATATGCGGAGTTAGATAGTGTATCGGGGGGGAAAAAGAACAAACCAAAACAGGAATTTGTCTCAAAATGGGAGGTTTTTAAAGTATAGTTGAAAAATAATTACAGCAGTTTAAACTCTGTCACAGCATTCGAATAATTTCAGTAGGAGCTTTAAGAAAGACGTGAGACCTAAGACAAATTAAGGATTAGTTAAATTATGATAAAAATGTGTATTGGCAGCAAGTAATATATAATTGAAGTAAGGAATAGACAGGAGGTCGGGCCTATAGTTCAAAGACCAAATCTTGCTTTATGGTTTTGTAAATAATTTTGTGTTCATTATTATTTTCATTTGTATTTTTGCTTTTCTTCCTTTTTTTTCTCGGTGTATCAACAAAAAAGGAATTAAAAAAATTAAATTTAAAAAAAGAGTACAGTGGTACCTCAGGTTAAGTACTTAATTTGTTCCGGAGGTCCGTTCTTAACCTGAAACTGTTCTTAACCTGAAGCACCACTTTAGCTAATGGGGCCTCCTGCTGCTGCTGCACCGCGGGAGCCCGATTTCTGTTCTCATCCTGAAGCAAAGTTCTTAACCTGAAGCACTATTTCTGGGTTATCGGAGTCTGTAACCTGAAGCGTATGTAACCTGAAGCGTATGTAACCTGAGGTACCACTGTATTGCTACTGTAATTACAATTATTCTAAACCACCACCTTGATGCGATTTACCCACAAAGTGGATAAAAACAGTTAAAAACACAAGAACAGTAAACACATTTTACTGAACAGTAAACACAAGACAAAAACAAGACCAAAACTATAGCAAGTGAACACTTGTGGGAAAGACCCATTTATCCACTCGGGGTGGCAAAAATGTTTTCGTCTATTTCCATGAAGCACAGAACAGGGGCAGCCACACCAGAGTGGGCTTCTGAGTCCTCTGGCATTTGCAGGAGATGCTCTCCAGCAGACCACAGATATCGACTGGGTGTATAAGGCAAGTTAGTGCCAACACCAGTTTGGACAACAATCCCACCAACCCAACGTACATAAGGAAACAAGTGCACATAGCTCCTTCCTTGCCACTTTGTATGCTGTCCCCTTCTCTGCCTGAACACTTGGAACAGATCTTCTGATTTAATCCCGCTCTCGTGCAAATCAGAAGGCTGATTTTCATTTACACAATTTGCACACAATATGCAGGATTACCGTATTTTTCGAGCCATAAGATGCACCTGACCATAAGACGCACCTAGTTTTTAGAGGGGGAATGCAAGGGGGAAAAAATATTTAAAGGGAGCGCTGAGCAGAGCCTGTCTGCATCCCAGGCTCTGCTCAGCGCTCCCTTTCACGAGCCGCGTGGAGCGTGTGCGCGGCGCTTGAGGGTCTTTCCCCGAGGAGGGAGAAGGGCAGCCCATCACTGACAGGCTGCCCTTCTCCCTCTTCGGGGAAAAGCCCCCAAGAGCTGCACACATGCTCCGCGCGGCTCTTTAAAGGAAGCGCAGCTCTTGGGGGCTTTTCCAGGAGGTGGGGGAAGGGACTGAGGGGCTAAGCCAGAAGCTAGAACAGCAAGAGGGAGCACTGCGCAGCGATCCCTCTCACTGTTCTGGCTTCTGGGATAGCCGCACAGCCTACATTCACTCCATAAGACGCACACACCTTTCCCCTTACTTTTTAGGAGGGAAAAAGTGTGTCTTATAGAGCGAAAAATACGGTAGATCAGATGACCAGTCTCTGCATTTTCAAGCAACGACAGCAGAGGCAGCGCAGGAGAGTTGTATGCACTCACTTCTGCTCCATGTGCTAGGTTAAGTTGGGGACAGGGGGTGGTGAGTATTGCCCAAATGAGCCAATGACCTCCCTAGTGCCCTTTAATATTAGAACCCAGGTAGTGCTGGTGGGTAAGGACACGGGTAGCACTGTGGTGTAAACCACAGAGCCTAGGACTTGCCGATCAGAAGGTTGGCGGTTCAAATCCCCGTGATGGGGTGAGCTCCTGTTGCTCGGTCCCTGCTCCTGCCAACCTAGCAGTTCGAAAGCACGTCAAAGTGCAAGTAGATGAATAGGTACCGCTCCAGCGGGAAGGTAAATGCCGTAAATGTGCTGCACTGGTTTTGCCAGAAGTGGCTTAGTCATGCTGGCCACATGACCCGGAAAAACTGTCTGCAGACAAACACCAGCTCCCTCGGCCAGTAAAGCGGGATGAGCACCGCAACCCCAGAGTCGTTCGCAACTGGACTTAACTGTCAGGGGTCCTTTACCTTTTTAGTGCTGGAGGACAAATTAGCCAGAATAAGGGTCGCAGAGTAGCACCTGAAGGCAAACAAGCGCACCAACTTGCTAAAGCTAAGCAGGTCTATGTCGGGATGCGAGACCTCCTGGGAACCATGTGTATGTTGCCCTGGACTCCATAACAGAACAAAGGTGGCACTGAGAAGACTGGTTGGATGCTAGGCAGGCATGATAGAGATGAACAGGTTATTGTGCTAATTCAACCAGACCGTACAGACCTCCAGGGACTCTCACCTGCTTTATCTGTCGAGGGAGGTTCAGTTTTTTTCTGGGAGACATCAGCTAAAGAGCGGACAATTGGGAGGATGTTTTTCTTCTTTCCATTCTGATGGTGATGACTCCTCAAAAGGGCTTCCCAGATTTTTTTACGGGTTTTCTTATCAATCTCCTCAGAAGGTTCATATTGATCCAGAACCATGTCTGAAAGGGAGAAACTCCAAGTCATTAACATTTTTAGCACCATTCATTTATTGCAATTCATAAAATTTATAAACCACTTGATTGCTTTATATATATACCATATATACATACATACATATATATATATATATATATATACACACACATAAAACCTCAAAGAAGTTCAACAAAGACAATAAACAATAAAATCCACAGTGAAAACAGTTATAAACATCAATTGAAAATATTTTTTTTGATGGCAGTCAAATAAATACAGATTAATACATCAACATTGTCCAGGTCTGGGTAGGCTTGTCTAAAGAAAAATGTTTTTAGCAGGTGCCCCAAAGAGTGCAGTGAAGGTACCTGCCTAGTGTCAATAGGAAGGAGTTTCAGAGTGTAGATACTGCCACATTTAAAGACTGGTTTCTTACAAATGCCAGTTCCACAGACTGAAGTGGCTGAGTGGTCATATATGAGTTAAAGCAATCTTGTGCGTAAACTGGTTCCAAGTGGTTAAGGTTATTAGTGGTTATTTACTAATAATAACACCTTAAATTTGGTCCAGTAGCAAACTGGCAACCAATGCAGACCTCTCAGCACAGGACTGACAAGGTCTCACTCCTGTCACCAATGGTGCCACAGCATTTTGCACTAACTGCAGCTTCCAGATCAAGCACAAGGGAAGCCCCACATACAGCGCGTTTGTCAGGGAATGGTCTGGATCTGAAGATTGAGGAATGCAGTCGCAGGCAGATCAGCTCCTCTCAGAAGAGGAGGGGGAATATTCGGGGGGGGGCTCACCTCTAGTATTTTCAGAAGCAGAGAGAGAGGCAGACACAGAAGCTAAACAGATTAAGGAGGAGTAAGCCAGTTATGCGGGTGGTGCTGTGGTGTAAACCACAGAGCCTAGGGCTTGCCGATCAGAAGGTCGGTGGTTTGAATCCCTGCGACAGGATGAGCTCCCATTGCTCAGTCCCAGCTCCTGCCAACCTAGCAGTTTGAAAGCACGTCAAATGCAAGTAGATAAATAGGTACCATTCCGGTGGGAAGGTAAACGGCGTTTCCGCGCGCTGCTCTGGTTTTGCCAGAAGCAGCTTAGTCATGCTGGCCACATGACCCGGAAAAACTGTCTGCGGACAAATGCCGGCTCCCTCGGCCAGTAAAGCGAGATGAGCGTGCAACCCCAGAGTCGTCCACGACTGGACTTAACTATCAGGGGTCCTTTACCTTTACCTTTTTACCCAGCTACGAGATAATGCTAAGAGATCCAGAAGGGAGGGGGCAGCTGGAAGACACATCAACTGAGAGTGGGGGAGAACCACCCTCCCCATGGACTCTGAGGTCTGAACATATCAGAGAACAAAGGAGGCAAAGAGGGGGAGGAACTTCCCATTGGCACCCCCTTGTTGAGGAGGTCAGAAGGAGGATTCAGAGTAGGCAACTGATCTCCTTGCGGAGGGTTCTCTGTTTGTGCTTGCAACATGATGCTGTAATAAAAGGACTATAAATCTATCAACTGCTCATTAATTCTTATCTGTGAGCTACCGAAGGGGAAAGAGGAACTCTCACGCTTGACAGCACTGCAGTAATCCAGTCTTGAATTAACCCATGTATGAACTACTGTGGCCAAGCTTTCTTGGTCCAGGAATGGTCACAGCTGTCAGACCAGTTGCGAGAGCCAATGAGAGCTTTCCTTCCAACAGCAGCTCGGGAGGACCAAATTTTCTCAGGATTGCAAAAAATGGAGAAGAGGCTTGCACTCTCCCATCAGCTGCGATCCCAGTACAGTAAGTCCTCCACTTGCATGCATTTAACTTGTGCACATTCAGCTTTATGTGTGTAGCAAAAAAAATAATTCATTTAAAAGGGAGTGAAAAGGAGGAGAGCTGGACCATAAAGAAGGCTGATCGCCGAAGAATTGATGCTTTTGAATTCTGGTGCTGGAGGAGACTCTTGAGAGTTCCATGGACTGCAAGAAGATCAAACGTATCCATTCTTAAGGAAATCAGCCCTGAGTCCTCACTGGAAGGACAGATCGTGAAGCTGAGGCTCCAATACTTTGGCCACCTCATGAGAAGAGAAGACTCCTGGAAAAGACCCTGATGTTGGGAAAGATGGAGGGCACAAGGAGAAGGGGACGACAGAGGATGAGATGGTTGGATGGTGTTCTTGAAGCTACCAGCATGAGTTTGATCAAACTGCGGGAGGCAGTGGAGGACAGAAGTGCCTGGCGTGCTCTGGTCCATGGGGTCACGAAGAGCTGGACACGACTAAACGACTAAACGACGACGAAAAGGAGGTGGGGTTCTGGGGAGGGGATCCTGCCTGCCGCTGAACCCAATGGATTTTGACTATACATAATTTTGGCTTTAGGCATGATCCCCAGAATGAAACCCAGAGTAAATTGAGGGCTTACCGCAATTTTCAATGTACACATAGCAGCTGCTACTGGCATCTTTTAATGCAACAGTAAAATTAATATAACATCTAACTTGGCCCTTAGTAGTGAAAGAATGTCAAAAATGCCCTTACCGGATCACACCCAGTTCCACTGGGTTTGTCTCACTGTTTTTAAGTGGAGCCAGATATATGTGGGAAGCTCACAAGCAAGCCATTCCTCTTCTCTGTCCCCAGCATGTGTTATGCAGAGAGAAACTGCCTCTAAACATGGAGGTTCCCTTTAGCTATCATGACTAATGGCCAACAGCAACCCTACTCTCCAAGAATTTGTCCAGACCTTTTCAAAAACCCATCTAAACCATTGAAGAATGGAGGATGAAGTTAATGAACTATGCAGAATTAGACAAACTAACAGGAAGGATCCGAAACCGGCGGGACCAGAAATTTACCAAAGACTGGAGTAAATTTACGAATTAATTGAAAAGTATTTGTGATGGCCAGACGACGTTTGTAGGTTTGCAAGAAGTTCTGTGAGGAGTAATATTGGAAGTATTGTAAAAATGGAGAAGGGGAGATGTTATGTTAAGAGATGTAAAGACAACACAAAGTTACGAAATGCATAAGAAATGGTTAAGACGGAGGATCATCAGAGGTGCTGATGGAAGTCCAATAAGATTGTATTTGTAATAAATTGTGCGGTACGTTTTATAATTTGAATGTTAAAATTAATTAAAATGTATTTTAAAAAAACCCATCTAAACCAAGAAAGGAAAATAACTATTGGTGGCTCTAGAGCCAGCGTGGAAAGCAAAATACAACCAGAGGAATGACAAGATGGAACTGACAGGAGACGAAGGAATGTTGTGTGAGAGTAGGGGATGGGTGGGGTTGTGTGCAATTTTCATGAGATTTTTAAGTGTAAGAAAAGAAAGCATACCATGTGCAGCCTTATGTTCATAGACCACTGCTCTACTGAACCCAGGACCACCTAGCGACACTGAATAGAGCAGCTCTCCATGGTCCTGAACAGAGACCTTTCTTAGCCCTGACTTCCAGTGTTTCCTACATCAGAGGTACGGAATATGTGGCCCACCATTCATTGTTGAACTCCCAACTCCCAATTAGTCTCAGCCAGGAATTATGGGAGTTGAAGGTTCTTTACTCTTTGTAGAGATGACAGGGAGTCAACCCAAGACCAGTGATCTACCACTGAGCTACAGGAACAACTTGTAAGGGGACTTGAGGGGAAAGGCTATGGCACAATGACAGAACATCTGGTTTCCATGCAGAAGGTCCCAGGTTCAACCCCCACCATCCCCAGGCAGAGTTTGGGAGAGACCCCTGTCAGAAACCCCAGAGGGCCTGTGGTCCTGTGGTCCTTTGCCTGCAGGATCCTTTGTTCCTGAGTTAGAACAGACTGGTAGTAATCATGTTGTAGGTGCTTAAGGATGTGAGAGCTCCAGACTGTGGGGAGTGGCACCCATTCTTACCATCCAGTCATCAGGTTAGTTCAGCACTGATGCTCTCTACCCTGAATTTCCTGGAGAATAACAACAAATTGCCTTAATTCATGGCCTATGACAGTCTCTGTGCTTTAACAGCTATTGTGTAGGATATCCATTTCCACCCTCCAAGTGTGGCAGGCATGTAATCTTTTCCCCAATAATGCTGAAGATAAAACAGTGAAAATATAACATAGCATGTGGTGGACTTGCTCCAAGATTAAAGCCTTTTGGGATACTATATATAATGAATCGAAAAAGGTATTTAAGTATAATTTCAGTAAAAAAACCAGGGGCTTTCCTGTTGGGGCTAATTGAGGAAATTCAAGTGAAAGATGTAAATTTGTTCATGTATGCAACAACGGCCGCAAGAATACTCCTGGCCCAGAAATGGAAGCAACAAGAACTCCCCACATTGGAAGATTGGCAAGTAAAGATGGTCGAATATGTGGAGCTGGCGAAGCTGATGGGGAAGATTCAAAATCGCCATGTTGATTTGTTTCAAAAGAACTGGGGCAAATTTGTACTCTATATGAAAGAAAGTTGTAAACAGTTGAATACATTTGTAGGTTTAAGTTGAAATGTTTGGTAATGGGAAATTAAGGAGCTGATTTACTTATAAGGAGGTGATTTTTAAAAGATTGATTTAAGGTAAAAAAGTGAATTTGGGAATGTGGAGAAATCGGTAATGAGATATGGAAGTCCGTTAGAGGGAAGGAAGGAGGTCGATGCTTTATTTAAGCAATGTTTTAAGTCATGAATTATTATTATTATTATTATTATTATTATTATTATTATTATTATTATTTTCTCTAATTCTTTGATACTGAAATGTAATAAAATATGAAAAACTTAATAAAAATTAATAAAAATTAAACAAAAAACATAGCTCAGTGGCTTCCATGTTCAATCCCTGGCAGCTTCAGGTAAGGCGAGCAAAGACTCCTGCCTAAAACCCTGGACAGCTGCTGCCAGTCAGTGCAGACAATACTGAGCTAAATGGGCCCATGGTTTGATTCTGTGTTCCTATGTGCCAGAGAAACATCACTCGAACACAAGCTATTCCTCTTCTCTATAAACAGTCTAAGTCCTTGGCTCTCTAAAACATATACCATATTTTTCGCTCTATAGGACGCACTTCTTCCCCTCCAAAAATGAAGGAGAAATGTGTGTGCTTCCTATGGAGCGAATGCAGGCTTTCGCTGAAGCCTGGAGAGCGAGAGGAGTTCCCGCCGGGCTCAGAAGGCTTGCGGATAGCTGCCTGTTCTGGGGGCTGGGGTTGGGGGAAGCTCGGGCTTCCCCCGTCCCAGCCCCATGGCTACAAGCCCCGGGAGCGGCGGTGAGGTTGCTTGGGCTTCCCCTGTCCCAGCCCCACAGCTACAAGCCCCAGGAACGGTGGCGAGGTTGCGCGCAATCTCGCCGCCGCTCCTGGACCTGTTTTGGGAGCCCCGCGGCTAAAAACAAAGCTGCGCACAGCTTCTCCCGGCTGGAGAGGTTGCGCGTGGCTAAAGAGGAAGCCAAGACAGCAATTTTTCTTTATTTCCCCCCCTAAAAACTAGGTGCGCCCTATGGTCCAGTGCGCCCTATGGAGCAAAAAATACGGTATATGCCAGATGTGAAGCCACAGAAGCCAAGTCCATGTGCAGGTTTGTGATGCAGAAGGCTGCAGTGTAGACAATCCCTCTTTGTCTCTGCTGAGAAAGCAGGCGTTTTCCTTCAGTTAATAAGCTTTGCTGAAACGCTAAAGCACAGTCTAAATAATGCATCTGCAACCCCATTCAATATAATGCAGTTTGCTTCCACAATCTGAGTCAGTTTTATTTCTCTGCGCATCTAATCAAATAAAAAGCAATCTGCACCACAATGCCTCATTGAAATATCTTGCGTAATTGACTGATATTGGTAAGCCTTGTGGGAAGGAAATGTGCTCAGAATTATCAGATACCAGAGGGCTTGAATGGAATCTTGTCAATCCAGAGCCCATTTCTACAAAGCTACTTTCCTGGAAGGAAAAAATTAAGAAAGCTCCATTAAGTTTTCCACTGACTCTTCCATTAAGACATGACTTTGGTTATCAGGCAAAAGAGCAACTGAAAACGAATGCTACAAAAATGTCTGAAGCAACTTTCTATTTTCCAGGCAGCCATGTAAGCTTGAAGTTCATAGAGTTCCAAAACGTGCAGATTTTAACAGCTCAGGGCAGTTTCTCCGTCACTCACAAGTGTATGTACCGTATTTTTCGCCCTATAGGATGCACTTTTTCCCCTCCAAAAATGAAGGGGAAATGTGTGTGCGTCCTATGGGGCGAATGCAGGCTTTCGCTGAAGCCTGGAGAGCGAGAGGGGTCGGTGCGCACCGACCCCTCTCACTCTCCAGGCTCCAGGAAGCTATCCTCAAGCCTGGGGAGCCCGCGGGAGTTCCCACAGGGCTCCCTAGGCTTGCGGATAGCAGTCTGCTGCCCGAAGCCCGGGGCGCATAGCGGAGCGCACCCCGGGCTTCGGGTAGCTCTCCGCAAGCTGTGGGAGCCTGGCGGGAAGTCGCGCCGGGCTCCCAGGGCTTGCGGATAGCAGCCTGTTCTGGGGGCTGGGGTCGGGGGAAGCTCGGGCTTCCCCCGCCCCAGCCCCTCGCCTGGGGGGGATTTTTCTTTATTCCCCCCCAAAAAAACTAGGTGCGCCCTATGGGCCGGTGCACCCTATGGGGCGAAAAATACGGTACTTTCCTGCAGAGGATGACTAGAGTCTGTTACAGCAAACAAAGATAGCATTTCCCACAGCAAACCTGGGCTTTGGCAATAATATCTTAATAAACTCCTTAATGGGCAAGTCTCACAAGGCTGTCAATGGTGTGAGTTCAGGTTTGATGGTGTTTTAAAAAAAATAAAAAGTCATCGTCATGAAAGCTAGCGAAACATTTGCATTTTAAAATATATATATATCATTTTTAGCACAGTTTAGTAGAAATACGTAGCATGCAACACACACACATATTTTTGCTGGAAAGTGCACTCCACTTGTAACAACCATGACAAAATCATGAAGAGCCGTAACAATTTTCTCAGACTCAGCGGAAATCTTGAGGTTGCAAGCCAACCTGACCAGGGCCATGTAAAATATGTGAATTTAATGTGTCTAAAATGATATGTGGAGGTTTGCATTTGCAGAATATCTATTTTACAGAGAACTGTAACAAGCGCAAATGGTGCACTAATGTTTCAATGTTATGTTAATTGATTACTTATCCCTGAGAGTCTGGATCTCTTTTGGAAGCAAAAAGCATATTGAATAAGTAGCTTGCTTTTCTGAATCTCTCTCTGTAACCAGAGAGAGAATACCGTATTTTTTCATCTATAAGACACCTCCATGTATAAGATCCCCCTGTTTTTCAGGACTCAATTTTAAGAAAATGAGGGGAGTGGCCCAAAGTTGTTGACCTTCTCCCCCCCCCCCCCACAGCTGCGGGCAGGAAACACTCCCTAGATCGTTTCCCGCACACAGCAGCATCGGGGGAAGTTGCACTTCCACCAACCGGCTGGCAGGCAGATTTGCCGCTTCTCTTTTTTAAAAAAAATAATATTTATGGATAATTTCAGGATTACAAGAAAAATAAAAAATAAAAAACAACACTACAATACAAAAAAAAAGAAAAAAAGAGAAAAGCACAAAATATAAAAACCAAATGGACAATACAGCAAAAGAGAGTAAAAAAGAAGAAAAAAAGAGGGAAAAAAACACAAATCCCAAATTGCATAACCATAATTTCCATTTGCTTGTTTCATTGACCTCCTCACACCTCCCTTTTTGTATTCTAGTTTAGTAATTATTTCAGCAAATTCTTTCCATCTTTCTCAATTTTTGTTATAAAATTTATCTTAACAATTTAACCTATTAACTCAACAAATCCTTTCCATCTTTCCCCATATTCTGTTATTCAAATTACCTTAATTTATTTAACCTTATCTTACCCCTAAGTACCTTAAGACTTAAATCTTAGTTTTCAAATATACATAGCTCCTGATATCATTTCTGCTAGAGTCATATAGTTTCATTCCCACATTTTCCCTAATATTCATTAAGCTGATTCTAAAATAAAAAATTTCCATTATAAATTCTCTTCCAATCATCATCCAGCGTCTCTTCTTCCTGGTCTCGGGTCGTGTCAGTCCTTACTGTCCATTCCATCTAGTCCATCAACCTGGAAGCCTTATGTCCGAGGCCCTTAAGTCTCTTCCATGTCCCTTCTGCAATTCTTCTTCATCTTGTTTGTGCTTGCCCTTTTCCTTGTCTTTTGTTGGTCTCTGTCTTAGTTTCTTTCCTTTCTCACTGAGGAGTAGGTCTCTGGGGGATTCCAACCCAAAATTGTCTCCATCACCCTTCATCCAGCTCGCCCATTCCCCACAGTCCCACTCTCCACAGTCCTCGATATAATCCAAAATGTATTTAAAATCAAATTTCAAGATCTCTCCAAAGCTAGGAACCTCCTCATCTCCAGACTCCCCTTGGCCCACTCCAACTTCAATCTTCAATAACAGCGGCTTATGCTCCTGTAGGGCCTCGGGTCTCTCCATTTGTACTATTTGAGGTGCAGCCGCATCCTCCTCCATTGTCATCTGCACTTGCCCAGTCAGTACAGATTCATAGGTTGGTTCCTGAATGATTTCTGTATCAATGTTCCCTGTTTGTCCATAGTTATTAACCACAACAGTCAAATCCATTTTCTCATTCATCAAGTCCATCTTCTCATGCATCTGTTCCAGCAAAGCATTTGTCTTGCATAAAGCAAGCACCCAGTCTTCCTCCCAGCTCATCTTTGTTCAAGGTCAGAAAAGACTGTTCCCACGGTCTTAATCTCACAGATGTTGGGTCTCAAATATACTACAGCAACAATTTAGCAAGCTCCCTCTAGAGGAGACAATCTATTTGTATCCATTTATTTTTTTTTTGAAGACAAAGGAAAGTTACATTCATTTTTCAGATATTTCAGATGTTTTTCAGGTATTTTGTTTCTTTAAAATGCAAAAGGCAACATTAGAATCAACTTGTTTCTCTTCATTAGCTATCTGTCAAAGTATTACGTTCACAGTCAATGAACCTCTCCAACAGTTTCTGTCTCTGACACCCCGTTCCCAGGTTAGAGACGGTGGAAACTTATCCTTCTTCACTCCCTCTCCTGCTAGGGTTAAACAGAGTCCCCCCCCCCTTTTCTCCTGCTTCCAAGGGGGGTTTCAGTGATTCTGAATGAAGGAAATTTAGTCTTTTTTGACAGCTTCCCGGCTTTAGCTTGCAAAATTTTTGCTTTAGTCTATATACAAAAAGCAGAAGGCGGACTTCCTGTTTGCACCTTCCCGCTTCAATACCAAATTAAACAATTTCTTGATCAAATTTTCCGTTTCTACTCACAGGTACTTTTTTTAAGTCCAATTGTCCACAGGAAAAAGTCAGCGCTCTCTGGCAATGGCTGTGCGGCTTCACTCCGTGAAAGTAGCAGTCAGTTCGTAGCACCGCGCTTCTCACCCCACTTCGCACCGGAGCCCCTAGATGGGATTCCCCGCGAGTAGGGGGCGCTTCTGGTGCCCTGCCGAACCCTACGTTCCCAGGCTTCCTCCGCCTGGGATTTCTAGTGGGTCCCCACCTTCGCCGCGGCGGGAAGACCCAGTTTCCACGGAGCCCGTTCCTCCGGTCGGAGGAACTCCGCCATTCACCAATGGCGCTGACCCGGAAGTCCCATTTCGCCGCTTCTCTCCCCCCCCCCCCCCATGCCACTATCCATGTATTGGACGACCCCATGATTTCTGAGTCATAAAACCTCGTCTAACACACAGAAAAAGATGGTAGTTATTGGACTATACTAACAAGTAAGAACTGAAAGAAAACTGGACTGCATTGATAGTTGTTTAAGAGCAATGTGTTGATTGATATTTGAAATGATTCTTTGTAATAGGTTTAAAGACTGTTTGCAGTAAAACTTTGGAACTCCTTGTGGTGGAGAGTTTATTGATTCATATGCAGCACAAGGTCCAGATCAGGAAATTACACTCACGTAACTCTTAACTGGCCACACATACCGACTAGGGCTAAGTCAAAATCCACCCCTCCCATGATTTTACCATTCCTGCCTGGGGGTGTTTTGGCAAATTTTGGGGTGGGGAGCCAAATAGTTGCAATAGTTTCAGGTGAGTGGGACATGATGGCAACCAGTTCTTTCTTTCTCTCTGTACCCCCCCTCCCTCCCTCTCCAATCTCTGCTCTGTCACCATTGGTGCACCTTGCATTTTTTTACACAGAAAAAAAACCAGGAAAGAGAAAGTCTCTAGTTGACATGGCAATAACCCCCCTCCCCCAGAAACCATTCATACAATTTCATCACCCCACTCCAAAAATTATGCCCCCATTTCTGGAAGCCAAAATGGGGTGGTTTTAGCCCTTCTCTAATATGAATATATAGGGACGCAGGTGGCGTTGTGGGTTAAACCACAGAGCCTAGGACTTGCTGATCAGAAGGTCAGTGGTTTGAATCCCCGCGATGGGGTGAGCTCCCGTTGCTCGGTCCCAGCTTCTGCCAACCTAGCAGTTCAAAAGCACGTCAAAGTGCAAGTAGATAAATAGGCACCGCTCCAGCAGGAAGGTAAACAGTGTTTCTGTGCATTGGTTCGCCAGAAGCAGCTTAGTCATGCTGGCCATATGACCCGGAAGCTGTATGCTGGCTCCCTCGGCCAGTAAAGCAAGATGAGCGCCACAACCCCAGAGTCGGCCACGACTGGACCTAATGGTCAGGGGTCCCTTTACCTTTAATATGAATGTATGAAGCTGCCTTTTACCCTTGGCCCATATACGGCTCAGAACTGCCTGCTTGACTGCTGACAGCCCTCCAGGGTCTCTGGCAAAAACATCCTTCTAATCTCCATCCCACTACTAAGAAAAGGTGCCGGGCGGTGAAATTGGGGTCTGCTGTATGCAAAGAAGGATGCCTTTTGGATTTTCTGCCCCGGGCTCCACTCCACCTTAAGCTGACTCTGTTCCTTTCCTTTTTAATCATCCTTAACAGGCACCTGCAATTTCTTCGATGGTGCTTGCGTTCATATCCAGAAGGACAATCCCATTGATGATGCAGCTCCTCAGCTCAAAGATACTGTGCAGTGAGAGGGTTGCAACGTAGGGTTTACTCCAACGCTCTCCTCCATCTTCCACATCTTCTTCAAACTTCACCCACCTGCAAGTGATGGACACCAACACAATCCAAATCAATAGGAACAGCTTTTTTAAAAACAAAAAACCTTGACCCTTGTGCTGAGTACCAATATGCAAATTTGTTTTATTACATTTATATCCTTTCCCAGAACCCAAGGTGGAGGCAGTCTCTTACCCAATCACTAGACCTGCTTAGCTTCAGCAAGGTGGTGGCCTCAAGGGCCTTTTTATTTTTATTTTAAGTATTTCTACACCACCTTCCACTTGTTACCCATAATTCTTTAATTTGTGATGCCAATGACTGAACATGGGAGTTTCTGCAAGCACTGCTTGTACTCTGCCTATAAATTATTGCCCCTGCGCAAACCCAAGTATGGACACAGGTGGCACTGCGGGCTAAACCACAGAGCCTAGCGCTTGCCGATCGGAAGGTTGGCAGTTCGAATCCCCACGATGGGATGAGCTCCTGTTGTTCGGTCCCTGCTCCTGCAAACCTAGCAGTTCGAAAGCACGTCAAAGTGCAAGTAGATAAATAGGTACCACTCCGGCAGGAAGGTAAACGGCGTTTCCGTGCGCTGCTCTGGTTCGCCAGAAGTGGCTTAGTCATGCTGGCCACATGACCCGGAAGCTGTCTGTGGACAAACGCCGGCTCCCTCGGCCAATAAAGCGAGATGAGCGCGCCACCCCAGAGTCGTTCGCGACTGGACCTAACGGTCAGGGGTACTTTTACCTTTACCTAAAGCCAAGTATTCTCAAAATATGAGAAGTATCTTTCAAGGAAAGTATAATCAGCTGCTATGGGAAGCTGTCAGTAGAACATAAATGAGGCAATTTGTTTTCTTGTTTTCAGAGAGCACTGAGAGTCTTACATTTTGCCACTTCAGGGGGCTCAAAATAGCAGTTCCCTGCTTTGTAGTGGCTCTGAGAAACCAAGGCTTATGAAGCTGTGATCTGCCCAAATTACTAGAATGAATTCTCCCAGTGTTCACAAACAAACTGGTACAGAAGGAGTTACCAGTCACTTGCTTTGTTTATTTTGAAAATGAACACCTATGGAAACATCTGGAGCTACCAAGGCTGAATGTAGAAAACACTGGCTGGTAGCAACAACATGTCTTCTGCCAGTAGATGTCACCACTGGGCAAAGCAACAGTGAATGTGCTTTGGTTTGTGTGAGCTTGGCAGGTACATTAGCACATGTATTTTGAATAGGTTTGGAAGTGCATTTAAGGCACTTATGAACTAGAGACGCAAAGTGGCATTTGGCAGCAGCTTAGTAGCTCTTTGCTCAGCAGAAACAAAACAGCCCAGAGACTGGATTTCCTGGAATCCAGAAGGTCCTGCTGCAAAGCCTGGAAGCTCAGCAGCCAATGATGAAAAGCCTCCTCAATTGGATTGATGTGATGGCACTACCATCTCATGCTGTCTCAGGAAGCTTGTGTGCATGTTCAAAGAGGCCCATATATAACATTAGTAAAACCTCTGGAGTCAGCAGTACCCACCAGATACCATTAGAACTGGGACATCTGGAACTGATTCTGGAACAGGAGCAGAAAGTATGGTAGAATTCCAGATGCAAAATCCTGGCCTGCCAGACTGTCCTGAGTAAAACTGGGTGCTACTATCCATTCTTCATTCAAGACTTACAGTAATCCCGCACAGATATGTTACTGTACTGACAATTCCCTTGCACATCTCTGGCAACCGACATAACAGAAGGTCATCTGTTCAGCATCAGCATTCAGGATGCAGTCTGCTCATAAGCAGGGGAAATGGTTACTTGTTTCTTTAAGAATGCTTCTGGCTTAATCCTTTGGAGCTAAACTGACCACACAGGAAGCTGGCGTACACCTGTTGTCCTTCATTTTTACCTTGCTGTTTCCTTCCACTCTGAATCTTCATCCTCCTTCACGCAGATTTCATCCATCTCTGTGAACAAGTCATGGGGGACATGTTCCTCATCCTCCTCCATGCCAATGATAAACTGAACTCTCCGAGATGGGGAATCTAAGAAAACGGAGCAATAAGTAAATAACAAACAGGGAGATGAGCTTTGAGAGCATGATTAATTGCTCCCCTCCCCTTTTGAATATCCTGCAAAAAAAAGGACAAGAGGGAGACGCCTTGCAATGTTTCTAGACATGGGACTAGTAGCTTACAGGAGCAGCCCCTCAGCATAAGAACACAACATGCAAAAGAATAATATGCAGTACCACAGATAATGAAGATTTGTGCAAAGGCAGCAACTTCCTGCATTGCTAGCTACTTACTACATTTACTACCTAGTAAATGTACCTAGTAAATACATTTACTACCTAGTAAATACATTTACTACCTAGCCAGACATGTACAGCAAAAAAAGTTACTCTACAGCTCTACGATTCTATTGAAGGATCTAATGGTAGCCATGCTGGGAAAGCTTCTGTCTCTGAGGTATTGGAAATCTATACAGGACACTGGCCCATGAAGATGCTTGCCTTACTGTCATGTTCACATCACATAGTAACCCAGCACTGCACACTCACCATTAGACCCAGGCTCTTCTTGCATTTGTCGCACCCGATCTCGCTTCCTGTGCTTCTGGCCATGTCTGTGATGTCTGTGGGTCTGTCTCACTAAAGGCATCCGCACCCCAACATACAGAGTCCTGTGCCCTGGAATCAAAGCAGAGAAGTTTAAGTTTTGTATTGGGTGTAACTGATACAAATCATATCCTGTGCAAACTTCTCCCCTTCTCATTCCAATCCCAGCCATTCTTCAGAACCAGAACAGCCCAAACAGTAACAGCATCTTGAATGGTTTTGGAGCAACTTTCCTGGAAAAACTAGGAATCAAAGGCTTTCCACATGTCCATCCTATTGACATATAAAATAGGGGTGGGGGCACTGAGTCCACTCTCTTTCCCCTCATGCAATTGCATCAGCCATGTTTCTCTGCTTATGGCTCACTTCTGTTAATCATGGACAGGAACAGAGAAAAGAAGGTAGAGCAATGGACTGCAGGGAAATAAGACTCAGAAGGGAGCGTGGAAGATTCAATGCCCATTTCCTATGCACTCCCTTTGAAGATATTCCAAAAAATGGCCTCCAGTCTTCTACAAAAAGTGAACCTTTGAATTGCAGGCACCTTCAGGTCCTGGACAAGATAAATATATATAGCCCAGGTTGTTTTGGGCATTGTGGTTCATGAATGGCCCAGACGGCTATATGGAGCCAGTGAAGACCCAGGAATGTCAGTTTAATGTGTTTCTGATTACCCATCTTTTTCTGGATTCCAAGACCATGTGTTGCATTACTTCTGAGTAGTCTCTTCAAGCCCCATGTAGACCTAATTGCAGTAAGTCTAGCCTTCAAGCTACAAAAGTAAGAATGAATACTGCCAGTTCAGAATCTGAAAAAGGAGCAGCTGCAGCTTTCTAACCAATGTAAGCTATGAATTGTAGGGGGTTGGGGGGGGACTTTTCAATTTAGCCATTTGGAAACCTGCTAAAGGTAAAGGGACCCCTGACTGTTAGGTCCAGTCATGGACGACTCTGGGGTTGCGGCGCTCATCTCGCTCTATAGGCCGAGGGAGCCGGCGTACAGCTTCCGGGTCATGTGGCCAGCATGACTAAGCCGCTTCTGGTGAACCAGAGCAGCGCACAGAAACACCGTTTACCTTCCCGCCAGAGCGGTACCTATTTATCTACTTGCACTTTGACGTGCTTTTGAACTGCTAGGTTGGAAGGTGGCGCTCACCCCGTTGCAGGGATTCGAACCGCCAACCTTCTGATCGGCAAGCCCAAGAGGCTCAGTGGTTTAGACCACAGTGCCACCTGAGTCCCTGCTACCAATATTTTAATATTGGCAGTGAGATGTTGTTTGAGAAGGGTCATAGCTCGTGGGCAGAGCATTGGCTTTGCATGCAGAACATTCAGCGTTTGATCCCTGAGGTTTTTATGAGTTTTTCACCCCATCACTTAACTTTTTCTCTTTTTTTAGGGTTCAAGGATGCAGTTCTACTTGGAAGCTCAGGCCGTGGACACACAGCAATGCAGAAAACGAACTCAGCTCTCGTTCAGAGCACCCCCGTCCTTGTTGTTACTGCACACCTTCCAAGAAAACAGGTACCTTCTGTTCAAGTTCTGGGTCTGAGTCCCAAGAAACCATGACCTTTATTTATATAAAACTGAGAGGGTGAAAAGATTTGTGACATTCTGCTGCTGTGCAATTTATTACTAATTCAAGCACACTGTGCCATGCTGAATACAAAGAGAGAATAAAAGGAACAAGGAATAAAAAGAACAGCGGAAGGAGCTGCAGAGATTCCCCCTCTTCCGCCTTTGGACTTAGAGGGGCTTCCTCTTAAGGGTGACTTCCCTTTGATATAAAAGGGAATTATTTATAGGTATTGACACCCTACTTGCTTTGCGTGGGATTTTGACAGACGAGAAGCACACAATATTCACCCTTCGTTTCCAAATCCCGTTAGGAAGATTAGTGCCGTAAGCCACCCTAAGGGTCTGTTTGAAGCTGATGTGAAAGACTGTGCAATCCTGTGCATATTTACTCAGGTCTAAGTCCCACTATTCAATGGGCTTACCTTCTCCCATTGCAATGCTGCAGCCTGAGATAAGATGAAGTTTCAGGTGCAAATCTCAGTATATCAGTAATAGTGAATGTAACAAATCTCAGAATACAAAGTGCAGCATATTCAGGATTTGGTATTGTGACCCCTATGTTCTACTCTAAGAAGAGCCATTAAAATTAATGATATGACTAACTTAGGTCCATTAACTTCAATGGCTCTACTTAGAGCATGGCCAACAATGGGTACAACCCAGAATCCTTTAAAATCTGGTTTTCATCTCCAGCACATTTTCTATTTCCTGTTGTGGTTCTTGCCCTTTAGAATTCCTGTTTGGAGAGTCCTTTGCCATGTTCTTTCTTGCAGGGATACAAGACACAAGGGGGGGGGGGACTTTTGTTTCAGTCCAGCCTAGGAGGATGTGTTTGAAGTGAAAAAATTATTGTTGTTCTGCATTTATGACTGCAATTCTTGTTGGCATCTTTTACTAGTTTTTATTACTGTGTCACAGGTAACAGAGCTTTCCCCTGCTGGAACGTTTCAAAGTTATGAAGGACAATTTATTGTATAGATTTATTATTATTAATTTATATACCACCTACATGCCAAAGTGGCTTCTAAGAGGTTTACCAGTATGAAATCAATACATTATTAAAATACACAATTAAACAATTCCATCAAAGTATTGAAAGTATCCATAATTTACATATAATGAGGTGAAATGTTAAAGAAAGATAGAAATTAAAAAGGGGGTTATAGAGATGCTAAGAATTTAGTAAAGGTGTTCAGAAGTCAGAAAGTGGGAGTGAAGGAGGTCGGTGCTCAGTCAAGCAATGTTTAAGGTTATTGCTGTATGTAACAAAATGTGACTATGATAAATATTGAAAACTCAATAAAAATAAAAAATAAAAAAATGCAATAAAACAAGCCAGTCAAAAAGCATAACCGCTAAAACATGTAAAACAACAACAACTAAGCTTGCAAAAATTTATCATTTGCCCGATAACAAATGTTGGAAATGTAATGAAACTGAAGGTACATTCTTTCATCTTTGGTGGACATGCCCAAAGATTAAGGCATTCTGGGAGATGATCTATAATGAAATGAAAAGGTATTTAAATATACCTTCCTGAAGAAACCAGAGGCCTTTCTCCTGGGCATGGTCGGCCAATTGGTGCCAAAGAAGGATAGAACTTTATTTATGTATGCCACAACAGCAGCAAGAATACTTATTGCAAAGCACTGGAAGACACAAGATCTACCCACTAGGGAAGAATGGCAGATGAAGCTGATAGACTATATGGAACTGGCGGAAATGACTGGCAGAATCCGAGACCAGGGAGAAGAGTTGGTGGAAGAAGATTGGAAAAAATTTAAAGTATATTTACAAAAACATTGCAAAATTAAGGAATGTTAGAAGGATGTTGGAATGAAGTTATATGGTTTTAGCAGAAATGTAATAAAGAATTAAGTAAAAGTTGATTGATAATGGGCAAAAATGAAAAAATTAAAGGTTAGACCGTTAAGATAAATTATAGAACAAAAATTGAGCAAGGTGGAAAGAATTTGCTGAAATAGTTAATTGAACTAGAATACAAAAAGGGAGGCGTGAGGAGGTCGATGAAACAAGTAAATGAAAGGTAAAGATATGGAACATTGGATGTGTTTTAATGATCTTTCTTTTTTGCTGTATTGTTGTATTGTTTTCTTTTATGTTTTTTCTTTTTCTATATGTATTGTAATGTATGTTTTGTTAATTTCTTGTTTTTCCTTTTTCTGCTTTCTGTAATTTTTAAATTCTTAATAAATATCTTTTATTAAAAAAAAACAACTAAAACAATTAGAAAACAAGATCAACTTGTGATCCACACACAGAGAGGGAGAATCTTGCTTTGGAAGGAAGCTCTATCAGATCTTGGCTCATCTGCATCTCCTCTGCATGTCGAAAATTTGCATGAAGGCTTGGAACAGTCCGTGCTAAGGAACAATTTCATTCAGAGGGATATTTGGTAGCAGAAGAAGCAGCAGGCTGTGTTTGTTGGGCAAATATTTGCTAGTCATTGTGGGAGGTACGCACACTGTCACATAACACAAGCTACTTTAAACATGCGTGTGCATCTCGGTGCCCACATAGCAGCAGCTGCTCGACCCAAAGGATGATCGTGCCAATCGCGGAGTTCCAGCGTTCTCTTCACCCAGCATTTGGGAGTCCTCTGCCTCAGCACCACTGCTAAAGGAATGACAGAGTTCTCTGTGGCACCACCGCCAAAGATTCTTTGGCTTCTCAGATTCCAAGTGTAAGAGTGGCTTGCACAAAATCCAATCCCACATTTCAAGTTTCTGAAGAACATCGGTTGTCATTCTTATATGACAGTCAAATATCTGGTCCCTGTGGTTTTGAAAGTGCCATGGGTGTGTAATCAACAGGCAGCTGTCCAGTGTAAGTCAGGAGCCAGGAAGCAGCAGCTGGGCCAGGGAGATGGAACCAGGGAAGGAGCAGGCAAGAATGACAAAAGCAGGAATTGGATCCAAGAAGCAAAGCAGAAGTTAGAGAAGATGACAAAGCCAGGAATCAGGACCAAAGGAACACACCGGAGTTAGGCATATCCTGTGCTCATGCAAACTGGAAGCCCTTTTATAGTCCTTCCTGTCCAGGAGGTGCCAATGACCAGTATGCCTGAGTGAGGCCAGTTCAGGCCTGAAGGTTCTTAACTACTTAGGGCAGCAGATATTCCAGACTTACAATTCACCAGATGGAACAGCCACATGCAAACAGAAGGTCTCAAGTTTGCGCCCAGCAGCTCCTGAGAGAATAGTTTTGAATACCACCATATAAGGTGGGACGCGGGTGGCGCTGTGGGTAAAAGCCTCAGCGCCTAGGGCTTGCTGACCGAAAGGTCGGCGGTTCAAATCCCCACGGCGGGGTGCGCTCCCGTTGTTCGGTCCCACCGCCTGCCAACCTAGCAGTTCGAAAGCACTCCCGGGTACAAGTAGATAAATAGGGACCGCTTACTAGCGGGAAGGTAAACGGCGTTTCCGTGTGCTACGCTGGCTCGCCAGAGCAGCGATGTCACGCTGGCCACGTGACCCGGAAGTGTCTCCAGACAGCGCTGGCCCCCGGCCTCTTGAGTGAGATGGGCGCACAACCCTAGAGTCTGTCAAGACTGGCCCGTACGGGCAGGGGTACCTTTACCTTTACCACCATATTACAGGGGGCAGAGCTTGATTTGGCAGGTTTCCTGCCTCTCCTTCCTGGAATCCTGTCACATTCCACTATCCACAGACTATCCACAGACTTCTACTGCCCCTCCGCTATGGCGCATATGGAAGGTAGCATTCTGCAGGCTTCCTTCAGTGCTTTATACATTAGCATTGCTAAGCCTCTCTTCCCTCATATGATGCACCTGTTGAGTTTTCCTCTCTTCCTTAACATCTGTTTCAGTGCTGGCCGTGAAAAGAGGGAAAGAAGTGTCTCTAAAGTGAAACTGTGTGTGCATACATTGTTGGAGCCAGAATCTGAGGTGAAACAGGAATGTGCTGCCCCGCACTGCCACCCTGAAGATTCCCTTATCAGTTTCCAGTGTTATCTCAGGAGACTTCTATATGATCTCACAAAATCTTGCTGGAAGCTACTGCTGCTGCCTCCACTTCTCTGCCAGCAGCAAAGGGGGCATCACCTCTTTGGGTTTTGCTGCCCGAGGCAGCTTTCTCTCAGCCTGCATCATGGGTGGACTGGCCCTGGTCAGACCAATAGCTCTAGGGATGGCGCCATCGTGGGTGCAATGGCACCATCTTGAAACAGCCATGCTCAGGGCTCCAGCATACAATGCACTGCACTTCTCAGTTGCCTTCTCAGACACCCTTGAGGGCTTTGTTGTGTATGGGTTGAATATTTTAAACATTTCCCAAAAACTCACAACCTATAGTGCTGTGTTGTTCTAAGAGGCAAGCACAAAAGGCTTCAGGTCAAACAGGCAGTGTGAAAAGGAACAGGAGAGGATGGTCTCACTTTCTGGTGCAAAGTCTGAGAGACGGTTCAGATTGGCTGGGTTGGGGGGGGAGCCTGGGCAATGAAGAAGAAGAAGAAGAGTTTGGATTCGATATCCCGCTTTATCACTACCCGAAGGAGTCTCAAAGCAGCTAACATTCTCCTTTCCCTTCCTGCCCCACAACAAACACTCTGTGAGGTGAGTGGGGCTGAGAGACTTCAGAGAAGTGTGACTAGCCCAAGGTCACCCAGCAGCTGCATGTGGAGGAGCGGAGACGCGAACCCAGTTCACCAGATTACGAGTCTATCGCTCTTAACCACTACACCACACTGGCTCTCAATGCTAGCCACAATAAACTTTATTCAATCACACTATTTATGGTAATGTCAAACAATGTTGCCCTATGTTCTGTATGTTTTAATAAATCGTTGCTGAGTGTGAAGACGTCTTGGTGGGGCCTGCTGATTCCCATATAGAAAACATAGGATGCAGCCACAAGAGGAAGCATGTTGAGGCAGCCTCATGATTTGATACACCAAAGTATAGGAAAGAGGACAAAGAAAGTGTGTGTGTTTTTGTTTTCGTTTTAAAGCAGGTCTTTTTGTTCCCATGAGATGAAATGTAGCTCAAAATATGCCTGCCATCTACTCTGCAAGGACAAAATGCATCTCTTGCAAGAACACACACACACCCCTGTAACATGGAAAAAGAAAAGGGATAAATACAGACAGAAGACAGCATCTGGTATGGATTGGAGGGAAAGATATGAAATAGATAAAACTAAGGATGGCTGAATAGTTCAGATCTGGTCACTCCCATTTTTCCGATTCCATATTAGTTTGCAATTAAAAAAAGTTCTCGTGAAAATTCATCAGCATTTTACTACTAATTTCTCACAAACATTTTTTTACACAATTTTCCCTAGTATTTTGTAAAGCAGTTTCCCATAATATAACACAATTTTCTATGTCATTTTCACCAGTATATATATTTTTTCTACATTTGGGGACAGTATATGTATTTTTGTACACATTACTTGGCCAGAGAACCATATTGCAAAATTTGGAGAAGGGGAAGTTTCAAAGGAGGGTTGTGTTTCAGTATTCTTATTGATTTGGAAAGTGTGGGTTTAGTAGGTTTGCCTTTAAATGAGAACTGAATCAATTTTGTCCCCCATCCCTATCTCCTACACACTTTTAAAACCACAGTACTTGTATAACTCCTGTACATGTACCACCACCTATAGCTTGTTTTTTTAAAAAAAAATCAAGATATATTGAATTTTCACACTTGAAATAAAGCAGAATGGAAGCAGTCATGCAAAATAATCAAGTTTCCCAAATCCTGCATGCAGAATTTGCATTTTCTTGCTAAATAAATTGGATTTTCACCAGAGTCTTGTTTTATGAGATGCAGTATAAGCAGTTTTGGTTCTGTGGTATACAAGACACTGTATCTGGAACCTTCTCAGATAGAAAGCACATTTACTTCACTTTCCGAATAGTTAATGATGATTAATGGCCTGCCAGAGAAATGGGGGGAGAAGGGGGGGAGCCCAGGAAGGAACAGCCTCACCTTCCAGCTCTTCGGGTTCATAACGAATGTTGACAACATTTCTGGTACCTCCCAGATCCACAACAGCCTCATCCTCCGGTCTCTGGTAGAGAAACAATGAGGGTGCGTCACACATATTATTAACACACAAATCTATCCATCTACCCCATGAACCAGATTAAAGAACAGTGAAGGTCAATGCTGATTCCTGTTCAAGAATACTGTAGATTTCTGACACATACAAATATTCTTTCCCCTCTGTTGAACAGTCACATGTAAACATTGGCCTACCCAAATATAGCCAGATGTTTGTACATACACAATCACATACAGTTCCTCTCACACACATTTTGGGATACCTTTGGAAATATCTGCAATATAAACAGCATTATATGAACTCTAATATTCTATGGCTTCGTGGCAATGTTTGCTATAGGAATATGGAAGCAAGCAGCCAATACGTGGTCTTACCTCTATTCAATAAAATTGTGCAGTCATTTAAGATTGGTATAATGGCTGCTGATATCAGAAAACGTCACTGGCTCTCTAAAGCACTGAGTTAGGGAGTGCTGTTCCTTTATGCATTTCCTAGAGGGAAGAGGTTGCAGGTTGTCTAAGCACCAGTCAATTGCTTTACCCTCCTTCTCAAATTTTCACCAATACTTCTCCTACCAGTGCTGACCCAAAACATCGTGTGGCCTCACAGGGCCCCCACACCACCCCCTAGGCTAAGGTCAGTGGCGTAGCATCAGTTTCCGAGCACAATTCAAAGTGTTGGTGTTGACCTTTAAAGACCTAAACGGCCTCGGCCCAGTATACCTGAAGGAGCGTCTCCACCCGCATCGTTCTGCCCGGACGCTGAGGTCCAGCGCCGAGGGCCTTCTGGCGGTTCCCTCATTGCGAGAAGCAAAGCTACAGGGAACCAGGCAGAGGGCCTTCTCAGTGGTGGCACCTGCCCTTTGGAACGCCCTCCCACCAGATGTCAAAGAGATAAACAACTACCTGACATTTAGAAGACATCTTAAGGCAGCCCTGTTTAGGGAAGTTTTTAATGTATGACATATTAGTGTATTTTGGTATTTGTGGAAGCCGCCCAGCGTGGCTGGGGAAACCCAGCCAGATGGGTGGGGTACAAATAATAAATTGGTGGTGGTGGTGGTGCCTGGGACAGGTGCACATGTGCCAGGCAGGCAGCACATAGACTGGGAGGGGGTGCCAGCCCAGCCCTTGCCACCACCACTGGAGTGACCTCACTCCCACCAAAGCCAAGCATGGCCACGCTGAGCTGCCTGCCTGCCTGCCCGTGCAGGGAACAGCCTGGCTGACCAACACGGCCCTTGGCGGGTGAAGAGGAGTATCACGCCAGGCTGTGCTGGGGACACCTGCATGGGGGCATCTGGTTCAAACCAACTCAAAAACTGTGTGTCTGGGGCCACAGCCCCCTGGCACCCTCCACACGATGCCCCTGGCTATGGTCATGTATTGCTGCACCAAAGACCACTTTTTGTCTTTTTTCCCCAAAGAAAAAGGGGCACATCTATTTCCCCACGTTCGCATACTTCATGATGTCTGAAGCAAATCCCTTCCTTCTGCTGCCTAGCAAAGCCAGCCTTTCCTCCTGCCCCAATTCAAAAGTAGGAGAAGAGGCAGAGATGTGTGACATTATAGAAGCTTACTTGCCCTTTGTGCCAAGGGGACTCACAATCCAAATTTAGATGTGGGGGATGGGAAACATTCAAGTTAAAATTCGGATCATGCATCAACACTCATTTTTCAAGTCCTAAAGAAAATTAAGACTATTAAAGCTTAGCAGTACGGAGAAGCAACAATCTTGTTTAGTCCTTCTCTGTTTCCTGACATAGAAGCTTGGCTGGGGAAAAGGATTATTTCTCTCTCATCAAAGTGGAAACTGGATGCATTTCAGACTTGTTGCACTTACTATATAGCCTGATAAAGCTCTTCCTCACAGGACACAGTGATTCCATACATCATTTTAATAATTAGATAGATAGAGGAGAAAGGACACTTTGCTAATAGCAAGCTCCAGTACCACTCTTTTATTTATTTTTCTTCCCTCAACCTAGAGAGATAAATAATGCATAGCTCTGCTGAAGGCAGAATTTCCCATAGGGAAAAGCAAAAGCATTCTTTCCACCCGTAATGAGCAACAGCAGGGGAACCAACTGTAGGGGCCACAAGGGACTTCTGCCCCCTCAATATTTGTGAGCAGGGGGCTGAGCCACCCCAATATTGAGGGGCCCCAAAACAGATCAGCCTCCCTGCAAACCTGCCCTCTGTGGTCCCCATTCCCCGGCCGATGGGCGAGTACTTGTGTCCTGGGCAGGGATGGAGGGCGGAGGTTGATATTTACTCAACGTGCTCTCCAGCCCCTGTCACTGGCAGAGCGCAATGGGGGCTCCTGGTTCACGCCCCCCCCTCGTTTGCACACCCAGGGCAACAGCCCCCATGGCACCCTCCACCCGGCGCATGACATTGTGCATATAACAACGCTGGGTCCCCTCAATGTGGGAGGCAAACTGGCAGCCCTGAGCAACAGCAAAACTACAAGATCCAAAAATTCATGAAGAGACAGAGTTGCTGCCAGGATTTGCCCAAACTGGAGTTCAAACTGGGGGTATTGTATTCTCGGCTGCTCTTAGGTTTTCCTCCCCATTGTATCTTCATTTTATTTTTTCTGTTCCTGCAAGAATACTGCACGTCGGAAGCTAGCACAACAGAAAAGGGAGCTGAACAAGAACCTCTCACTTTCCCCGCCTAGTTTTCCACCAGCAGAGAATCTTTTACATAGAGGATCATTTAAAATAAATAAATTCGTGCCTCCAGTTGCAGTCTGAAATGACAGCGCACTCTAACACCAACACCACCATCACCTCCTTCTCATAGAACTCATTCTGCTGCCTCCTGTATAGATCCAGACTCATGCCTGCAGAATGCACTGTGAGCATTATGATTATTTATTATATTTATTCGTTTTTGTTTTTCCCAAGATAAGTGAAACTTGAAGCAACTTGCAAATATGAACATCAAAAACAAAGATAAAACAACTTAAAATGACACACACACATAATAATGTATTTGCCTGACTTGTAAAAGCACATAGTAATAGTGTCCTCCCTGGAGCACATATTCCATAAACAGGGAGCCACCACTGAGAAGGCCTGTTCTCAAGTTGCCACCCCCTGCATCTCCTTTGGAAGGGGCACACACAAAAAGGGCCTCAGATGAAGCATGTGAATTGCACTACCATGTTCTAAATGCCTATACCTGGAGCTTTTATCATTGGGTTAGAATGCCAACTTCAAGGAAATCCCAGAATAGCCAATTCCCCCCCCAGTTGTGCTAGGGCTGAGGCTGATTTGTTTATATTTTAGTACAGAATTGTGACCATATACAGCAGTATAGAAGAATGACAGCAACAAATTCTGAGGTCCTTCAGAGAGACATAACCTCTTTCCCTGGCATCCTAGGAAGTCACAGAGTAAGCCATTTTAATTGGGCTTTGGGTTGTCCCTGTTTCATGTCTAGGATCAGTGCTTTTTTCTAAAAATAATGTTTAGGGGTACTCTCATTTTCCTACTCATATTGAAATACTGCCCTTCAATGAGGCCAAACTTGGATTCACAAAATGTTTAGGGGTATGCATACCCCTGTGTACCCCCAGAAAAAAAGCACTGTCTAAGATTAAAGGTAAAGGTAAAGGGACCCCTGACCATTAGGTCCAGTCGTGGCCGACCCTGGGGTTGCGGCGCTCATCTCGCTTTATTGGCCGAGGGAGCCGGCATACAGCTTCCGGGTCATGTGGCCAGCATGACTAAGCCGCTTCTGGCGAACCAGAGCAGCGCACGGAAACGCTGTTTACCTTCCCGCCGGAGCGGTACCTATTTATCTACTTGCACTTTGAGGTGCTTTCGAACTGCTAGGTTGGCAGGAGCAGGGACCGAACAACGGGAGCTCACCCCGTTGCGGGGATTCGAACCGCCAACCTTCTGATCGGCAAGTCCTAGGCTCTGTGGTTTATGCCACAGCACCACCCGCTTCCCTTGTCTAGGATTAAACCACCCTAAAACAGTAAAAGGCACAGGACAAGGGCTATTAAAAAAAGAAAAAGCTGGCAACTCTAATTCAGTTATATCACTAGATCCAGGTATTGGCTTTATTTGACATTAACCTTTATTTTAATGTTTTTGCTCTGATAGACCTTTGGAGCCTGGTTTCCTGTAAGGTGATTAAGTAAGTGCTTCTACTATGGTAACATTAACACCATCTACTCATGGTGTGAAGTTAACACTACAATTACACCATAATTGATTTAGGCTGCAATCCTATACCCACTTACCTGGGAGTAAGACTCACATGAATTACATAGTTCTCACGTCTGAAAAGAAGGCTATAGCCTTAGCACTGTTAACCAATGCTCTAAGTAATTATGGTCACCCAAACTGCCTGTTCTAAAAGAAACAGAAAATGCCAGATACAAGTCCTCAGGGTTTTAACCGGGGACGCGGGTGGCGCTGTGGGTTAAACCATAGAGCCTAGGGCTTGCTGATCAGAAGGTCGGCAGTTCGAATCCCCATGACGGGGTGAGCTCCTGTTACTCAGTCCCAGCTCCTGCCAACCTAGCAGTTTGAAAGCACGTCAAAGTGCAAGTAGATAAATAGGTACCGCTCCACCGGGAAGGTAAACAGCGTTTCCATGCACTGCTCTGGTTTGCCAGAAGCGGCTTAGACATGCTGGCCACATGACCCGGAAAAACCATCTGTGGACAAACGCTGGCTCCATCGGCCTATAGAGCAAGATGAGCGCTGCAACCCCAGAGTCGTCCATGACTGGACCTAATGGTCAGGGGTCCCTTTACCTTTACCTTTAAGGGTTTTAACCATTTGCAGGGCTTCCAGTGGGGACTCATCCATCCTCATAAAAGCGCTTTACCTGCAAGTTCCTGAATGATGTCATGGTTATCTTCCGAAGCCGTGCAAGGTCAGAAAGAAAGAAGAATCAATCTTCTTCTACAATTATGTTCAAGAATCCAGGTCCTGGGCTAAGTTCTCTTCTGGTGCAAGTCTGGGTAGCCAAAGGGAGGCTCGAGTCCATTCCATACACCCATTTAGCTGACTAGGTATTGACCCCCAACATAAGCCACTTGCTACTTCTTAAAGCATCTCTTTTAGACAATCTTTCTCAATGGGCAGGTGGGTAGGGGAGGGGGAAAGGTTGAACCATTGAAGATGCTGCTTCAGCTGGGTTTCCTCGCTAACTCTGTTCCCAGAGCCACCTGACCTTCATTACTATGACAGCATGGAACACGGCAGCATGAATATTCCAAATGGTACCCATCCTTCTGTCTCATCAAATCCATTCTTAAGGAGCTTTCTTGGAAAGTAAGGGGAGTGGGAGGGAAGGAACTAAACCTTGAGGTCCTGTTCCCACCACAACTTCCCTGACACTGGAAGTCAGTACAAAATGCACCGGGCTTCATCAGATTGCCCATCCGGTAAGAAGGCAGCATTCTTTTGTTTATAGGCTAGCCATGTGAAAAAATAAGAGGGCAGGACAACTTTCTTTAAGAGAAAGTTGTGTAGAGGAGGGGATTGGGAGCAGATGTAGGTGTCATGGCAACAGGGGCCTATAAATATTTATCTTGGGTTGGGGTCCATTCCAGTTCCCTGAGGGGAGAGAACTAAATTATTCCCATCACATTTCAAGGTGTATTTTAATGGGAAATCCTTTAAAATCCACCCAAAGCACTTTAAAAAATAGTATTTATGAGGGGGTTCATCCCTCCCCTCCAAAAGAACCCCCAAACTTTTATAACTTCTAAAACAGGGCATCCAGCCCCCTACAGCCTGAGCAGCTAATACACAAGGCTCCCTGCACATCACACACACAGTTAAGTCCTCTTAGGAGGGAGGAGACTTAATGGCAAGATGCACTAGCTGCTGAAACTGTGGGTGGCTAGATGCCCTGTTTAAGTTTAAAAGGGGAGTTGGGGTGGGGGTACAGAGGTAGGCACTGTCCTCTGTAGGAACCTCTAGCCCTACAGATGCTGCTGAACTGCACCCAGCAAAAAAATGTGGGCCATAACCAGGGACAGATACAAGAAAATAGGGTGTCTATCACAAGAAAAGGGGAGCCATTCATGCATATGTACGTTATCTGCACATTCTAACACAGGCTGCAGTCCTAAGCCCACTTACCTGCGTATAAGCTCCCTTGAACACAGTAGGACGGACTTCTGAATAAACATGCATAAGGTTGCACTATTGGGTTTTTTAGGATATATTTCCCTCCTTCTGAAACTCATGAGTGAGCTCTATGTTGAAAATTCTCTTTCCTACAGCAGACAAGCCTTCACGACGACTATGCCTGTTAACAGGCAAGCTCTGCTTGAAATGTGATCATTGACGTAATAGGGCATCCAAAATGAAAAACGACACCAATCAGTTAAAATTAGATGGTGACCGTGGCCTTCAGCCCTGTGCCCCATATTACTGTTTAACAATGGGGAAAACACAAAAGTAAACATCTGGAGAAAACAGAATACGCATCCCAAGGAAAACGCAAAATCAGTTTCCTTCTGGGCACACTTTTGAGCTGATCTACATGGTGGAGTTATTAATCTACATGTTAAGTTGGGAAGAGCATACAGTACTGGCTGCTGCGACTGCATCACTTTAGACTGCAGGTGGAGAATTGCTTGTTTGAATGGTCCCTAATGTAAATAGCCTTCCAGAATAAAACAAACTAGTAGCTTGGGGAGAAGCTAGGCTTTTTAAGTGACAGTGAAATTCTCAAAACTTACAGCAATTGCCAGATTCTACGTCAGTGGAAGTGCTGGAATTTCATTCCATGCTCTACAGAACAGCTGAAGTCAAGTCCATTTCTCAATCCCCACAACTATAAATATCTTCCTAACAACAGAGGGTTTTAAAGTCATTGTTGGGTCTTTTATTAGTAGCAGTGAAGTGTACACACTGTGGTCAACAGTTGTCTAACAGAACATTGATTGACAGTTGGAAGTCTTTCTACATTATATGAGAAATCATAAATCAAATTGTTCCCAGGTCTGGGGGCACAATTGTTCTCCTTATGAACACACACATACAAACTAGAGATGTGGAGAAAATCAATAATACTTTTTAAAGAAAACCCTAGAGAAATCAATGTCCTCATAAATAAGAAAGATTCAAACTCTACCATTTGACACTTACTTCAGAGTTAGTTATTTAGTATTCGTCTCTAGTTATGCAGTGAAGGCAGATAACTTTGCATGTTGCACCAAGCAAATCATTTATTTAATCAATAAATCAGTTACAGAACGATGAAAGCTTGCTTATATCTATTTAATGTGTCCATTCATTTCAAAAGTTAATCCTTGCATGTACCAGTCTGGGCACCTTCATTAAACCAACAACTGGAGGTGGAAACCCAAATGAAGGTTTGTATTTTGGAAAGGAAACACGATACAACACAGAGACTCACTTTAAAACTAACTTTTTCAAACTATGTCTTGAAAATGGTGAGTAATAAGTTCTGCTCAAAACAAGTGACACAAGTTAGTGTCTGGTGTTGCTTTTGATAGTGTACACCACTTTGGAGGCCTTGATAATAAAATGGCTTAGTATTATAAACAAACAAGTTCAGCAACACATTGTACAGGTGACTTAGGCTGCAATCTCACGGACCTGAGAGGAAGCCCCACTGAACTCAGATGGGTGGGGTATAACTAATAAATTATTATTATTATTATTATTATTATTATTATTATTTATTAGCATGCACAGACTTAAGATTGTTAATTCTTCTGGTACATAAGGAGATATGAACATAAGAACATCCTTCAGGAAACCCACAAGCAAGTCCGAGGACAACCTTCTTGCCTTGTGTTTTCCAGCAACTGGTTAAATGCTAAAAGATTAACAAAAAGATTCTGCAGATCTGAATGCTTAATTTCCTGAGGTGCACCAGCAAGAATTTCACTTTTCTTCTTTCAAAGGGGGGTGAGAGCATCACAGATCTCTGTTCCTTGATCACAACCACCCCAGTTCAGAGACGCAGCAGAACTGCGTGCAAGCACACTGCTCCACCGTCAATTCAACACTGTCCCACAGGAATGTCTAATGGCCACCAATGGACCCTCTTTGTCAGTTCCCAGAACTGGAAAAAGTCCATTTTTTCTGTCAGCGCACATATGAGAGGTGTCCGAATGCAGATATGGTTACTAAGGCATCACATGGGAGGAGCATGACTGCAAATGCTTACTACACACGCATGGCTGCTATACTACACTGTGGCTGCTATGTGCTGTGAATTCGAATACACGCCTAATGTGGTGCCATGCGAATCACATAGAGGGGTCATTTTGTCAAGTGCATTTGGAGTGAAAAGATATCATAGTCACCAGGGTGCAATGAAGTCAGCCAAACCCACGCATCTCAACCTCAGCCTAATCACTTGCCATCTGGGCCTCCTCTCAACATTATTGTGCCTTCAGATTTGCTGTTGACCTAACAAGCAGGAAGCCACAAGGTTACTAGGTTCAACTGTAGGCCTGGACTCTCTCCAAACATATGTGAAAGCATTCCTTTCACAAAGAAAACAGACTTTGCACATCAGGGGTGGGAAGGCTGGGCCCCCCAAGCCACCTCTGGGCTCCAACTCCCATTAGCCACTATGCCCGTATGGTCCACTGCCAAGGATGTTGGGAGTTGTAGTCTAGCAACAACTGAAGAGCCACAGATTCCTCATCCCTGTTGTACAATGGCATTTTACCTGAAGCTCCTTTTGTTTATTTATCATGCAAACAAACAAACAAAACCTTTCTTTTGTGGCACCAAGTTTACATATGTGTTACCTTAAAGGTAAAGGGACCTCTGACTGTTAGGTCCAGTCGTGGCCAACTCTGGGGTTGCGGCGCTCATCTCGCTTTACTAGCCGAGGGAGCCAGCGTACAGCCAGCTGTACAGTCCCAGCGTCATGTGGCCAGCATGACTAAGCTGCTTCTGGTGAACCAGAGCAGCGCACGGAAACGCCGTTTACCTTCCCGCTGGAGTGGTACCAATTTATCTACTTGCACTGTGTGCTTTCGAACTGCTAGGTTGGCAGGAGCAGGGACCGAGTGACGGGAGCTCACCCCGTCGCGGGGATTCAAACCGCCAACCTTCTTATCAGCAAGCCCAAGGCTCTGTGGTTTAGACCACAGCGCCACCCGCATCCCATACCACATCCCTACCCCACCTCAAACTCAGCTTTAGGATACTAGTACAGGAAATCAACCTATTTCCGTACTGAGAGAGGAGTACTTGGGCTAAGACAACTGTATTTCAAGACGCAAATTATAGACTCATGATACATGCATTTAACTACCTTGGGCCTTATTGTGAGAATGCTTTGTTAACTGAATTGTAGAAAATGACCTAGCCTCCAATGCACCCTTTTCTCATGACTCCTAGTATTTGGTGGGTGCAAAGATAAGGAAATATTTATTCATGTAACTTTCCCAGATTTGTGGGCTGATAGATGGAAAGCTTAATCATCATGCACCTTTATAAATACATTGGTTTCTCTTGCTCTAGAATAGGTCCTAACAATAACGATGGGAGAAACTGAGATGATTGTGTTCAATTATAATCAACCTTGACTCTGCCTATTCAATAACGCTGTTATCCTGCCTTGAGCTTCCTGATACATGAAACCTTTTTCTTCTGCCATCTTCCCTTGATCTCACTAGGCCATCTTCAATCTTCAATTCATGTAACTCCTGCTTGCATCCTCAACAGCCAAGAAAACCAACACCCTCAGTGGGAGCCCAGTACTAAAAAAAACTAATCAATTCTTAAAGCTGGGTTTAGTCATACTTTGAACTTCTGCCAGTGGTAGTGCTTGCAATTATCCAAGCAGAATGGTTTTCTCAAGCTTTTGGCGGACGCAGTTGATTCTAATGTCCTAAAACACATATTTAATAAGGTTTAAATTAAATTAGCCTTGAAAATCAGCTTCAAAATTTTTTTCCTAGTCCAATAATTACACAGAGAAAAATTACAATTGAGGTTGCAGCTACATTTGTATTAACACAATGTTCAAAGCAAACATACTTAGAATGAGTTTAAATCTAGAAACCTTCCATCCATTGTCAAAACTGCTTGTAAATATAAAAATCGAAACAGCTACGCCTAATTCACTCACCGATTCCATTGCAGGGATGTGCGAGAACTAGGCTAGTTTAGTTTCTCCATTCCTTTTTTATTATGAAAACTTCATTTTGTTTCATTATTTGCTCATTTCATTTTTCATGTGTTTTAACAACTGATTTGCAATTAATTCATTTGTTTTATCATTCCCATCCATTCCCCCCCCATTGATTTCAATGGGAGACCCAGCCAGTTTTCTGTTGACTGTAAATTTGATGTGTTCCATCCAAATGGCATGGAAACTTCAGGAATTCTACTATGCCTTGAATGCAGCACCCCTGCCAAATTTGAGACACATTAGAAAAGGGCATTTTAGAGGCTTTTTAAAAAAATCCATTCAATGGGGGGCCCAGATGTTCATTACTGGGATTTTATGCTCTCTGGAACTTGCTTTGATATCCTATGGGAAAAATGTGCCTTGTTAATTTCATTTGTCTAGATAAAATTCTTTAGTTGTAATTACATCCTTTCAATGAGAGGCCCAAGTGCTCCTCTCCTGCTTGTAACTTCTGTGTTTTACACCTGTTCCTATGAAATTTTTCGTCATTGTACCACTCCTCAAGTAGATGAGACATTTTAAAGTTTCAAATAGACAGAGCAAAGGGTTCCCATTTTACATCTGTGAGTTTCAGTGCAGCCTCCCTCTCTTTATCCTTCTGTAACCTTTCAGTTACATGCTGTTCCAAAACATTCCAATTTTTCATTAGAAACTAACGAAAAATGAATCAAACAAATGAGTAATGTGATTTCTAATTAAGAATTCATCCATTTGCAATCTAATTTGCTTTGGCAACAAAAACAAATTAAATCATTGAGGCACAATTGTTTTGTTTTTCATTAGTTATTAAAACAAATGCATACACTTATTCCATTCCAAGTTCCAGAAAACCTAAGATCCCAATGACAGCCTGCCTTCATTTAACTGAGGAGCTGAAATTGAATGATGGACTGACCTCGCACTGAAACTAGTGTTAGGATTTTATGCATTCTAGCAGCCAGGAAAGATTACATCAGCTAAAAGGAACAGGAAATTTATGCATTCTAGATTCTGCAATGGAATGGGCAAAATAAATTCATCTCTGCATTGCATTTTTGTGCCTATACAGTGGTACCTCGGGTTACATATGCTTCAGGTTACATACGCTTCAGGTTACAGACTCTGCTAACCCAGAAATAGTACCTCGGGTTAAGAACTTTGCTTCAGGATGAGAACAGAAATCG